CCCCTTGTGTCTCACACTCCCCGGCAATCACACCACGTCGAGTCATTAGCCATAGTAATGCACTTGTGACGAGTCAATACCAGCACTCAGATCCGCACCATGTCGCGAGCGCGGCGCCTTAGCCTCAGCTCGTCCGTACGCACCATAGCAGGGAGTACTGCAGGGTAAAACGGGCCGCGAACAGCGCAAGCCATTCGACGTCAGAGGTGCAGACGAGAGAAGGTATGATGAGGTTGTGCAGGGAGGTGAAACACTGACGAAGGCTGACAGGACAAGGGAATCGCCAGCAGGCAGCTTCGGCAGGAGAGACGCGCTGCTGCTCAGAAGAATTTGATCCAGATGATGAAGAGGAATAGAAAGGCAACGGCCGCTAGACTGCAAGGTGGTAGGAATGGTCACCAAGTCGAGTAGGGTCAGCTGAATGCTCATAGAAGATCAGGACTTGACCACTACGCCAGTCCACTCACGGGGCATATTGCCTGATCATGGCATCGATGTTAATCTTCCTCGCCGCCTTGCGGTACTTCATGCTCTCATCCCTCAAGCTACTACTCATCGAGCTCATCTGATCCAGCGAGTCTCCCCTCCACAACAGGTCCTCCATGTTCTTGGTCATGATCCGTGTCACATCTTGCAGGTCATTGTTCAGCCGGTCGAGATTTGAGGATGTGGGATTGGACGAGGCGGCTGCTGCTGCTGCTGAGGAGGAAGATTCGGCGGAGCGCGAGTCGAGGTAGACCCGCTTGGTCTTTTGCAGAAAGGTGTCTGGAAGGAGAGAGGAGAAGTGATGGGGAGGGAGGCAAGGTCAGCGACGATACATGCGCTCATCCTGACACTGCCTCTCGCTCACCGAAGCCAACAAAGGCGTAGGGCCTGAGACTCCTCTGCCCCACTTGACTTCCATAGGACTGCTCAAACTCTCTTGCTAGCTCGTCGAGGAAGGCAAATGCCAACTTGCGCGGGTATGACTTGGGTGCAATTGTGAGGTATACGCAACTTGTAGGGGTAGGCTGAGGCGGCGGTGGGTGGAGGAGGTAGCTGGATGAGGGCAACAGGGGGATGGAATGGGTGGTGGTGAGCGTCTCACTCTAACTCAAAGCTCAGCTTCGAGCATACTCACTGCAGTGTGTATTTCCCACTCTCGATGCTACACCTATTCTCACTCTGCGAATTGAGCTTCTTGACTACTGTCTTTGACTGCTGCTTGACCTCGCCCAGCTCTCGGTCTGACTGGTCATCGTCTACGGACTGTGCGAGGGGTAATTGATCCGACAATCGTAGGATTTGTGTCGAGAGGACCATGTCGGTGTGAGCAAGTGAGTGAGCGAGGGAGCGAGGGAGCGAGGTAGCTGTGATAGTCCGAGCCGAATGGTAGATGTGGGTGAGTGGCCCTGGTCGTCGTCGGCGGTGTTGGTTGGCTGTGCGTGTGAGTGGTGGGAGGCGTCGGCGAGTTGAGCGGCGGCGGCCCCGCATTGCTGCCTGCCGGGTGATTGCCGTCGCAGCCCAGGGCCAGACGATTCATTCGGCGCGGGAATCCCACTTGACATCCGCTACGCCCAATCACACCACGCCCACCACGCCCTCACACCGCCCTACACATCTTGATCCTCCTCATCGTCCATCCTTCTTCCTCTACCTATCATCTCTCACCCGCCGCCACCACCAACGCCCCCCTCCACCCTTCTTGTTATCCCTCAGCATGGCTCTCTGGCCCGAGCCAGGCCCATCCACACCGCCCCGCCTATCCAGACGATCACCCATCCAATACACCTCCTCGTGGGCTAGTGATCGCAAATATGCCCTCCTCGTAGACGCCGGATCTTCTGGCTCACGATTGCAGGTATACTCCTGGAAAGACCCTGACGTCACAAAGAGGCAGAGATTAAGGCAGGGAAAGAAGATCAAGGTCTTGCCAAAAGTTGAAAAGGGCACGCAGGAAGGTAGCGGTCAAGAGTGGCAGTGGAAGGTAGAGCCAGGTGAGTTTGGGGACCTCTATATGCGCAATCGCCGTGCGACCATCAGCCTCGCTGAACTGGACGCTCCTCTTCTTTGCTCTTGCAGGCATCTCAAGCTTTGGCTCTCACCCTCAAGACATCGCCAATTACCTCCGGCCCCTCTTCCGCCATGCCCTCGATGTCATTCCCCCTCATCAGGTAGCCTCCACGCCCGTTTACATCATGGCAACGGCCGGTATGCGACTCATTCCTCTCGAACAGCAGCGCAGTATCATTCGGGCAACCTGCTCCTTCATCGAAGGGGAGACTTTATTCAGCCTCCATGGGCGATGCGAAGACCACGTGCAGGTCATCAGCGGGGAGGAGGAGGGTTTGCTAGGGTGGATCGCCATCAATTACCTGATGGATGGCTTTCACTTCAAGCCCGACGACGATGCAAAGAAGCTCAACGCTGACACTAAGGCATCCAAGGGCAAGTCCACCTATGGCTTCCTCGATATGGGAGGCGCATCGACGCAGATAGCCTTTGAGCCGAGCAAGCACGCCCTTGCCGCTTCGCCCGCCAGTGGGCATCAGCAGGAGGAAGAGCTGGCGCAAGTCAAGCTGAAGCTCCTCGATGGTACAGAGGTGACGCACGACGTCTTTGTCACGACATTTCTTGGCTTCGGGGCCAACAAGGCTAGAGAAAGATACGAACAACAGCTCACTCATGAGGCGAGTCTGGCAAAGTCGGACAGGCTTAGCGCTGTACCAGACCCTTGTCTGCCTTCGGGCTCGTTGATACATCCCGCTACTAATGCCTCTATCACTGGAACAGGCTCCTTCAACAAGTGTCTCACCTCCCTGGCTCCGTTGCTCGAGAAAGAAGCTCCTTGCTCTCACCCGCCCTGCCTTTTCCACGGTATCCACGTGCCGACGATCGACTTTTCAGTCAATCACTTCATCGGCGTTTCCGAGTACTGGTTCAGCTCCCATGACATCTTCAACCTTGGAGGAGTCTACGACTTTGTTCAATTCCAGAAAGCAGCTCAGAAGTTCTGCTCAAGACCCTGGGCGGAACTAGAGAAGAGTCTGGCGGGAAAGAAAGAGTTTGCTCCCCAGGTGAATGAGGAGAGGCTGAGGATGCAATGCTTTAAGGCTGCTTGGATGGTTACTGTCCTCCATGACGGCATTGGAATCCCCAGGGTCATCGATCACCAGGGCAAAGGAGACGGCAAGGATCATGTCGATCAGGTGGGCCTGAAGGCTGGCCAGAAGAATTTGGTGACCGAAGAGGGAGATTGGTTCCAGAGTGTCAATGAGGTCGAGGGCACGTCAGTCAGCTGGACATTGGGCAAGGCAGTCCTCGAGGCCACAAAGGACGTCAAGACAGTCTTGACTCTGGATGGGCCACATCGCGAAGGATCGGCAATCGGTCTTAGTGGAGATCGTATTGCTTCTCATGCGAAGGAAGCAGCAGGTAATCCCCTCGCCCTGCTATTCCTTGCCATCGTCCTCTTTCTCCTTGGTGGCTTCATCTTCAGTCGAGGGAAGTCACCACGCGCTCAACGGAGGCGGGCCGTATTCAACTTCTTCCTGCCGCTGCCCTTCGGTACCTGCTTTGGTCTGGCGAAGAAGCGTACAGCCAAGGGCGACTATATCTTGGCTGACACAGAGGACGGCGAGGAGGAAATGGAAGAAGGGGCTGTCGGTCTTTCGGACGCATCGAGTTCCTCCAGCAGGGGCGAGCCTGCCTCTTCTCCTTCGAGGTCATCGCGACATCGCCTGGCTAGCGGACGGAACAGCACTGGTCCTCTGATGCGCTTCTTGCCCCTCACTGCCCGTCGCTGGCTGCTGCGCAGCGCAACATACATCCCTGGCACTGCTGCATCCCGTCGAGCGAGCTCGCGCAGGAACAGAAAGAACCGGTCGCAGCACGACAACATCTTTCAACAACATGACGTGCACATGGTCGAGGACCTTCACCTTCAGTCACTTTACGGGAGGGAGATGGCCAGCAATGGCGTTCGTTCCGCCTTTTCTCCTTCGCTCATGAGAGCCTCTCGCCCAGCTTCGCCTTCCATCGCCTCTTTACCTCCGGGCATTGCAGCCAGTGGACCCGGCGGAATCCTCTCGCGTCCCGCCAGCAGGAGCTCTGGCAGAGGAAGTCCGCGCACGGTCAGCAACCCCAGCAGCAGCAACGGGAACGCCAATGTAGGATCGGCCTTTTCCCTCCGACCATACGGATCGCCCCCACCGCTGTTCATGACCAGCACCAACGCCAGCCGATCCAACAGTCCGCCTCAGGGCGCTCTAAACGGATTCCCTTCCTCTACCTCAGCAGGCCCTTCATCACAGGCACCTCTGCGCGCAACCAGTCCGGCAGTCGGAGGATCAGCAGGACCTGGGGGCGCGGCAGCAGCAGGAGCACCCATGGCCTGGACCAGCTCCACGTCCTCGAGCGTCTCAGGGAGCACCACGCCCGTGTACTCTGCCGTGAGTGGCAGCGGCGGCGGTGGGAGCGCGGGCGGAGTGCACCCCATGCTCCTCCCGTCCATCTCTCAAGCTTTTGCTTTCGAAGAGGGGAAGGACAAGGAGAAGAGGGGAAAGAGGGGGTAGAGAGAGCGCGGTGGAGAGGCCGGTAGTCGTTCCACTGGGGAGCTATGCAACTGAAGATGATTCGTACCCATGTATATATATATGCTCTTCAACTCAGGATCTTGTCCTCATCTCCGTTGCATACGCCTCTGGCCGCGTCGGCTAGAGGTCGGGGCATGCCTCAACAACCCTCTGTGTGCGCATGCGTATTGTCGCCCGGTGGCCCACGATCGTTTTGAGGTCTATATGTACGCACCATCAGCACGATCATCTATACCAAGGCAAGATGGCCGAGTGGTTAAGGCGCTGTGTTAAGGAATTGGGACCACAAATCCCAGTCTTCGACCTCGCAGTGGGTAACCGCCTGGGTTCGAGTCCCAGTCTTGTCAAGAAAATCTTCATTTTTGCTTCGCGGAGCACGGAACGTGGCTACGTAGATTTTTGACACTCTGCTTCTGGTGAATACGTTTTATTTCTATGCCTTCATGGCTCTTACAGTCTCTGCCAACTCGTCGGGCTTCTTCCCCTTCGCCGCGAGAATCTCTTCCAGTGTACCGTCTTGTATGCGTGCGTGCCCGGCTTCCAGGCTCGGGTAGGTGGTGCACCACCATTCCAGCATGGCCCTCGGCATTCCAGCCTCTTCGTAGTGACGAATGTACTCCTCGCTGCTGACGACCTTGAGAGACTTCTTTCCGTCGACTATGGCGAGAGACTCTTTGAGGGTCAGGCTGTGTCGAAGCGAGAGGAACATCGTCGCGTCCTTCCACCTGTCCGTCCGATCAGTGATGATGGTGGCAGTCCCGATGCCCAAATCCTGCACACTCGTCCAGCTTACGGGTCCATCTCCAGCCACTACGATCTCCTCCCTCTCGTCTCCTTTTGGCTTGTAGTGACCCAGATACAGAGGCCAGCTCTCATTGTACAAGCCCTCGCGAATAAAGGTATAGCCAACTTTACCCTCACTGCGTAACTTCTTCAAGTAGGCCTCTGTACGAAAGTGAGCGCGCATTACGCCTGCCTGAGATCCATCAGCGAAAGCAAGAGAGGTATAGTAGATGTGCTTTACGCCCGCAGCGACGGCAGCATCGATTGCGCTGAAGTGGGCTTTTTCCCTTCCCTGACCGTGCGGAGCGTCATTAAAGTCCATCTGAATCGCAGGCGTGGAGACGAGGAAGAACCGGTCGGCTTTAGCCTCTGCAAAAGCCTTGGTGAGAGAGTCAGGGTCGTCATAGTTGGCTTGGAGGATACGGGTGCCGGATTCCGCTAGTTGGGCGTAGCTGGAGGGTTGGGACGAGGGTGAGGAGCTGGTGAGGATTACGAGCTCGGAGGGGGAGATGAGGTCGTATTTGAGAATGGCGGCGAGGGTGGCACCGCCGATCCTGCCTGTTGTGCCTGTTAGTGCAAGCATGGTGTGAAGGAAGTAGAGGATTGTAAGGGGGCCAAAGAAAGTGAAGACGGATAACTGAACTGTGTCAGGGTCTCATAGCCGGGCTTCGGAAACGGAAGTCGCGGATAGGATTGCCGCTAACATGACGGCGGAAGCGAGGAATACCGTCCTGGAAGCAGCCACCTCGTCGGACTCGGACACGAGGCGACCTCTGTACCATTGACGTCTGCTGTACTACAATACGTTGGCCAGACCCAAGTTGTCCATCTTCTGGGTATGATAGGCCTCACCACTGTGCCAAGGGCGTGCTCAGGGTCCAAGTTCATCGTGCCGACGGCCTCCACTTTGTCCCGCGTTTCGGCGCAAAGGCGGCCAATGGAAGTCTTGGTCATGAAATCTAGACCGACGCCCGCGATGCTTGGCAACGGCCGCTCAGCCCCCCGCCAACGTCAATTTCAAATCTCTCTCTCCTTCTCATACCACTACAACACTAACCATACCCGCGCCCTCGCCTTCACCGATGCCCGCAGCCGTGGCCTTCCCTACCATCTACAGAAGCTACACCACAGTAGCCCAATAACACTCGCTTGCCTGACCGTCCCCGTTCCCCGGTCAAGAGTTCAAAGTCCCTGCGCGCACGTATACCCGCTCACATACCATGTACCAACCCGTGGAGCTCGACGTCAGCGATGTCAGCAAAGCCTTCGCCATCCTCGGCTTCTTCATTGTCGTGTATGGACAAATCTCCTACATTGTCAAGGAGCGACTCTACCTCTCTGAGCCGCTCATCGCCGTTACCCTCGGCATCATCGTGGGGCCCTATGTCTTAGGATGGCTGGACCCTCTGTCCTGGTCGGATCAGGAGATCAATCGCGAAACGACCTATCAGTTCACCCGCCTCGTCGTTGGTATACAGGTCCTCTTCACTGGCATCTCCTTGCCAAAGGCGTACCTACGAAGGGAAATCATCTCCCTCACAGTACTCCTCTTTGGCATCATGACCACTGCGTGGTTCGTGACCGCCCTACTCATCTGGGGTCTCATCCGATTACCAGCATCTCTCGCCCCAGACGGTATCGGCTATTCTCTCACCTTCCTTGAAGCACTCTGCATCGCAGCCGCCGTCACGCCCACTGATCCAGTCTTGGCCAACTCGATTACCAAGGGAAGGTATGCCGAGAAGCACGTTCCGGCCAATGTGCGAAACATTATCCTTGCCGAGAGTGGCGCAAACGACGGACTGGGCTTCCCCTTCCTCTACCTCGCCATCTATCTCATCAATCGATCATCAGTCGATGCTGGGCTCAGTGTAGGCAGTGAAGTAGGTCGATGGGTTTATGGAGTCGTCATCTACCAGATCCTCCTCTCCGTAGTCTACGGTGCCCTTTTGGGATACATTGCTCGAAAGACGCTCCGGTGGGCAGAATCCCGCAAGTACATCGACAAGGACTCCTTCTTTGCCTTTGGTCTGGGACTCGCTCTCTTCACGCTGGGCACGACCGGCCTCTTCGGCTCAGATGACATTCTCGCTTGTTTCGTTGCGGGCAATTCCTTCACATGGGACGACTGGTTCCGGATTCGCAGCGAAGAGAGTGATATCCAGGACATCCTAGATATGCTCCTCAACGCTGCCGTCTTTATCTACATTGGAGCCATCATTCCTTGGGGCTTCTACCATACAGATGGCGGTATCGAAGCTTGGCGCATTGTCGTGCTGGGTATCACAGTCTTGCTGCTGAGGAGACCTCCCTGGGTCATTGCAAGCATGAAAATTATCCCCGCCCTCAGTACATGGGGCGAAGCAGCCTTTGCCGGCTTCTTTGGTCCCATTGGAGTAGGAGCCGTCTTCTACATCGAAGTCGCCCTGCGCAAGATTCCTGACGATGGCAGTCGCGATCTCCTGCGCAACCTCTATACCCCCGTCGTCCTTTTCTGCGTCTTCAGCAGTGTGCTTGTACATGGTGTCACCGTTCCCATTTCGAAGTTGGGCCCCAACATCGTGCGCAAGTCTGCCACGCTCACAAAGACGCGCTCGATCACCTTGACGTCCAAGCACACACCTCGTTCGAGCGACGAGGCAGGCAGAGGAGGCGGGAGTGGCGAGAAGGAGCTGTGGAATCCCCTCTATTCTCTCTGGCAGGGCCTGCTTTCTGTCGCCTTGTTCTGGCGCAGAGACTCCTTCTGGAGGAGGGACGCTGAGTCTCGCAGCAAGACCCACGCACACATCAGCGAGCCTTCGAATGCGGTACGGCGTGCTTCGATTGAGGAGGAGGGGCGCTCGGAAGGCGGCGGCGCCGAGCTGAACCAGTCGGATTCTGTCGGCACGGAACAGTCGAATGCCAGTGGCAGTGGAAGCGGGAGCAGTGGGGAAGGGCCGAGGGGAGCTCGACCTGTGCCCAGTGCACTCGAGCTGCCCACTTCCCATGCTCATACCGGTAACGCCAACGTTAATACCAGCGCGAACAACAATCACTCTTCTCCAATCCAGCCTCCTGCTCAAGCCTCTTCGGCAAGCACTGAGCACCAACAGACGCGCAAACAGGCCAAGCCTTACAGTTCTCTCTTGCACGACTTGCAGATGATGCTCGACAAGGAAATGAGCGCCGAGCGGTCCGAGGCGCGAGAGGAGGCTGGGGCTGGGTGGCCCGAAGAGGTGAGGAGGGCTTTGGAAAAGGCGAAGCTGGAGCAGGAGGCTAGAGAGGCAGAGGGGACTGGGGTAGGAGGGAGTGCGGTAAAGCAGCAGCAGCAGCAGCACCAAGGAGCGCAGGGAATGGCTGCTCCGGATAGCATGCCTGGTACGCCTTCTCGGGTCAGGTTCCATGGGCGGTAGGTAGCCCAATGGACAAAGCACCGCTGAGTGTGCAGGCTGTAAAGAGCATTACGAGATCCTAGCATATTGCGAGCGACTGCGAGTGTAGATATCATGTATGACCCATCCGCCCCCTAATTTTGCAACCTCATCTTCGTGATCCCTGCCTGCCGCACCAGGCTTTCGCTAGTCCTGCCGCGCCCTCGTGCCCGTCGCCTCCAAAAAGGCCAGCAGAGCAGGATCCGGCGCCCTCCGATCCAGCGAGCCCGTAGCGATCGATCCCCCCGATCTTCCCCCGCCACGCGTGACTGGCTCCGTAGCTCCCCCTTCCCCATCGGGACCCCCACCACCGCCAATGATGGGAATCGTGTCCTTGTGCTCATTCCATAGGTCCCAAGACTCGGCAACCCAGTCCCGTGGAAGGGAGCGGGAGAGCATGTCCTGCCAGTCCCAGGGCGCGGCTGGCAACAGACCCACGGCGCGATTCGTAGACGTTGCCCATTGGCTGGAGCTGCTACCGCCTGCGTCTGCGTGTTGAGCCCATGGGAGAGGTACACCTTCCCCGCCGTAGCCAATAGTGCTACTGTCGCACGCCCAAGAGACGATGAGTCGGAATTGCTCCTCGGATAGCACCCGATCGGCGTCCAGCTGGCGAAGAATCGCTAAGCGCAACTCAGGGGGCAGGCGTTCAAGAGCCAGAGGCGAAGCAGTACTACCGGTATCAGAGGATTGTGCAGAAGGGCCGATCGAGGTCGACTTGCAGCCGAGAATGCGCGCTCTACCGATGATTTGCTGTGCTGCATGGATCACAGAGGAGCGCTGCCCCGTGTTCTTCCAGAGGTGGGCGCCCAACTTTCGTCGCCAGTTCTCGGCAGTGATGTGTGCGTAGGAACGACGGTCGTCTGGCTCGTACTCTGTTTGGGAGGAGCTGCCCCGATGGTCCTCTGAGAGATCGGCTTGTGCTTTCATTGCACTGCGTGGACTCAATAGGTCACCAGCCACAAAGGATACAGTGGGCCCTGTGGCTCCCTCGGCGGCTGCTTCCCTCGCAGCTCGGTAGCCTCTGGCAATGCTTAATGTCCTGCGAGTCCGGCCGTTCGAGCCGGACTTTCCTCTCCTATCTGCATTGTCCTCTTGCACCTCGTCTTCGTCTCGCTCGTCCGACTCGCAGGTAGCAAAGAGCTCCACGTGCGTCAAGATCCGATTGGGCGTTGATGCTGGCCCACCGACGGCGGCTGCGACAATCATCTTGACACCAGGAAGGGTGAGGTGGTTGCCATTGAGCGTGAGAACTTCCAATTGCGGAGCACTCCCTCCGCTATGAGCCTCGTCGGAACTCGCCCCCTCACCATCTTCTTCCTCGTCGATGGTTGCGCTGGCTCTCCGCCGTTCTTGCCTTCTCTTGACCCTGAGTAACCGGGCTATGCTCAGAGCCGCTCTCTGCGAGTCTTCTCTACTGATCATGCCCCGCGGAGGGAGCGTGAGGCTTAGCCGGAGCTCGTGCAGACAGGGTGCATCGAGATTGTCTACCAGCTCGCAGAAGGCGTCTATGCTCAGTCTTGTGTCGGACAGGACCAATTTGCGCAGCAGAGACTGCGAGGCGCCTTGACTCAGGGATCGTAAGCTGGGAAGAGGCTGCTGAGGGGCGCCGGGTGTAGAGAGGGAGGTCAACGTGACTGGGGCGGGGGATGGATGAGATTTGCAAGGGTCTGGCAACTCACTTGGGACAGTGTATTGAGTGTGAGGTCTAGCGTGGTCAAAGAGCCGTGCATAGCAATGAGATCTGCAAAAGCGTCGTAGCCCTTCTGTGTGAGTTTGTGGTTGGACAGGGTAATGACCCGCAGAGGCAGCCGTGTCGATTGTATTGATGGCCCGGCGATGTTCGAGCTGTCTTCATCCATGCCATCCTCCACACCCAGAGACTCTCCTCTCTGCCGCCTCTGACGCCTCTGCAATGCCTTCGAGACCCAAGGCGCATGCCTTACTTTCCTACAATCCTCACCGAGCCACTCTACTAGCTCCACCACCTCGTCCCCGGCAGCCAGGAGGGAGATCTTGAAGACCCGTATGGCATGGTAAGGGTCAGTCTCGCTCCGCTCGAGAAGCCGAATCGATTGGTCGAGGGTCAGCTCGCTGAGGTCGAGATGGTGAGTGGCAATGGGAGGTCCTGGTCTGGGAGCCCACATGGCATTGTGTCGATGTGCGGAAGAGTTGGACAGATGCAACGGTGGGACAAGGAGGAGGTCAGACGCCGGACGGTGGACGGACCACCAACGGAAAGGGGAATGGAAAACCTCGTGCGCTACGCCCGCGTCGAACCCGCGTCCTTCAGCTTCCCGCGCATCCTCGCAGCTGTGACTCCAACCGTAGCATCACCTTCCTCGGCCGTCGTACACTAGTGAAAGGGAGACTACATTACACACTCCTGACCGTGGAGGGCAAAAAGGATGTTCCAGGGCATGTAGCTCCTTGGGAGGTTGGGCTGAAAAAGTCTTTACAAGCTGTTGTAATCGGACTGCAAATCTGCTCAGGTAAGGAAAAGGCGTATCTGAGGTTGTTCCGTTAAGCAATCCGAACAGCCAAGCAGACAGATTCTAATTTAGTAATTATATACCCCCGCGCAGCTGAGGGGGCCTCTACCCTACGCTCAAGCCCCCTGGCGCCCGTGCGCAACTGATTGTGTCGATGCCGCCGGGTGATTCATGGGTGCAGTTTCTTCTTCTTCTTCCAACGAGCACCTGCTACTTTCGCGTGAGCAGTCCAGCCATGACGTCTACATTTTCTACACATCCCAGGCGGCTGCCACCCAGGGCCGCATCTATAGACTACTCCCTCTACCTCGTCACCGGCCGGGAATTATTACCGCCTGGGGTGGACTATTACGAACACCTCGACCAGACACTGCGCGGCGGGAAGGTGACGGTGGTACAGATCAGGGAGAAGCATGTGGATAATGGAGAATTCCTAGACATCGCACAAAGGAGTTTGGCGATATGTGACAAGGTGGGCCTGCGCGGGTGACGGTGAGCGATGTCAGAAGCGACCCTGACGACTCCCCCGGATTCACCTCCCCCTGTGCTAGTACTCGGTCCCAATGCTCATCAACGACAATCTCTCCGTTGCACTCTGCCTCCCGGACCGGGTCGGACTACACATCGGTCAGGAAGACATCCCAGTAGCAGAGGCACGGAATTTGCTGGGTGACGATCGGCTACTAGGCCTCTCTGTCCACACAGCAGAGCAAGCCAGGCAGGCACTGAGCAATGGTCATGCAGACTATGCTGGGGTAGGACCAGTGTATGGGACACAAAGCAAGGTCGGGATCACATCCGACAAGGTGCTCGGTCCAAAGGGTGCTGCAGCGGTAGTTGCGGCACTCTCTGATCCGTCTTCGAGCAGGCGGATACCCTGCGTACTGATCGGTGGGATCAACGCTGCCACTTGCGCTCGGAGCCTGACTGGAGCAGCGAGTTATGCCAACCAGCCAGACGGAGTGGCCGTCATCTCAGGTATCGTCTCGCGGCGAGACCCAGAGGTCGCAGCTGAAGAGCTGTCAACTATCGTTGGCGACTTCAAGTCGCGGGTTGAATCAGCTGGCAGAGCGCCTTCGTCCACGAGGTGGCAAGACGAGAGTTTGCCTTTGCTAGCCGCAGACCTCCTCGCCTACCACCGCTCGGCACCTCTCGGCCCGCCTCTGATCCAGACGATCACATCCCACGTCTCCTCGACGATGTCCGCTAACATCGCCCTCGCATTCTTCTCGAGCCCCATCATGAGCCACCAAGAAGTCGAGGCAGCAGATCTAGGCCGGGTGACGGGGGCAGTCGTGCTGAATATCGGCACCATCTCCGAGGAGTCACGGAGAGGGATGACCGCCGTGGGTCGCGAGGCCAACCGAGGCGGGAAGCCCGTCGTCCTTGACCCAGTCGGTGTTGGTGCGTCTGCCTTCAGGAAGAGCTGCGTGGAACAGATCCTCAGCGAGACGCAGGTGACCCTCATCAAGGGCAACGCAGCCGAGCTGGGCGCCATTGCCGGCATCACCGAAGTCACCTCGCGCGGCGTGGACAGCGGAGCGGGCACGCTGAGCGACCCTGTCAGTCTAGTACGGACGCTAGCGCGTAGGGAGAAGTGTCTGATTCTGCTTACGGGAAAGACAGACTATCTGTCTGATGGAGACGCTGTCTTCTTGTGTGAAACTGGACATGAAAGGGCGAGCCAGATCACTGGCACAGGGTGCGCACTGGGCGTCATGCTCGCGGCGGGTATGGCCAGTGCCTGTATACAGGCCAAGCAGTCGGCGCAAGAGGGCAGCACAGGAGTAGCCCACAACGAGACGGCCTCTCTGACGACTTTGCTTGTCAAAGCCAGCCATCGTGCACTGCTGCTTGGAGCTCTGACAGGGTGAGTATGTGAACCATTTGGAATACCAGATCCCCTCTCTGATATTCTTCAGCTCACAAACCGCCTTGTTGTCGCTGTTCATGCACCCCTCTACCCACTTTCACAGTCTCCTCACAATGAACATCGCAGCGGAGCTCGCAGCCGAGCGCCACGACGTGCGTGGTCCAGGTTCCTTCATCCCTGCACTCATCGACGAGATTGCGAATTTGGACGCTGACACCCTTCGGAAGAGGGCAAAGGTGAGGCTGGCGTGATGTAGGGCTGGAAAGTGACTAGCGTGGTAGACTGCTTCATCTGTACGCTGGGTGTGGTCAATCATATCATTGCTGTTTCTACGCGCGTTGAGGAAGAGGGTCGGATTGACAAAGGAGATATGGAGACTGACGGGATGCACATGGTCTATTTGGATTGTTCGCTGTACTTTCACCACAATCGGTGCGCCACCTGAGGGGCCTACATGGACACCTGCGCCAACCGATTCCTCGTAGCCTCCAGCAACGAGCCCATCTTTGACTTTCCTTCGCCCGTCTTGCTCTTCTCCCCCTCATCAGTCACACCAAGCCACCTAGCCGCCTCTGCATCCGTTTCGGGCATCTTGTCCTCCCCACCAATACTCATCCTCTCGGCGACGTGGTGCGAGTGCATCATGTCTTCCTTTGTCGGTGCGCGCTGCGTTCCGATTCGGTTCAAGATGGACTCGGTCACCTCACCCGCACGCCAGGCACAGATGCTCAATAATGAGTCGGAGAGTCCATGCGTGACCTCGTTGCCACCAAAGGAGTAGATGTTGGGCTCGAAGCGAGGACCAGCATCCAGCGCCTCGTCGTCCGCATTCTGAGCGAGGGTGACTTCGGAGAATTCAGAGTTGCGGCGAGAGAGGGCTGCTTTCGCAGAGGTGACAGAGCTGCTCATGGGCTTGGCCTTGTAAGGGTCCGACTCCCAGGCCACAAGACGGTAATCCCGGGTGATGCCGCGCGTGCGCTGTCGTACCATCTCCTTTGCAACGGCGTCGTCGCCAGTCATGGTCCGACTGTCATCGTCGTCGGAGAAGCCCAGAGCTGCTCGCTTCTTCGCATTCGTCTCGGGATCGCTCAAGATGGGAAGGTGAGGCTGTAAAGGCTTCATGAAGGCAAAGCTTGCAGGGCGACGCTCAAAGCCAGTTCCGAGGAAGACGGCGTCGAACTCTTCGACGTCTTGAGGCTCGTTGAGCTTCGTAGACTTCATGACCAGGCGCACATGCTCATCTGCGCCCTCGTTGATCAGCTCAGCTGACTCGACGTACGTGTTGGCCGTGATCTCCAGTCGACCTTCTGCGGGTCCGTCGGATCCAGGGAAGAGCTGTGGCAGCTCAATCTTTTGGTTGTAGATTTGTTCCGAGAGCTCGTTGAGCACGTCCGACCTAACAACGGAATAGTTGGTCCTCTTGAACTCCTGTCTCCACTCTTTCCGCTCCTTCTCGCCAGCGGCCCAGTAGGCGTCTGTTCGCTCAGGATCAAAAGCGACGGAATTGACAAAGGCAGAGTCGTCTGAGGGTACCAGGGTGGACGCGCGGAAGATCATCTTGACCGAAGCTGCAGGGAAGGTGCGGCGTAGGTGCAAGGCCATCTCGGCCGATGACTGGCCAGCGCCGATGACGGCGAACTTCAGCGGCCAATTACTCTTAGAGGCTGGCGAGCTGCGACCGATTCTGCGCTCCACAATGGCGGAGAGCTCTGGTTCGATGGCGTTGAGGCAAGGCAGGAAAGTAGAAGAGTGGATGACACGAGAGACAGTGTCCCATGGTGAATCCGGGAAGATGTGCGAGAATTGCTGAGGCACAGTCGGTCGGCCGCCGACACCGACAGTGATGTTGCGGGTGAGACGGACCACGATCTGACCAGAGCGCAGACGGGAGGTGACGCGCAGCAGGCGCACGCTAGCGTCGGCGGGGGCAGCAGTAGCCTGCGAATTGGCGTGGTCAATGCAAGACTTGTTGCCTCCTGAGTTGCTGATGGGCTCGATGCTGAGGACTTGCTCGCCGTAGTTGACCAGGTGAGTCAGCCTAGAAGCGCACCAAGTGAGGTAAGCGCTCCACTCTCTCCGACTGGGAATGTTGGCCTCACGGTTGATGGAGGCAGACAGTCGGCCTACCTTGTGCAGGTAGTTGACAAATGTGAAGGTCGAGGTGGGATCCCTCATCGTGGCCAAATCCTTGAAGGGCGAGACTTGCAGCTGGGCACCTGGGAGGAGCAAGGTAGGGTGCCATGCGAAGGTGGCTTGCCTCTCGATGAAGCTGTACTTTAGCCCTCTACGCTTCGCTTCCTCCGACTCAGTGAAGGAGATGGCCAGGGCCATGTTGGCTGGCCCAAAGCCGATACCGAGTAAATCGTAGATCTCATCCTCGACTTTCGGAGGCAGCTTCGAAGTGGAGTCTTTCTGACCTGACATGACGGAATTGTCCAAGACAAACCGGCGTGAAGGCTGAGACATGGTGAAAGGAGGGCAGTGATTGCCGTAGCCCACCGTACAAATAGAAATGTGATGAAGAAGGAGGGATGATTACGATGCGGGCCTGGGTGGGGAGTAGTGCAACAGGGAGCAGATGGCGTAAGGACACTTGTAGAGATCCTGTGCTTCGAGGGAGGCGAGGCTGGCCAGCTCCACTTACGTTACGTTAAGGATGCATTGCCCCAGGTGTACCGAAGACAAAGGAGCATGCCGATGAGCACGTCGATTGCAGCCGAGGACAAGGAAGTAGTTGGGTCCGAAGTTGGGTATATGCCGATTTGAAATCAATCGCAGTGGAGGCGAGTGGGTGACCGAGATGTGGCAGAGCAGGGACACATCCACATTCCGTCGTCCGTCGGAAAATGGATTTGTAATGGCGTCAGGCGGGGAGACGTGGGCCCGTGCCGAGGAGGAGGAGCAAGAAGAAGTGGGCGAGGAGGGAGAGGAGGAGAGCAGCGTCAGATCACGTCACCGGAACGGAAGATGAGCCCCACCCACACACCCAGCCACTCCGCCATTCACCGCCGGCAAGAGTCGCCGATCGCCGTTGATGAGCGTAATACAGATGCTCCTGGACACCCACATCTCCCCCGCTGCCGAGGCTGTCAGGGTTCAATGACGATGATGACTTTCCGCACCCACCATGGTAGTGTGAAAGCATGACCGTCATCCAGAAAGCATGGCTGTCATTCGGCATCGACGCGCATCCATTGGCGGAATCCACGACTCGGTTGACCTCGCCAGACAGGATGGACCCTGGCGGCGACGTCACAAGCCCCGCGGCGTTTGCGTAGCGCAAAGAGAGGGTAGCGTAGTACTCACGAGTGGAAGGGAGTCGAGACGCCGATTGCTGCAAGAGCTGATTTTCTTGTGATGACTCCAGCTACGCAGTTGGCCAGCAGGATGTAACAACTTCTCTCCGTCTAGCTTTCGATGGCTGTGCCTATTGAGAGCCTTGAACAAGATGAATGAGCCTTTTGTTGGAGCAGATGAGAAGGCGGTGAGCGGTGGGTGGTGAAACCCGTGTGATGTATGAAGCAGAGAAGATATGGGCGAGAAGAATCAGAAGATCTTGACGGCAGTGAAAGAGACGGAGCAGCTCGGGGCGTGGCAGGGCAGGGCAAGGCAAGGCAGGGCAGGACAGAGTGAAGCGGAGCGGGGACAGGCGGGGTTGTGATAAAACTTCGTGGTAATCAGATTAGGGGGGCCGCGAAAAAAAGGGGCCGGGTCAGTCACGGCGAACTAAATCCATCACGTCCGATGACGAGATTTTCACACTCCTCCCCCGCCCTAGAAGGGGGAATCACGTCCGCGGCCTCACTTGAACCTCGGATCTGCACGTCCTTCTATGCCAAGCTCCCCTCTCGGTCATGACCTGACCTAGGTCTAAGCGAGGAAAGGGCTACAGGCGTAGATGTCTGTACCATGGAAAGACTGGGAAGGTCAGCGGTATGAAATTGCTTACGCGAGGGCAATAAGGGGAGTCCGGACGAATGGGACGCGCATTGCACCTGTCCCTTATCCCGAGCTGGTATCCGGAAGGGTGCTCAGCGTCTGTGGTTGTGAGCTCGAGCCGGGGGAGACGCCGTAGGTTGACTCGCCTCCTTGCTGTCGCTGTAGGTCCTATTCCCTTTTCTCGTCAGCTGCTCGGAGTCATGAAAGGCAAAATTGATCTGTCGCTCAGGTCCCCCTGATCTGGGTACGATTGTCTCATAAGCTGGTTCCACAAGCAGCACAGCACGCCATGTGATCTCAGTCATGAAAGAGCGACTGGTTTTTGGGTGCACCTGCGGGGCTGTGAAAGCGCTCGTGGGCTCTAGGTCCCCCAAAGCTGCCGCCGGGCAAGCAAGACTCAGATCAGGTACATGGAAGTCTCCCAAATAGTACCGTGCATAGGCGAGCTTGAGAACCTCCTCCGGTCTCGACCGACGCACTTTTCGGTCCCATTCGGCAAGAGCCAGAGCTACTGAGCCGTCGACACCTAAGGGGTTGAAGCTGAGCACAACGTATCCGAAGACTCCTCATGGATCACGTCTGTCTCTCGTTGAGTTCTCAGGCGGCTGTAGGCAGCCACATTGGAGACGTACACTCCTCGTCCAGATGCAAAGGTCCATGGAGCTCTGTGAAGTAGGCAAAGCGAGTGCTACCGTCAATGTCGCTCCATTCTGCCCATCACCGACTTGACTTTTTGCACTGCCATGCCGGAGACACGTCGCCTCGGCGTCAAGCATTCTGCCAGCTGTATTCCTTTGCCGTCCCCTCGGCGGGTAAACTTTTGCACTGGACGCCCTCAACCGGTAGGGTGCGTGCAGGCGCCGTGGCTCGGGTGGAGGCTGGCGTTCTTTATTTTTGGCCCATGCGACCCCGCCTCTCCTTCGGAAAGAGGGTATGGCACTTTACTAATCACTTCCCGTACCCGCATTCTTGGCTTCATTGGACGTGGCTCTAGCTCTGTGATTGCGCTGCGATCATGACGGGCTCCTCTCCTCCTTCATCACATCCTTCATCATCACAGGACTGTCCTTCATCTTTGCTCTCTTCGCCTTCCTCGTCTTCCCTTCCCGCATCTGCCGATCAGGTGCCGTACCAGCATACACCCTTTCCCGATGTCTCGGGCCTACGTACAGATGCTCCCGGCCGTACAGGCTGGGTGGAGGCGAGCAGTGGAGACCTCTCCGACCTCATACAGATGGCTAGCAGCGTTGAAGAAGCTAGAGAATGGCAGACTGGAACGCTGCTGGCTGCTGCCTGGGCCGTGATTCTGGTGAGCGCTGCGAGACAGGGAGCACGTGCCGCAAGGTTGGGAAGGACGTGACGCTGACAGGAGAGCGCCCTGCATGCCATCATGATTGCAGACTCACTATATACATCAGGAAGATACGGACATTGCACTCCAGACCTCGACTCGGCGGGGACTTGCAGCTGTTATCCGTATATGCGGTCCAGAGGTGAAGAGATGGAGCTCCGAAGAGCTCTGTGGCCGGGTCAGCGCCCAATTGCAGGAGGCTGTGCAGCTCGAAGGAAAGAAAACTCCGGATACTAGTGTGGTCTGGGGGATCAAATCGAACCACTGCGAGAGTGCAACAGTCGAACATACTGGTGATGCCGCGGCTACGCTTCTGGCTTCACGACACAGCTTAGGTATCCGGGCGGCAGCTAGGGTTCACTCTCGGCAGTCGGCTTTGCTGCACCTTCGGCAGGTAGAGACATACTTCCGCTCTTTCGTCGATGATCTGCGCTTCGGACAGCCTACTTCTGGTGAATCTGCTAGCTTTCCGGGTTGCGACTCTGCGCGCTTGCCCTACGAGCTCTGTGCAGGCGACAACCCGGAGCCTCAGCAGGCCTCATTGCCAGACGACTTTCCCCTGAGCAAGGAGCTCTTTCACCACCAATTTGAACGACAAGTGCTTGTAAACCCCACCTCTATTGCCCTCGACTTTCGGTACGACCTCAGCCCTTCATCTTCTCGTAACATTCGATGGTCGTTTGCTGAGCTCGACCGGAGGGCTCGCCTCGTCCGAGACGAGATAGTGTCTCCAGAGTCAGAGCTGAAAGAAGACGCTATCGTAGCTCTGTGCTTGGCCAAGAGTCCAGAGCTGTATGTCGCCCAGTTGGGAACACTCAAAGCTGGAGCAGCCTTTTGTCCCATTGACCCGAATTGGCCAAGGCAACGTCAAGAGGCACTGCTGGTAAAGAGCGAGGCCAAGATCTTACTCGCAGCGGGAGATGCCGTCTGCGAAGCCTTGGAAGCCATCAAGCCCCATCATATGCGGTTGGTCAGGCTAGACCATCTCGAATGGAGTGCAAAGAAGGAGCTTCCGACTGACCCGACTGCTGATACTTATCAAGCCAAGGCGATCCCGGCGTCTTCGCTTGCCTACAAGATCTGGACGTCTGGTACGACTGGTTTGCCCAAAGCAGTTGGTATCGAACACAGAGCCGCCGTGCAGGCATTGCGGTCTTTGCAGAAGGTCATTCCGCACGACGGACCCGACATCCGCTACCTTCAATTCTCTGCATACGTCTTTGATCTTTCCATCCTTGACTGCTTTTACACCTGGGGTTTGGGTGGCACGCTCTGCTCGGCGTCTCATGACCTCTTACTGGCCGACCATGTAGGCGTCGCCAACGCCTGCGAAGCATCTCATTCACTGCTCACACCAGCGGTCATGGCCATGACACCACGAGAAAGCATTCCAAGCCTCAAAGTCGTGATCAATGGCGGTGAGAAGCTGACGCAAGTGGTGGCCGACATGTGGAGTGTTGACTGCTGTCTGCTCAATCTGTACGGGCCTGCAGAAGCTACGCTCATTGCTATGCACAGACGAGTGCCGGTTGGTGACTCTGTCAGAGCTCCCAACATTGGCGTGGCATTACCGACTGTTTCCTGCCATGCGCTCGATGAAGCAGGCTCGATCGTGCCAAAGGGAGCAATTGGCCAATTGGCGTTAGGAGGCTTCCAGTGCGCCCGCGGCTATCTTGGAGATGCCGACAAGACGGTCGAGAAGTTCAAGGAGCACCCGAGCCTTGGCCGAGTGTACCTCACCGGCGACCTCGTTCGCCAATTGGCGGATCAGTCGTTCGAATACCTTGGAAGAGAGGACGATCAGATCAAGATCAACGGCATTCGCATCGAGACGTTGGAGATTAGCGCTGTGATAAAGAATGCGCATCCTGATGTCAGAGATTCGGAGACTCAGGCACTGAGCTTCGACAATGATCCGTCTGGACAGCTCCGCATTGTCAACTTTTCAGTTCTGCCAGACGCTGACGAGCACAAGAGCTCTTTTCTTCGAGCTGATTTGGTTGCTGCCAGAGTGGCGCATGATCTGCGTCTGGCTGCTCAAAAAGCCTTGCCATCATACATGGTCCCCTCATTGTTTCTGATTGTTAGCCATTTTCCCCGGACTTCGAGCGCAAAGATAGACCGAGCTGCGCTCAAGAATGCGCTGAATGACCTTGACATTGCAAAGTGGGAAGCGGCCATTGCGGGGGAAGATGGAGGATCCACAGTCAACAACGCCGATAAGGGCATCGCTCCGTCAAGTGAAGCAGAGGGCATCATCAGCAGCTTCGTATCGGAGCTTTGCAATATCGACGCTGATCGCATGGGCAGGATCACCCCCTTTCCCAGTCTGGGTCTTGACTCTATCAAGGCCATGGTCCTCGCTCGGAAGCTGACGAACGCGGGTTTTGCGACGTCTGTCATCGACATCGTTGAGCATGCGAATGTGGCCAGATTAGCTCGCAAAATTTCGCATGGTGGCGAGCCTTCCGGCGCCAGTCGGGATCAGCTCGGTATGACCTTCCTCGCTGCATTCGATCGTCGATTCCGCAGCGGCATCCAGCGGGAACTTGAGGTCGAGGCATCCAACATCGAATCTATAGCTCCTCTCACCCCACTGCAAGAGGGTATGCTGGCGGAGACGCTACGTGATCTGGACCAAGGTAGCTATTGGCTTAACAGGAGGTATTCTGTCGCTTCGGGAGTTGATAGTACCGCCCTGCAGCAAGCCATAGAGGACTTTGTCACAAATACACCGGGCTGCCGAACCACCTTCTCTAGCAACCCCGGTACCGAGTCGGATGCAGAGCTTTCCAGCAACTACGCCTTTTTACAGGTTGTGCGGAAAGATCTCACAGCTAACGTGAGAGTCCTCAACTTACCAGGAGATGATGCAAGCCATGATCAGCAGCTTCTAGCGGCGGCCAAGGGTCTGACCGGCAGTAATCCTGTCAGCGACAAGTGTCCTCTGAGCTTCGTAATCGGGTGCGCAGGAAACGGTACTACGCGCTACCTTCTCTTGCGTGCGCATCATAGCATCTATGACGCCAGGTCGTTGGAACTATTCGAGGAATTGATCACTGCACAATTGTCAGGCCATAAGACTCGATCTCTTCCTTTGACAACAGCTCTTCCGTCGATCTTGTCTTTGACATCCGAAGAGGAGGAGCAAAGGAGAGACACCTGGGAGCAGGCGCTAGAGGGGGTACCGAAGCCTCCCAGCGCCTTGAAATTCCCAGAGCTCAGTGGGAGAGAGGTTGGAGGAGCCGCAGCTGTCAAAGCTCACTTCGGGCATGTGTCGACCATTTCTTCAATCACCTGGTCCGAGCTCTCACGTACAGCGCAAGAGATGGGCACTTCAGCTCGACCGATTGCTCAGTGCGCATGGGCAGCCATCCTAGCGGCGTATCTCGACACCGACTGCATCCTCCTTGGCGACTCCATATCCGGGCGGGCTATCGGACCCAACATGGAAGATGTCTTTGGTCCGCTTCATGCAACAGTGCCAGTGCCAATCAAAGTACCACCCGGCCTCACGCGTCGAGAAATGGTCGACCAAGTCGATGAATTTCACAAGGCGATACTGCATCATCAGCACGTTTCTCTGAGCTTCGTGCGCAAAGTGCTAGAAATGCGCCCCGACGAGACACTCTTCCAGTCAGTCTTCGTCTTCGAGCCTGATAGTGGCCAACAAGCACGACAGTCCGTCTTCTCCATCAGTAAGGATCTTGAATTGTCCGTTGAGCATCCTCTTGCAGTAGAGCTCTCGACGGATAAGACTGGCAAGATCTTTCTTGGCATTGTTTATCGGGGCGACTTGATGACCGCAGAGCAAGCGCAAGTCATGCTTGCTCAGTATAATGCCTCGTTGGCGTCCTTCTGCTCTCATCCGGATGCGGCACCTCAAGACTGGTCGTCCGGCCGCTGTTCTGAACATCTGCTCTCAATCTCAAGCTCGCGACCTTCAAGGTGGATCGACAAAGCAGTTGACGTTCCTGCTGAATTGTGGCTGAGTAAGACAGCCGCCCAGTATCCAGACCGCCCAGCTCTCGAATACTGGTCCTCTTTAGAGCCCTCAGCGGTGCCTGAAGTCCTCTCTTACCAAGAACTACGCGAGAGAGTGAACAGAATGGCGGCCTTTCTGACGGAGTGCGCACGTCCGAAAAGTGTCGTTGCAGTCTGTCTATCGCGATGTGTCATGACGTACGTGTCCCTTCTGGGCATCCAGCAAGCTGGTCTTACTTACCTTCCTGTCGATGAAAATCTGCCTGCAGAGCGGCAGGAGCTACTCGTCAACGAAAGTGGAGCTATTGTGGTTCTCGCAGACGACAAGTCTTTGTCCCATTTCAAGAGGTGCTCGGCGAGGGTGTTCAATGTGCACAGTGTTGACTTGGCCCGCTACCAAGGTCATGAATGGTACACGGACGTCTCTCCATCGGATCTCTCGTATGTGCTTTATACGTCCGGCAGCACGGGCAAGCCAAAAGGGTGTAAGATTACTCGCAGCAACCTCTCTGTGACCATAGAGGCCTTCAAGTTGACGTTTGAGGCGGAAGCGCCTGGCTCCTTCGAGTCCGGAGCTCGCTTCTTGGCGAGGTCGGCTGAAGCTTTCGATGTCGCCCTCCTTGAGGTGTTTCTGCCTCTGCGTACGGCATCAACGATCGTGACGGGCCCACGGTCTCTCATACTCGAGGACTTGCAGAAGGCGATGTCCACGATGCGAGTCACCCACGCTGCTGTGGTGCCTTCGCTCTTCTTTAGCGAAGGATCACGAATCCGACCCGAGGATCTGCCTGACCTTCGCGCTCTGATCATAGGTGGAGAAAAGATTCCCACTGACATCGTGGAACTGTGGGGTGGGTCAAAAGTGCCTACATTGAATGCCTATGGTCCGACGGAAGCTACCATTGGCAACTCGATCGCAAGAGTCCGACCTGAGTCGTCGACAAGGAACATCGGACGAGCTTTTCCTGGCAGTCAATACGCCATCATGGTCGAAGTCCCCGGTGGCCGATTGCAACCTGCTTTACGAGGACAAGCAGGCGAGCTGTGTATCCTTGGTCCGCAGGTGGGCGATGGATATCTCGGTCAAGAAAAATCTCCTGCATTCAGTCTGTATCATGTTCAGCAAATGTACCGCACTGGCGATCTTGCGAGAATGACCGTCGACGATGAAGCCCTCTATCTAGGACGCATCGACGCCTCACAGGTCAAGATCCGCGGAGCTCGTCTAGAGCTCAGCGAGGTCGACGCCGTGCTGCAGACCTCTGTCCCTGAGCAAGGTCTTCATATTACAACAATCCACCTTCAGAGCAAAGATCAGCTGGTCACATTTGTAGCAAGGACAGCTCGGGCATCTGTCCTTCCCGATGGTGAGCTTGCGTTGGATCGCTCTATTACTGAGGTGACCCAAACAATGTGGCAGAAGGCGCGCTCTCTGCCGTCGCACATGCGCCCAGCAGCGATTGTGCCGCTCGTAGTACTTCCTCTGGCGGTCATCTCGGGCAAGATTGATCAACAAGCTTTACGATCGATGTACGAGCGTCTGGGCTCATCTGTCGACATCCACGCCGGTGGACGTGACACTGCAGATAGTCGTCCGCTATCCAAGAGAGAGGCGCTAGTGGTCGAGGAGCTGTTAAAATTGATGCCAACCTCGGCCAGATGTCAAGCGGCGCCAACGCCATCGAGTGACCTCTTTGCCCTTGGCCTGGATAGTCTCTTGGCTGTCCGCCTCTCTGGGAGATTGAGGCAGCGAGGGCTCAATATCACTGTCTCCAAGCTCCTCAGCAGTGTCAGCATTGAGGACGCTGCGGAGGAGGCTCACGAAGATAGTAAGCCTGAGCAGAGTGGGGTCAGGTCGCAGTCGGAAGGGCTCACTGAGCGTGCTCGAGAGCTGGGTCTCCTTCCTGTGGAGCATGAGGGCGTCTTTCACTGCACCGCCTTGCAAGAGTCTCTCTTGGCGGAAACTCTGTCCCACTCGAATACCAGTGACGAGGGGCTGCCCTATGTCTCCACTATCGAGGTCACTTTGGCGGACTCAGTAGACGAGACCAGATTGGTCCGCGCCGTCGATGAAACCATTGCTGCACACCCGATTTGGAGGACAGCCTTCGCAGAGATTGATGGCAGGCTTTGCCAGCTGGTCAGCTCGAAGACACAATCTGGCCTCTGGGTCTCCGAATCTCAAATGCTCGAGGGGCGCCCATTGATCGACAATATCAGCGCGATAGCTCCAGTGCGACTGCGAATTTGTAGAGGTACGACAGGCTTGAAGCAATTGGCAATTCTGGCACATCACTCGCTCTATGACGGCGTGTCCCTCGATCTCTTCATTGGGGAGGTCGAATTGCGGTACGCCGGCAAGGTCGTACCAGACACCAGACCGTTTCGCGAGCTCTCCGAATTCGTCAATTCTCGAGACGAAGAAGCCTCGAAGCGCTTCTGGCATTCACAGCTTGAAGACTCTATTCTTGCTCCATTTCCCTCTTTGAACCCTCTCCAAGCCAACCCTTCAAAGGAGAGAAGCGAAGCTCAGCTTTCAAGCTCCACTTTATACGCCCAGCTGGGCGAACTGGCACGGAAGCTGGGCGTCACACAACAAGCCTTGCTCATTTCGGCATGGGCCACGCTTCTAGATCAGTTCACAGGAGAGACCGACTCTGTTTTCGGCCTCGTTCTCAGTGGACGTAGTATCGACTTCGAAGATGCAGAACATATCCAAGGCCCTCTCATAACGACCGTGCCCTTCCGTGCAAATACACAGGAGGGGAAGGGCGACCCCACCAGACGGGTTCAATCAATCCATAAACGCCTATTGGACACGTACAAGTATCAGCATACATCCCTCCGCAAGATCGGTCAGTGGCTGCAAATAGACGCACCGTTGTTCAACGTCCTTTTCTCTTTCCTCGCGCCGCCTTCCAAGTCACTAGCTACCTCAATCTTCCTTGATACCACGACATCTATGCAAACGGAATACCCATTTGCGGTCGAAGTTCAGCCTCAAATTGACGACTTCATACAGTTACGCCTGGCTTACGACCCTCAATTTATACCCAATGATCAAGCAAGCCTTCTCCTACTTCAATTAGACGACGAAATTAGACGATTGGTCTCAGTCACATCCCAGCAAGTTCACCTAGAGACTTCCGACCTACTATCAATCTCGAACCCTGCCCCTTATGCACCTTTGGAGAAAGATCACTTCTTGTATCGCTTCAGTCAACAAGTCGAGCGTCGTCCATGCGCAGTCGCCATTGACTACGCTGGTAGCGGCTTCGATGCCCCGTGGGATACACTGACGTATCACCAGCTCGATCGTCTGAGCGATCAGATCGCATCGAGCATTGGCAAGCACCATTGTGACAGCATTGTTGCTGTATACATGCAGCGCTCTCTTGCTTTCTACGCCACCTTGCTAGCCGTCTGGAAAGCAGATCGAACGTATCTCCCTCTCGACCCCGGCCTTCCTCTCGAGCGCCTCAAGTACATGCTCGAGGTGGCAGGAGTCTCGAACATCGTCACAGACGATGCATGCCATCAGCAAGCGCAGACTCTAAGGGCTAATGTCATTCTGATCAATCCACAAACAATGTCTTTGGACGCTGCATGCCCGGCCTCACCTGTGCCTTCTTTGGACTTGGCAAAGTCGGCGTACATTTTATTCACCTCGGGCTCTACGGGCAAGCCAAAGGGTGTGCCGATCAGCCACCGAGCCCTTGCCGCAGCCGTCGTCTCCTGGGAGTCTATTCTGCCTCATCAAGATGGCTCCCGCATGCTGCAACTAGCTTCAGCGTCTTTTGACGTATCCCTGATCGAGATTTGCCTTCCATGGGCTTTTGGCTGCGCTGTCGTATCCGCTCCAAAAGACATCCTGCTCGACGATCTCGAAGAGACCTTCCGCAGATTGCGAGTCACGATGGCAGATCTTCCGTCGTCACTTGCCCCTACTGTCCACCCGGAGAACATCCCCAAGCTCGAATGGCTCATGAGCGGAGGAGATGCCATCGACGAGAGAGTGTTGCGAGAGTGGGGGTCTCACGCCTTGATCAATGCCTGGGGCCCTACTGAGACCACCATTGGTAACGCACTCGGCTTTGTTTCAAAAGACTCAAAGAGATCGATCGTCGGCACAGCCTGGCCTGGAAGTACCATCTACGTCCTCTGCCAAGACTCAATTGACGTCGCATATCGAGGCTGTGTGGGTGAGCTCGCTGTGGCTGGTCCTCAGCTTTCGGACGGCTACTTGGCTAGACCTGACCTTACAGCAGCCGCTTTCGTTGCCCTTGCTGACGGAACTCGAGTCTACCGTACCGGTGACCGAGGTAGGATGCTTGCGGACGGTCAAATCGAGGTGCTCGGTCGCATCTCTCGTGGACAAGTGAAGCTTCGAGGCCAGAGACTCGAGCTTTCGGAAGTTAGTCACGCGATTCTCGCTGCCTCTGAAGGGCACTTGCAGAACGCGGACACTCTCTATTTGCAGCATCCGAACCTTCCTGCGAAGCAGCTGGTGACCTGGGTCGCTCTCAGTGAGAGCAAGCCTTCGGTGGCTGTGTCCGTGAGAAGCGACGATCGAGCACAGAGCGTGCTAAGAAACTGCTTACAAGAGGTTTCGCGAAGGCTGCCTTTATACATGGTGCCCAGCCACCTGTTGGCGACGGACGGCTCTCTTCCGCTGACATCGAACAACAAGATCGATCACGCCGCACTAGAGAGGGCGTTCATGGAGCTGGATCTGGCGGTTCTGCAAGGCCAGCAGAGCCATGCAGAAGGGCACGAAGCCGAGCAAGCTTGGACTGAGGAAGAAGACAGTCTGCTGCACATTGTGGCAGGCTTTTGTGACCTGGAGCCGAAGGATGTTTCTCGCACGACTTCATTTTATCGTCTCGGTATCGACAGTCTGAGTGCTATCCGGCTCAGCCGCTCGATCAGGGAAGTACGTGCCTTTGCGCACGTTTCTGCCAAAGACCTCCTTCGCTGGCCCAGCATTGCTCTACTGGCTGCAAATGCTACTCGCCAAGAGCAGACGCAGAGTAGCCCGTCTCCCAACGGTAGAGCCATGGAAACCGCTCAACATGTCGATGCAGACGCCTTGCTGCTGTCGGCAGATGATGCCATTGAAGCAATTCTACCCTGCACACCTTTGCAAGAAGGCACGATCGCTCAGACGCTAGCCACGGATGGTCGTCTCTACTTCCACCACCACGCATACCGTGTGCGAGATGCAGGAGTACGGGCCGTATCGGATGCCTGGCAGCTTTTGGTCGAAAGGACTGATATCCTTCGTACGACCTTCCATCGTACTCGAGAGGGGGCACGCTGGGTCCAGGCTGTACACAAGCAAATGCCAACATCACGGCTCTTGCAGGTTCGAATTGGTCCATTTGGCCCGGCGTGGGACGCCCTTGCTGCCTCTCCTCTGACAATCGCCGAGGAAGATTTTGCCAGGACAGTAGTAAGACTGACAGTCGTCGAAGACTCTGATGCACGCTATGTCGTGCTCTCCCTGCATCATGCTGTTTACGACGGCAATGCGCTACCGAAGCTCTTGAGCGATCTGGACCTGGCCATCAGAGGGCAGATTCTGCCCTCCAGGCTTCCTTTCGCTCAAGTCGCTCCTCATCTTCTGCCAAGTCGTTGCAACACTGAGTATTGGGTCCAGCATTTGAAAGGCTACAGTCCGACTCCTTTGCCGCGGCCACCCCCTTCACCCGAAGTGAGGGCATGCGAGGCAACAGAGACCGTAAAGCTCCCTCTGTCGGAAGCTCGTACTCTTGCTCGTGGGCTAGACGTATCACTCAGGACAGTAGCTATCGCCTCGTATGCCAAGGCGTTGTGTCACTTGTCTGGGTCACAAGACATTGTCTTTGGCCAGATCATTGCCTTACGCGATGGCATAGAAGGCGCAGACGAAGTCATCGGCCCAGCTTTCAACACGGTGCCGACCAGGGTCCGTTGGCCATCGTCCGAAACCGCTGCCAAGGTCCTGATGAAGATCCAGCAAGAAAGTGATGCGGGTCAAGCGCACCTGCAGGTCTCGCTGCGCGAAGTCCAGGTCGAGCTCAGCCTAGTAGCACCGCCATTCGATGTCTTGATGGACTACCAGATCCTGGAAGGCGAGCGGGATACATTAGTGTCTTTATCACCTGCAGGACCCCCTGCTGAGCCCTCTATTCAGTATGCAGTCAACCTCGAGTGGCGACAGATGAGCGATTGTCTCAGCCTCTATGCCACTGCAGACTGTAGCGTATTCTCCGAAGCTGAGCTTCAAGCCTTCTTGAGCCAAGTTGCCGACATCTTCAGGACTTTACTGATGCATCCTGACGCCCCCGCTGTTGGAACCTCAGGGGAGTTGCCTCCTGTGCCAGACACCGAAGCAAAGCAGGCGTCCAGTAAAATTCAGACAAGCCAAGAGACCGACACTCACGCCGAGGCTGAACTCTGGTCTGATCTCGAGCTCAAGCTTCGACGGCACGTTCTGACGGTCACAAATGCCTCTGAAGATCAGCTGCAAGTCGAAATCTCCTTCGTCTCTTTAGGAGTGGATTCGATTACTGCAATCTATCTGGCGAGCTTGATCAGAAAGGATGGCATTTCCATTGCTGTCAGCGATATCGTCAAAGGCGGCAGCATCCGCGGGCTGGCCAAGCGCATAGAGGCTCGAACGTCATCGTCGGAGGGCGTAGATCGCGCAGCATCTTCTCAGTGGGCAGCAAGTGCACACATCAACGAGGTAATCTGCTCCAAGCTCAAGGTAAAGAGCGAGCAGATCGAGCGCGTCTTGCCGGCTCTTCCAGGCCAGATATTCCAGCTCGTTTGTTGGCTCAATAGCGGCAAGCGTCTCGGCATTTACTCTTGGACGTGGATGCTGGAAGAGCGCGTGGATGAGGACAGTCTGAAGGATGCCTGGCAAGCGATGGTGGCTCGACATGCCATCTTGCGCACAACGTTTGCTGTAGTCGACGGCGACGTGTTCCAAGCTATCCTGACCCCTCAGCCTCTCGCTCTTGCGGTCACTTTTGAGGATGTTTCACGCAGTATAAGTCTCGAGGATGCGGGCCGTGAGCGACTTCGTAAGCTGGCTGCGATGCCACAAGACATGCGACGTCCCCCAGTCAAGCTGGACGTCTTGAAAAGAGGCGAACAGAGTCTGATCATTCTCAATGTCGCCCACGCCTTGTACGATGCCTGGTCGATCGAGCTGATCGCCGAGGACCTGCAGAGGCTCTACAGACAAGAAGAGCCTGTCGCCAACGCGGCTTTCCCGGACTTTGCGGCTCAACACGCAGTTCATTCGCCTCAAGCAACTTCGAGATCAAAAGATTTCTGGCAAGGAGAATTGCGCGGCGTTGTACCTGGCCTGGTCTCGGAAAAGCAGCGAGGGACAGCACCTCACCGCGACGTGATGGTGTACGTTCCACGAGCAGCCCAGCTCGCAAAAGCGTACGAGCACGCACGTGCGAAGCGCACTCATGACCTCCTCCCCTCGCTACAAGCCCTCTTCATGGCCTCTTGGTCTCAGGAAGTCTCCGCTCTAACCGGCAATACGCGTCCCCCTTTTGGGCTCTATCATTCCGGCCGAACAGACGACTTTCCCGCCATTGAAAGTCTTGCCGGTCCGTGCTTGACTGTCCTGCCCCTCGTTGCTGGCAAAGAGGTCCACTCCAGTGGCGATGACGTTGGCAGCAGTAGCAGTTTCCTCGAGCTAGCACGGGACCTCGAAGCGGCCGTCGCCAGGCGTAGTGGATTCGAGCAGAGTGCCGATCTGAAGACGATCCATGCCTGGGCTGCCGAGGTGAACCCGGAGCTGCATTCCACCGCGAACCTCGACCAAGCAGCAGAGGGAGGAGAAGAAGAAGAAGAAGAAGAAGAAGAAGAAGAAGAAGAAGAAGAAGGAGACGGAGTGGTGCCAGGCCCACTCTTCGATACCTACCTCAATCTCATCTGGGGTAGCTCGACACCCCAAGCGCCACTCGCAAAGAGCGCTGCCCCTCCTCCTGTATCTGGTTCGAATGCCTCGACTGTTCCGACATTCGTGCCCATCAAGCTCGGCACGCCAATCGATTTCGCACCACCACCACCGCCTGGGCCGGAGGGCGTCGCCTCCAGTCGGGACGACGACGAGGAGCAGAGTACGATTGACGACCTCTCCCCTGCACTCAGGGCATGTGTGCGCCCGCGTATTGAAGTCGATGTAGTGCTGCAGGGCGACGCGAACGATGGCGGTGATGGTGATGATGGTGGTAGACAAGGGAGTGGGGATAGGGATAGGGATGAAGATGAAGGTGGTGACTGGATCGGAGTTGGAGTAAGATGTGAGGGTGGTTTGCTTGTCCCGGAAGGGGAGGGAGAGGAAGAGGGGGAGGAGGAAGAGGGGGAGGAGGAAGAGGTGAGAAGGTTGATTGAGCGATTGGTTGGGAGGGTGAGGGGGTGTATAGAGGAGTTGCAGGCGGAGTGATGGATGGTTATGGTGGTGGTGGTGGTGGTGGTGAACACGATACGGGACTCGCACACAAAAGGCAGAACAAAACAAAACGGACTCGCTCGCTCGCTCATGTCGCATCTAGGCTGATCGTTGTCAAGTATGAAATTGGTTTACAAAATCAAGACACGTGTTGTGTGAGCTAGCTAGAGAGACATGAAAATGTGCGAGTGCATCTACTATTAAACGGCCAGCTCTGCTGCCGTCTCGACTTTTGCGCCCAATGATCCTCTAGGTGCTTCTCCCACTTGCGACGCGTCCAGTCCCGGAGAGACTTTTCCCCCAAGTGTCTCCTGGTTCTTCTTGATACACTCATTGATATAGTCCTTGAACATACCTTGACAGTCGTCCGGCCCGCCAGCGTTTTCAGGGTGGAACTGCACGGCCCACACCAGTCGGCCCGAGTCGGGGTTGGCCCGAATGCCTTCAACGGACGAGTCGTTGGCATTGACAAACCAGGGCTGCCATTCTCCCCAGGACTCGTTCGGGTCATACTCCAGAGCGTATCCGTGGTTCTGAGATGTAATGTAGACTCGTCCAGCCTTGACGGATGTGCCGGTGGAGGAGAGGGCAACGACAGGCTGGTTGTGGCCACGATTGCCGAACTTCATACGGTAGGCCTTCAGGCCGGCAGCGAGGCCGATGATCTGGTTGCCCATGCAGATGCCGAAGATGGGCTTGTCCCAACCGGCAATCGTCTTGCGCGTCGTCTCTACTGCCTCTGGAATCGAGTAAGGCGATCCGGGTCCGTTGGAGAGGAAGAGACCGTCAAACTTGTCCTGGACAGCGGTAAAGTCGTAATTCCAAGGGAGGACGGTGACGCTGGCTCCTTCACGAATGAGGCATCGGATGATGTTGGACTTGGCGCCAAAGTCGAGCAGAGCGATGTGGACCTTGGCGGCCGAGGCACCTCCCACGGGGTGCAAGGTGTAAGGGGTCTTGGTCGACACGAGGGGGATGAGATTCTCAGCCATGGGATCGCGGTACTCCTCTTGTCCAGGAGTGACCTCGTGACCATCTCCGATGCTGATAGCGCCCAATGTAGAGCCCTGGTCTCGCAAAAGAGTGGTGATGGCTCGAGTGTCCACGCCACTAATGCCGGGCACGCCGTGTCGGGCGCACCAAGTGGACAGACTCTCGATAGCCTCGAAGTGGCTGAACCTCTCTGCCAGATTGCTCACGACCACACCGGCAGCTTGGACGCCCCTGCTCTCCAGGAAGCTTCCAACGTCAACATCCTTGGGGCTACCAATGGGCGAGGTGCCAGAAAAGTTGTTCGGCACACCATAGTTGCCGATGAGGGGCTGGGTGAAGGTGAGGATCTGGCCCTGGTACGAAGGGTCTGTGAGTGACTCGGTGTACGAGGTGATGGAGGTGGTGAAGACGACTTCTCCGAAGGTACGAGGGTTGGGGGCGCCGAATGACTTTCCCTGCCAGGAGTGGCCGGACTTGAGGTGCAGCGTGGCCGGTTTGGAGGCTGGCGCTGGCGTCCAGGTGAGTGGAGAAGCAGCTGTAGCCAGAGCTCGAACGCTGTTGCTGCTGCCGACAGACAGCCTGGTGGAACCAGGCATTGCTGATCGGAGAGATCGCAGAGCAGAAGTAGGCAATGCGAGCATCGTGATTGTGATAGGTAGAAAGATAAAGAGGTGGTGTAGGTGATATGCTCAGAGGGAGTTTCCCTTGAAGACGGCGTCACTGTCGTCGAGGAGTCGCGAAGACAAGCGTGATTGTCAGTGTCTGATGCTGTCATTTGGGTCAGGCTATGACATGTTCGAAGACTCACGAAATGTAGTCGTCCGAGGTTCGCTGTGAAAAGACCATGCGAGAGATCAGTGATAAGCAGCCAGAGTGCGAGCACTGTGTGGGGTATGTCCTCTGTGAAAGCTTTGAGTAACGTCTATGAGACTGTCTGTGTGTCGCGAGCTGATGTCGGCGATGGTGATGGTGATGATAATGGTAGGAGATAAGAGTCGATGCAGGAAGGAATCCCTGGAAGGAAGCATTGCCCATCGCGGTTCTCAGGCGGACCTTGAATTCCTTGACTCGGCTTGGCCCGCCTTTGAATTTTCCGCGCGAAAGAGAGGGAGCGCGAGAATTTCCACATCGGAACGGAAGGACGAGAGCGGATACGCTGTTGCTCGTAGATCATAGACATACACACACACACACGATATCGACGAAAGAGTTGTATTGTACAGGTACAGTGACTGATGCTGGGCATATGATACAGATGAAACTCATCTCATGGTTGTGGCTCGGGTGGTCGCTACCTCTGTCTCCTCTCAAGACCGATGGGACCTTTCGCGAAGCTTACTCCTTCCAGGCCCTTGAGCACCTTTCCACCTTGTACTAGATCTAGCCCTCTTTCCATGCCGTCGAGAGGGAGTGATGTCCGAGCTTCAACGGCCTTATGCTCCACGACGTCTCTACATGCCCAATGCTCTACTGGCAGTATGAAGAGCCGCCGTGCAGCTCGCCGTACTCGCTCGCGCAGCCCAGGCCCGGACTGGAGTGTTGCGAGCAATGTGCGAGGAGGGACTTCATTCGACGATTCAACCTCAGAACCAGCATTTTCCGTCTTTCTTTGCAAGGGAGTATCTCCGCAAGAGCGAGCCACCCGCTCCAATGCAGCGTCTACATCGTCGGTCGTGGGTAGGGTGGAGGATGCCGATGGTGGAGCTGCACATCGCAAGAGGGCGAGTTCGATCCAGGCATCTACATCGATTTGCGCTAGCCCCTCGCCATCCTTGCCAGCCAGTGCCCTGAGCGTCTCCTTGACCGATCCCTCCATCGACTTCGACTTCCCCTCCTCCTCTGCACGCCGCTCTATCTCCTCGCGTGGCACGGACGCGATATTTCCTCTACTCCCAACCTTGAATGCCTTGCAGGCATCGGAGCATGTCTTGATCTCTGACCAATTCTTTGCCCATTTGGCTCGAGGGGTGATCATCCTTCCGCAGGTGAGACATGCTTTGGGAGAGAGGGAGGAGAGGGAGGGTGCGACAGGGGCAGCGCTGGTGGAAGAACAGGGGTTTGATGCCGAGCTGTTGAGTTCGGAGGGAGGAGGGGTTTGACGGGCGTTGCGCTTGGGTGGCATCCTTGAGGCTAGTGAAAGGGGGGTGAAGGTATTGAAGGACCTGTTGTGAGCAGAAACGGAAGCCGAGGGACCCACTGCAGGTAGGATGAGATGACAAAGCGGGATCCTGAACGAATTAGAGAGTCTTGATGCAAGCATATATTGATGTCAACTTTGCGAATAGCTAGTAAAGCCATGAGTCAGATTGTCCTGCCTCAGTAGATTCTTCTGCGTCTGTCCTGCGGTAGCATGAGCTGCGCCTGCCAGGAAGAAGTATGGTCCTTGTGGAGGGCGGGCGGGTGATCTATGGGCCTTGGTCGGTGCTGCTGGTGCTGCTGCTTGCCTTTGCTCCCTCGATTTCACGTTCGCGGTCCTTTCCGCTGCGACGCCGACGAGGTGCCTGGGTGGTGGTGCTGCGTGCGTCTGGTGCCCGCTGCTGCCTCGCCTGGCCAGGGAAATCCGCATTGCCTCGGCAAAGGCAGCAGCGACTCACCACGATCCCCACATCGCCCACCCCCGCACTCATCCAGGGTACAGAGGCGACGTCCTTCCCAAGGCATTCATCCACTCACACAAGGGCACATTCACCCTTCATCATCGTCTGCCTCCTTCTTACTCTCCCATCCTCACCATCTTACCACCCCACCACCGAGCCGGGCCTTTCTCTGATACCCAAGACCCCACACGCTCGCTATACCAATCCCTGCCTCCTTCCAGCCACTCTAGTGCTGCTAGCTGCACCCTCTTTACATCCTTCTGACCCTGCCTTGGATATTCAGCGACAGTCTCGTCTCAACTGGCTCCGATATAAACATGATGTGCATTCCCACACCGAACCATCGCAAGCTGGTACAGGACTGCTACCCACCATCCAAGAGAATCGCAGGTGTAGAAAACCCCAGTTCCAATGAGCTAGGCAAGCTCGTGTACTATGCTCAGAGCAAGCCGGCAAAGGTGAGTAGAGACAGGACTTGAGGCTGGTCTTGGCAAAGGTGCTCAAGATCGGTAGATACTGACCGATCTCTCTCTCTCTCTGCTCACGTGTCTAGCTCTCTAAAGTGGGCAAAGTCTTGGAGGAGAGAGCAGCTGCTGATGCTAGGGGTGTAGAAGGAGCGGGTGCTGCGAATGAGAAGGCCAAATGGTTAGTCGGACACAGCATCATACTGAGCGTCGAGAATGATCTTAGCAGCCCCTGACTCTGCGATTCCTTACTCCCCCTCCCCCTCCCAGCGGCCTCCTGATCACCATTGCCATCCTCAAGGCGCTCATTAGCGAATGCCCCAGAGACATTACCTACATCTCCAAGTCCGCTCAGGCCATCATGGCTCACGCCGTCAAGGCTTCTGCAAAGTCAGGCAATGGAGGTCAGCGAGACCTCGCCCTCTCTGCTCGCGCCTCCAGCACCTTCTTTGCCTACACAAGCGCCCTTGACCCGGCTCGCAATTCAGTGGAGGGTGAGCTCGGAGCGTCTTATCTCGAGCTGCTAGAGAGCTTCGGCTACATGGCCACAGACAGGAATACCAGTGATCCAGAGGATCTCAACCGGGCTAGGCTCATTGGTCTTGGCGCTCTATCCTCAGCAGCCAGCTCCGACGTACTGTATACTTCGGCCTTCTCCAGGCAAGCATCGGTCATTGTTCCAGCCCTTCTCGAGAACATGCAGGCCAAGTCAGCTCCACTCGATGACTTGAAAGCCGAAGCAGGTAAAGTAGCCAGCGGATCACCCACCTATACAGCCTTCTCGAGCCTTGCAAAGAAGAGACCCAGTCATCGAAAGGCCCCATCGCTTTCCGGCCACGTGGCTGGTGAAAAGGGACCAGAGACTGCTGAAGTCATATCTGCCTCCATGGGGATCTTGCACGGCCTCTTCAAGCATGCGGATGCACTCCAGGTGCAAGAGGCCATGAAGGCCGTCCTCGGCTGGATGGGAGGACGAGGAGGGACACAACAGCAGTGGAGCAACGAGGAGTGGGCTCGCTTCCTGGGTACCACCTTGGTACGTTGGACTTCGCTGCAGTACCGCTTTGTGATCCTTAATTCGCTCCTCGAGCATCTAGTCGAGGACTGCGAGGGTCCAACTTCATTCAAGCACGGGACTCTCCTTGAGATGATTGCAGCCATCCTGAAGAGCAAAGACCTCACATTGATCGGGCTTAGCACTTCAGATGCTCTCAATAATCTCGCTGGCCTCACTGTCAGGCGCGTTCACTTCGACATCAAAGATCCCTTGTTGCCTCAGCTGGTACGCTGTATCGAAAGTCTTGCTGTTCACGTCTACTATGCTGATCAGCTCAACGATGCAGCAGAGGAACTCGTTGCTCGCATTGTGGCTCTCAATCAGCCAGAGACCGACACAGCTGCAGCTGAAGCCACGATGAGGGTCTCTCACCTGCCAAGGAAATCGGCTGCAACGAGGCGAGCCGGTGAAGCCCAAAAGATGGAAAGCATTCGTATCGTCCTCTTTGCCCTGATGCGGATCATCATCGTGGCCAACTCAAACGATGCTATCGTAGGCAAGGTCCGGAAGCGCAGCAGGACAAACAGTGACTATGCCGTGAGAGAAAAGGGCAAAGCATCGGACCCCAACTCGGGCATTACTCTAGCCGGCGCACGTGCTAGGATTCAGCCTGACGCTCTGCAGCCAGTCACTTGGCTACTTGCGTCGTACGACTGCGGTGTTCGTCTTGCAGCTGCACACCTCTTCATCGCGTACCTCAAACTGGAAGCTCAAGAGCCTTCAGCCGCTTCGTCGGAAGCAGCATCGTTGCTGCACGGCATTAGCGCTGCGGCTTACATTTGCACTTTGAGTCGCTCCTTGCGCCTCCCCTCAACGGGCTCAGCAGGCGCTCTGGAGAATCCTCTTGGCCAACTCGTCCTTGTGCAGCGAGCCAACGAGAGCGGCTCAATGACCGAGCTGCGGGATGAAAGCGAAGCCGGCGTGCCGCTCGACTATGCGGCCCTTGTCCTCCTCTTCACCCTGGCTACCGATCGCCTGGCTGGTGCGGCCCTTTTGGCGTTCGTTCCTGCTCTGCTTGCCATCGACCGAGGCGCAGCTCGTGATCTAGTAGCCGAAGGTAGCCCGGCCTCCTTGGTGACTCAAAGACGTCACACCACGCGCCTCTTCCTAGCCAAAGTGTGGGTGGCAATCAGCGAGAAGTGGGCTGTCCCTTCAGTGCGCAAAGAGGCATCGACGGTGCTCGCAGCACTGAGCGACGAGATTCTGCCCACGGTCCCTGAGCCGACGCGTAGTCTGACCTTGCCAGAGGAAGTGGACCTGTTCCCAGACTTTGCAGAGGATGCAAGCGCAGGAGAGGGTAGTGCAGCCGCTTCGCCCGTCTTTGACCCGTCCAGGATCATGAAGGCACTGGCTAGCAGCGCAGAGGTGCAGACGAATACGGGTATGCCCGAAGAAGCTCTAATGAGGTGGTTCGGCCGAGATTGGAGCGTCGCGATGGCCATCGACGACAGCGCAGTCGGCGCATCACCTTATCACGATCCTGCACTGGAGAATGCCATGGGCAATGGACATGCTGACAAGGCCACCAGGCTCACCTTTGAGACGGCCGCCGGCAACGGATCTGCGGACATGGCAGCCAACGGAAGTGGACAGCACCCCATCGGTGTAGATGACTTCCGCCAGGCGCTAGGCAGCAAATCTGTGCACGGCGGCGGTGGTGCTGCAGGTGGAGCAGGTCGAAGCGTGCGTACCAACCGCCAACCCCTGCAGGACTCCTCACTCAGCAAAGCAGGCGCCGCTGGAGGTCTGCAAGGCCTCGATATTCCCATTCCAGGTCTGCGCGCCTCTACTTCCGGGCAGCGCATGAGCTTGAGCGCCAGCAGGGACAGTCCATTCAAGAATCGTACTTCGGCCGCACCTGACGCTGCCTCCCTTGATGGCTCCGTCAATTCGGGCGTAGCGAATGGGTCCGGCCCCACGCCACTCTCTGCGGCGGAACGAAGGGCGAGCAGGAGAGCGAGCAGGCAGCAAGCTCCTGGTGGAGCTGGAGGAGCAGAGTACAACGGCGGGGCTTCTCCTGTTGGTGGGCTCGTCAATGGCAACGGAGTCGGCTCTGGGTCCGCCTTTGCGAATGGCTATGCACACGGCATGGGGCAGGGCGGTGTGTCTCGTGCAGAGGGCACTTCGAGCGTCGCAGGCCTGCTGGACTCGCTGGGAATTGATGAAGGCACGGGTGAAGGCGCTTTCACCGGAGCGGGTGGAGCTGCTGGCAATGGCGCAGGCGCAGGCGCAGGTGCAGGCGCAAAGACACATGCGCTCGTCCCACCTCATGCCGCATGAGCGACTCACACCTCGCGGGTAGCGACGATGATCTCAGGTGTGCTGAGATGGTGAATGGACAATCTGCCTTTTTTTTCTTTCCTTTTCCTCTTCTCTCCCTTTCCTCCGTTGTTTGCGCTCTCTCTCTCCTCTATATATCTAACTATCCGTCTCTTCTTTTCTTCTGCCCCGCTCACACTCTACTCGCTCACATCGATTGATCCGTGAGGTTTTAGTATCGTCATCGATAGGGAGAGAGAGGGGGGGAGGGAGAGATCAATGCTACTACACTCCTTTATTGCTGGGCTGGCCCTCGCGTGACGTGGAAGTTTCAAAGGATACTGGAATTTCTTGACTTTTGGCAAAAGGTGACTGTTCCAGGAGTGGTACTGAATGAGGCTTGGGTCAAGGGTCAAGGGTCAAGGGTCAAGGGTCAAGCAAGGAGTAGTGGAGTTGTAGAGTATGTGGGTGGGTGTGGGTGTGGGTGTGTGTCTAGAGCGATGAACAGAGTGTAGTGTATCTAGATTTCTACACGTGCCTCCTTCTCTCCCTCTCATCGCTTTGCTCCTCTCTCTTCTCATGACTTCTCTCCTCTCTCACCCTCCTAGGATCCTTGTTAAAGGCCAGCCCTTCACTCTTCTCAAGTCCCTCTTCTACTCTATTCTACCTCCCCGCAAACTCCCCGAGAACCTCTCTTCCTCATCCTCTTCTTCTCTCTCTCCTTCCCTTTCCCTTTCCCCGACTGAAGATGAAGCTCTACCCAGCAGCAACCACCAACAAGTATATACCCCGGTAGAGGTAGGACGAAGAGAGTGAGTGTGAGGAGGAGGAGCACGAGGTGTACGCGTGGCAGTTGAAAGGGATGGTGCGATTGCTGGGCTGAAGCCGGAGGTCGGGCCTGCGCAGGGCGAGGATGCTGCTCCCTGGTCGTGTGAGGGGGGACGGTGATCCTGATCGCACTTGCACTTGTATTCTTGTTTGTGGCCGAGATAATGCTCCAGCATAGGACTTCTGATGGGAATCTCCTCGTCGTCGTCCCCTTCAAGTGTACAATGGACTCGACGACCCTGTCCGTGTCTGTCTCTGCAGAGTGGTGAGCTCCAGCGCAACCATCCTGCATTACGTGCTCTAGACCCTTGCTGTTGCTCACGAAAGGTCCGTCTGAGGGTGCTGGCTGTAGAGTCTCAACCGGTACAGCCACCAGAAGCACCAGTATGCAAAGTAGGCTTAATGCGATCCACAGAGGCACGAGATGGTTCCAGTGACGATGCAGAAGGAGCCACCAGGCAGGTGCTCCCCGAGATCTGGACGTGGACGCTGACGCTGACGTTGGCGAGGTTAAGGTTGAGGGTAAGATGAGCTCTGCGGTTGAGGATGGACCTGTAGGAGGTGCGCTACGCTTGTACTTGTACTTGTGCTTCTGAGTATCGAATCGCTCTTGTGATCGCTCAAGGTCATCGCTGCGCGCATCCGGGCTTGGAGAGGCAAGAGTACTGTCACCAGGTGTCAAAGATGAATCTTGGGCCATGCTGAGAGTCTGAGCTGAATCGTAGTGAGACAAGACACTGTCCTTGTTGGCGAGGATTCCGTTGGTGGGGGAACTGAGGTGCTCCTGCTCGTCGTACTGCGCTTGATGCTCCTGTCGAAGTGGTGCGCGGAAGAGGGAGTGTGAGTCTCTGAGGTGAGCGGAGGCGAGCTCAGCTGAGCTAACGCAAGCCCCCTCAGATGCACGCCCGCAGCGAACATACCTTCATAATGTCCTTAGTGAGCATCTTCTGCATCAGCAGGGAAGCTGCATCCAAAAGGATCGTGTAGACAAGAACCCAGACGTGCGTTCAGCAGTGACGAGTAAAAAGAGTGGGTAGGCATTAAAGGTTCATAGGACTACCCAAGATGCTGAGCGACCTTAGCCCCGTCCGCTGCCCCACCCCCACCCTTTTCACATCTTCCGTCCTCTGTGATGCCCTGACTTCATGTGATGACGCCCTGCCGCCCTGGCGCCCCTGACGCCTAGAATCTCACGAAGTCGCAAGCGCTTTACGCCAGTCTACAGCCACGTTTAATACCCCTCTCTGTATTCGCCAGAGCAACCAGACGCCCAACGCCCTTCCGCAGCGGCGCAAGTGTGAAGCCCTGCGTCCGCAGCATTCGAGGAGGCAACCGGCAGAACGGATTGACAGGTAGAGTGTCACGTGGCACGCGTAGTGTGTGAGTGAGCGAGCGAGCGAGCGGGTTTGTGGAGAAGGAAACATTATCATTACTTGTACACACAGCACAGAGGCTGGATGAAGAGAACGCACTCGCTGCTCTGCCTTGGCCTTACGGGATCGCAGTCGATATCCCGCACATACCCGACAGGTCAGTAACGAATTGGGAGAGCGGGCAACAGTGCCACCCCTGTGCTGCTCCTCCTCTGCACTCAGTCTACCTGCCCTCCTCCTTCCACCCGGATATCCTCAACAAATGCACAAACTCCCCTCTTCCCGCCGCAACCCCACCTGCAGCCTTGACCCTCAATCTCATCCCTCGATCCATAGTCACCAGTACCACTTTGGGCGTATCACTCTTGATCTTCTCGGCGCGTACAAGCGCTGCTTCCTCGTGACTAGAGCTGAGTAGAGAGAGACGATCGATAAAGTGCGTAGACTGCCATTGGAAGGATCGCAGGATGATGTCATCGAGGGAGCGTGCAAGAGGAACCACCTCGCCTTGTGCAATGGTGGGCGAGGTGGAGGAGGTTGGAGGCAGGAGGCGGGTGCTGAGTTGCGGAGAGCCTTGTTGGCTGTTCGTAGCCTTCGTCTTTCTCTCCCCTCCCGCACCGGCACTTCTGCCGCTGTCGCTGCTGCCCGCAAAATCAATGTCTTCGCTGCGGAAGCTCAAGTCATTGAGGTAGCTTCCCTTGCTCGTCTGGATTTTCAGCCATTTGCCCAATGGCTTGATCGACTTCTCCAGATAGCTCAACACTTTGGCTGCCTCCTCTCCCAGCGGCGGCTTATTCTTCTTTAGCCCATCCAGCTCAGTAATGACGGCCAAGGGAACCACGACTGTCCATTTCCTGCACTCGACTAGATGGCGCAGGTAGTCATCGCTCGCTAGGAGGATGTTCGTGTCCAAGAGGAGAATCGTGTAGCCTGGGACAGACTTGCAGGCCGGTGAGAGCTCTCGTCGAGTCTCACCGCTAGGCTTTTTGGCTTTCTGAGAGTGAATCTCCTCTGTCCGCTGTGGCCTACGTGGCTGAGCAGCATCGAGCATATTCAGCAGTTGCAGCCGTCGCGCTTTGAGCTCCTTTACCTCGACGGAATCCGTCTCTTCGGCAATGAGCTCGCTCATCCCCCAATCGTCTTCATCCCCATCTGTGTCTGTATCCAAATCGACGTGCGTGGCGCTCTGTCGATCTCCATCGGCCTCATCAAGGGGCTGCTGGACCTGAGTCAAGTCAGATACACCATGACTCTCCTCCTCTTTGCGGGACCACTTCTCAATGGCCTCGGATAGGGGAGCACGTACTTCGAACGTCGTCTCCCCGTCCTTTTCAACCATGTCGAATCCTGGCATATGCTGAGCAATGGCAATCAGAGTCAGAGCAACCCTGCCACTACGCAGCTGAGCCACGTCTGCAGGGGCATAGTCGGCGCCAGTAGCGGATGTCCCTTGAGGCAGATTATCTTCGAATTGCTCTCCATCGATGTTTTGCTTGAGCACTTCGAATTCAGAGCCAAAGGTGGGAGTATCGTTTCGAGAAGGAGAGCCTGCCTGCGCAATGCGCTTCTTGGACGGCTTCCAATAGTCTCTTTCAAATACTTTCCGGCCTGCCCAAGAGAGACCGCGTAGGCACCAGTCCTCTGGCAATGGACTGACGCTGCTGATCTTCTGCAGGTAAGCAGCAGAGCTGGACACAAACGTAGATGGCAAGGCGTAGCTCGCAAAGTCTCGCCAAGGAAGGAAACGGCTGATGAAGCACGATGGCGTAGGCTTTATGGTAGCAGGGACTGTAGGAGCCTGCTTAGCCAGGCGAAACAGGAACGTGAAGAGCATGGTCACGTAAGGCCCAGCAGTTGTAAGAGGTTTCCCCTTTTGGGACATGACGTGTTGTAGAATTCCAAAAGCAAGTGTCGCAGCACGTTGAAGAGCTACTGGAGGCTGGTCGTCCTCGATACTCTGAAGAAGCTCGGACGACAGCACAGGAAATTGGGTGCTGACAGCAGGCTTAGATGTTGAGTTGCCGACAGCTAGCTCTGCACCCTCGCCTTCGCCTTCCCCTTTTGCAACCTCGTTCTGTGTGCCCTTCGACATCAGTGCGAGCAATGCATCCTCTGCTCCATACTGCATGAGCGCAGCGATGTTGATACTTGCCACCATCATCCAGGTCGGCTCATCAATTGGCGCTTCTTCCGTTGACTGCATTCGCGCTTCGAGTCTCCCAATGAGCCTGTCATACACTGACTCGAATTGATCAAGCTCGACGCGAGCGAAGAGCATGCCCTGAAGATGTAGGAGCAAGTCGATGTAGCCTGCATCGGGCCGAGTACGACGTTTCTGCTGCTCGGGGCCGAACAAGGCGATGGTTGCAACGGTCTCCCTGGCTGCAAGGTAGGGCTGTGAAGCCGTCAGGGCCTTGCAAAGATGATAAAAGCACCTGAGCTCGTCGGTGCGATGCAAGAGCGCGATGCTGTGATGGAGCTTGCCCAGCCCTGGCATCTCCGCAAGTCCTTGAGTGTACCAGTCGACGGCAGTCGTGCGCCAGACTTCCTTTTCATCAAAGTCCCAATCGTCCAGTGCGGCTTCTCCAATCGAGGCGCGGTCAGGATGGTCTTCGTCCCTGGGAGTGTCATCAAGCGGCAACGGCCCGGGTAGACCGACATCCTTACGCGCAACGTCGAAGCCCTCTTTGGCGAGGTTGGACTCGTCGATGCTTTTTGATGCCGTCGAGGAGGCAGCGTGAAGATCAGCTACTCCCATACGCCAACGTGCCAAGTCGCCAAGATTCTCCAGCCAAACCGTTTTGAAGGGCCGAAGATGCTCGGCCTCCAGAACATTAGTGTAGAAGCTGTATGCGAACTGTATGAAATCCACCATGAGCTCCAAAATTGCAGCCTGGAAGCTGACGTCTCCTTGACTCCTAGCAGGAGCGCCATTGCGACCACTCAAGTCGGGTAGATCGAGGCGGAGGTGCTCCAGGAAGAGGTGCACCCCATTCTTCCACAGTCTGAGAGGTATGTCGTAATCTTGGGGAAGTGAGCCCAATGAGGCGGGCAGACCTGGCCGCAAAGCGCGGTCAAGGAAGACTTCGTACAGACCAATGAGCTTTTGAGACTGCTCGTTTAACGACAACCAGTAGCCATGATCGAATTTGCCGTCCGGAAGGCGGCCCAGAGCATGCGTACGACTGGCTGTCTGTGCAGACTCTTCGGCTCTGGCTTGAGCAGCTTTGCTATGCTCTTCCTTGAGCTTAGCCTCAAGTGTATTGATATCTCGGTAGATGCGTTTAAGCTCGACGACGTAGCCATTGGCATCTGGAGATGACTTTCTGCTGTCGTCTTTGCGGACCGTAACGTCACCTTTCTTTCTCCTGTCTCGACTGTCGTATGACGTAGCAGATGTAGCTGAGGTCGGAGCTGTGGTGATAGAGCTTCCAGCTGCGGAGGACCGAGCGTCCGAGCTGACGGTGCCAATGCTCCGAGAGAAAGAGACTGCATTATGACGCTTTGGGTCGAACAATTGCTGCTGACCGCCAGGCTGACTACCTTCTGCCGAGACCATCCGAGACTCGTTACCTCGATCAAAATGTTCGTGCCGAAGCGAGTCTTGCCGTCTCCCGCTTCCAGTCCTGGGATGACTTTTGTGACCCCCTCCTTGAGGATGCGAGCTCTTGCCGTGAGGCGGGCGTGCCTTGTTGCTTCGAGTACTCGTCTGCTCTTCAGTCCTAGTCTCGGTTCCAAGTGGCAATTGAATGAGGCCTCCAGATCTCCCCGTCGTCGAATTCGGGTCATCTCGTATGGCACTGTCATTGGCAGATTTGGCGTGCTGCTTCGACTGGATAGTACCAGGGATTCCGCTTGGGCGAGACTGCACGTTGGGCAAATCCAGCTCATGCTGCTGCGACGGGATATGTGACAGTTCGTTTGCGCTAGCTTGCGGCTCTGAGGGACTTGCATCACTTGCTTTGCCTCTCTTCATGAGCGACACCGATTGGCTAGGGCTGCCTGTACGTGGCTGCTGCGATAGGGGGTGAGGGATGTCTTGCTTTGCTGCCCCTCCTCCCCATCCCGGGGTGTGGCGGACAGACCGTACAGCTCCGTCATCTCTTTTGCGTTGGTCTCGAGGTTCTTTGCCTCTGTGAGCCCTACCGGACCGGTTGCTGCCGCTTTCGCTGGCTTTGCCGCTGCCTCCCGAGCCACTGCTGAGCCCACCGCGGCGCAGTGGTTCAGTCAGGGTGATGGAGGCATGGCTGCCGCCGATATTGGTCTCTTGTGACATCACGAGCTGAGAACAGAGGGATAGTCCAGGATCTGCTGACAGCTTTAGACTGGGATGTAGACTCGAGCTTGCTTCATTGCTGCTCCTAGAAGGTGAGCATGGTCAGAGAGACCGGGTGTAAGGACTTGATGATGCGTCAGATGGTGTATGCGTCTAGACCATTGTACGAGTGGATAGGAAGTGAGGAGCTGCTTAGCTGCACTGGTGGGTTCAAAGTAGTGTCGTGAGTGTGCAAGACTGTATGTATATCGGGTGCAGGGTGGGTAGGTGCTCCGTATGACCGAACGGAAGCGTCGGATCGAAATAAAGCTGAGCCGCGGGAGTGGAGAGCAGAGGCCGCCGCCCAAGCCAAGACCAAGACGGGCAAGCACTCCTCTTTACACCTCAGGAGGCTGCGATGGGGTCGTGATATCGATGGTCCGGGTACATTGTGCATGATTCAGTATGAGAAGCGCAACAAAGAATCCATACCAACGACCTCGCCGAGCATGACCGGTGAGCAATGACCACGTATGTGTTCCTGCTCAGTCGCTGCCGTCGACTGAGCGTGTCAGGGCACAGCAACTACGGCAGCAGCGGCCCGTCCAGCCGCGGAGCTGTGCAAATGCAACCAGGAGGTTGTGTCTGAGCTCCTCATAGCATCACGAATCACAAGGTAATAATATCTCAGCTCTTTGACCATGGTATCAAGGGCGCTCGTCTGACCATATCTACGCGGGGCGAGGCAGGCGGAGGCGGGGCAGTCGCTCCCCTCTGCGGTCTCTGAAATTTATTCTCTGCCGGGGCGACTCCTTCCTATCCTCACGCTCCCCTCTGCATACCATCACCTCTTGCCCCGCATCACCGATTGATGAGAGGAGCCCTACAACTCCTTGCCAGATCGACGACCTTCTCATCCCTTCGTATCCAAATCGCATCGCCGCGCCCTTGTCCGCTCCCGCGACACTTCACACCAGTATCCCTTCGCACCTTTCATTCCTCCAGAGCAATGGCAGACGTACCTGTTGCTGCCGACCCCGCTGCAGCTCCTCTCGCTAACCTGCTCAAGGATGAGGTGACCGGAGAAATGGTCAGCAAGAGGTGAGATGCCTGGCACATACCATCAGGCTAGATCTTGAGCGACAAGCTGAACCTCGCCTTGACTACCAATCCCACCTCCAGCGAGCTCAAGCGTCGTCAGAAGCAGCGAGAGAAGGAAGCCCAGAAGGCTGCCAAGGCCGCTTCAGCCCCTCCTCCCCCGGCTGGATCTAAGCCAGCAGCTGCCGGCGAGGAGGAACTGGAGCCCAACCAATACCACGAGCGAAGGGTCAAGACCATCCAAGCCCTGCGTCAGTCTCGCAACCCCGACCCCTACCCACACAAGTTCCATGTCTCGTTGAGCTTGACAGACTTCATCGAGCGGTATCAATCGCGCGTCGAGGCTGGTCAGCACCTCGAGGGGGAGAAGGTGTCGGTAGCCGGTAGGATCCACAACATGCGATCATCTGGTTCCAAGCTGAGGTTCTACGATTTGCACGGAGAGGGTGTCAAGATCCAGATCACTGCCCAATTGCAGGACCACACAGATGGAGACTTCATGGCAGTCCATGATTTGCTGAGGAGAGGTGACATCGTCGGTGTAGAGGGAGTGCCAGGCAAGACGAAGAAGGGAGAGCTCTCCATCTTCCCATCTTCCATCAAGCTGCTCTCGCCCAATCTCCACATGCTGCCAAAGGCCAGTGATGGCGGTCTGGTAGACCACGAGACTCGTTACCGAAAGAGGTACCTCGACCTGATCATCAACGAGAATGTCCGAGACGTCTTTGTCAAGCGAGCCAAGATTGTCAATTACATTCGCCGTTTCCTGGACAACCTCGGTTTCCTCGAAGTAGAGACGCCCATTCTGAACATGATTGCAGGAGGAGCTACTGCCAAGCCATTCATCACCCACCACAATGACCTCAAGATGGACATGTTCATGCGAGTCGCGCCCGAGCTCTTCCTCAAGGAGTGTGTCGTGGGAGGCTTGGACCGTGTGTATGAGATTGGAAGGGTATTCAGGAACGAGGCCATCGACCAGACGCACAACCCCGAGTTCTCCATCTGCGAGTTCTACATGGCTTACGCAGACATGTACGACCTGATGGACATTACCGAGAGCATGATCTCCGGTCTGGTCAAGGCAGTCACGGGCGGCTACAAGGTCACCTACCACCCAGACGGCAAGAACGTCGAGGGCGGAAGGGAGTTTGTCATGGACTTTTCCACTCCTTGGAAGAGGTTCGACATGATCAAGGAGCTCGAGTCGCAGCTCGGCGTCACCTTCCCGCCAGCCGACACTTTGCAGACTGAAGAGTCGACGAAGTTCCTCAGCGACCTCTGCGCGAAGCACAATGTTGACTGCTCGGCCCCCCGAACCTCTGCTAGGCTCATCGACAAGCTCGTGGGAGAGTTTATCGAGAACCAGTGCATCAACCCCTCGTTCATCGTTGGACACCCCCAGGTCATGTCTCCCCTCGCCAAGAGGCACCGTGACATTCCCGGTCTGTGCGAGCGCTTCGAGGCATTCGTCGCAACCAAGGAGATCTGCAATGCCTACACTGAGCTCAACGATCCCTTTGACCAGCGAGACCGATTCGAGGAGCAGACTAGGCAAAAGAATGCCGGAGACGACGAGGCGCAGGGCATCGATGAAGTCTTTGTCAATGCTCTCGAGCATGGACTGCCACCTACTGCTGGATGGGGTATTGGACTGGACAGGCTGGTCATGTTCCTCACCGACAGTCACACCATCAAGGAAGTGCTCCTCTTCCCCGCCAACCGACCCGTGTCGTAAGTACGGAGCGAGTAGGCCTACACTGCAGAGTCATCAGCGCAGGAGGGTGCAAAGTTGCGTGGGAGACTTGGTATTATGTAGACAGCTGAAGAGTCTGCCAGTGTATTGCAAATGTCATGGTATCAATCGATGTGCTTTGTCTGATTCTGGTCTGTGACTGTCGGCCTCACTCTAAGCGCCAGTACCCCACCACAGCCCGCTCCACGCCCCAGGGGTCCTCCCACCTCTCAAAGTCCATCCGCTGACCACTGATGCTAGCACGGAAGATTTCCTCTACAGCAGCCGCTTGGCCTTTGCCCACCTCGAGGGCAAGGACGGGCAGTCGAGATGAGTGTACATCCTCTCCCTTGTGGTCGGGCCCTGTAAGGGGTGTCGGATGGGCGGGAGTAGAAGGCGCATGGAGCAGCATATCCAGCACGTCTGCCAAGCGCCGGTAGAAGGTCAGTCCGTCCTCCCGTCCATGCTCCTGTCCTGCTTTCACTCCCTTCTTTCCTCGGACTCGCTTGTCGCTTGACCCATCGTACTCCCCCAAGAGCGCCCTCTGATCCTCCCATAGCCGTACGCTGGGCTGCAGCGCCTCGTACTCTGCGCGCGGGATGTACGGTGGGTTGCACACTAGAATGTCATACCCAGTCCCGCTGCCGCTCTTGTCTCGCTCCTCCAAAAGATCCCGAGCAAGTTGCGATCGAGGCGAGAAGAGATCCACCCTTGCGAGTCTCACTCCTGCGCTCGTCTCGTCGTGCGCGGACTGCTCCACAATATTATTCCGTAGGAGGTTTTCCCTGACGAGCTGGAGCGCCTCCTCTGCCACGTCAGCGCAGGTAAGTTGCGCCTCGTCTTGGAGGGTGGCTGCGAGGTAGAGGCCAATACAACCTGTGCCTGTGCAGAGGTCAAGGATGCGTAGCGGACGCTGGGAAGGAACACAGTCTTCATCGGCATGGCTCTGGAGGGACAGGGCCGATTGGATCTCGCCGATGAGCCGAGAGGTCCAGTCCTCTGTCTCTGATCGCGGGATGAGCGTGGGAGGACGCGTGACGAGGTCTAGGGAGCCAAAGGGCTGGTTGCCTGTGCACAACAGGTCGAAAGGTACGAGCCAAAACTCAAGTCAGCATAAGGATCGCACTCGGAGCGCTCCCTCTCCACATTGGATGACAAGGCACTAACCAAGTATGTAGGCCAATGGCTCGTGATCGACGACTCTACGTCGCACCATGTCCTTCAAGTGACCTCCAAGCGCTCTTCGCAAACTCAACTCGTCTTCTTGGCTCCTGATCTGACCCTGACTGGTAGAGGTAGAGGCAGTGGCAGAGACAGAGGCATAGACTTGGTCCATCATCCACTTCAGCTCCATCTGAGCCAGATCGAGGTGCTCCTGCCTCTCCTCGGCGCTCATGTCGTAACCGCGGGAAGTGCGTGAGGATCTACCAGAGGAGGAAAGATGCCACTTCTCAAGTCGGGCCTGCAGGTGCAAGAGGAGAGCAGGAGAGATGGTGACTTTGTCGCCTTGTGTCTCGCCGCTTTGGCGCTGCTTCGAGCGCCCTACAGTGGCAGAGGCGGAGAACTTTTGCGTTTGCTGGAAGCTCCCAAAAGCAGTCGCGGGAAGACATCGCCGTAGAAGAGCCCCTTGGGTGCGTATTTGGCCTCTACTGCATCTGTTGTTGCCTTGCCTAGCTCGCAGCGCCGGCGGCAGCGAGGACGAGGTGACTATATGCTGCTCCATCGTCGCACCCAGGCCCATCTCCAGCCGCAAGGTCAAACGAGTCATGGTAACCAGCTGCCCTCGTCCACCTGCAGCCACAGTGGCCCTAATCATCCCTCTCTCTCTGCAGGCTTGTGTGCTGGCTATCTTGACCTTGCCTTTGACTTAGCTAGCGTCACTGCAATGCTTGCATCTCGATAGACGCCAAAAAATCTCGCAAAGCTCAGTTCAAAAATTGGGACGGACGGACGGGCGGACGGACGGAAGTGCAGGTGGAGTCGCACACAGACGCAGACTCGCTGGGCCAAGATTCTCAGAGACAGGTGGATTTTCTTATACCCCCAACCTCGCTCAGCGCTTGGCCTGGCTCAACCTTCTGGCATTCACCTCAGTCAAAAATCTCACACTGTTTCAAACAAGCACTCCGATGAGTATGGGTGATATTATGTTTCACTAAATCCAGACCTGTCAAGTGGCGGCAGCGGTGGCGGCAGGAAATAGAAAGACGGAACGGAGGCGCGTCGCCTCCCCGCGATGCGAGACGGGCGGCACAAGTACATCTTCGATGCCATACTATTGTCATTCATTCAACCATCATACGGACTACACAATGCAGCGTAGCACCACAGGAGGTCTTGAAGAACCTCTAGAGCTTGTTGGTGGGCTCGTTGGGCATGCCAATGGCCGTGTCAAGCCTCTGGTAGATCTGCGAGCCGTGGCTCTCAGGGACAGGATTGATATGCGACCCCAACGCCCTTGTATCCACCATCTCTGGGGTAAGATCTGCTAAAGTCGGAGCTCCGATCAATCTTAAACCCATCTCCATCTCTGCCTTGAGAAGGTTGATGGCATGTACAACACCATCAGGTCCGTAAGCCGAGTAGGCGTAGAGGAAGGGTCGGCCGATACCGACTCCCTTTGCGCCCATGGCGACTGCCTTGAGCACGTCCGTAGCGCGTCGAACTCCGCCGTCGATGTAGACTTCGAAAGTGGGCTTCCAGAGGTTGCGAGCCTTGAGCGCCGTCACGACCTCTTCGAGGATCTCGATTCCAGCGCGGGCATAGTCGAGCTGACGACCACCGTGGTTGGAGAGGACGATACCGTTGAGACCGGCCTCGGCGGCGAGGACTGCATCCTCCCAGGTCTGCACACCCTTGAGACAGATGGGCATCTTTGTGCATGAGCGGAGCCACTGCAGGTCCTCCCAGTTCAAGCTGGGGTCGATGAAGGAGCTGATGGCTCTTGCCGCACCCTGTGAACGATCAACATCGTCTTTGCCCTCATTCTGCACTTGCGATCCCGTGTCGTCAAACTTCATCCGCATGTCCTTTTCTCGTCGACCAAGCTGAGGAGCATCGACTGTGACAAAGAGACCCTTGACGCCCCTGTCCTCAGCCTTGCGGATGATCTTCTCGGTAATGGCGCGGTTGGAGTTGACGTAGAGCTGGAAGAACTGCACCTGCTGATCGTTGATGCGCGCATCAACGATCTCGTCAAATGAGCAAGAGGCGAGAGTGGGGATCATCTGAATGATTCCAGTCTTGCCGGCAGCAATGGTCAGATTCTTTTCTCCATCCGGATGTCCCAGCTTGCCGAGGGCAGTGGCGGTGATATAAATAGGCATCGTCGTCTTCATACCGAGCATCGTAGTGGCAAAGTTGATGTTGGAGACGTTGCGCAGGATCCTAGGGCGGAACCAGATCCTACCAAACACGTTGCTGTTTTCTCGCATTGTGACTTCATCGTCGGCTCCCGAAGAGTAGTAGGCCCAGGCAGTGGGCTTGAGCACTTGCTTGCCCACCACTTCAAAGTCGTACAGGTTCAGACATTGCGACAGAGGTGGAATCTGGCCAGGCTGTAGGACAGCCTTCTCTGGGTTCTTCTGCTCGAGCTTCTCGACCGTATCGGGCTGGACCTCTCCGAGGCATTTGTCTTCCGAGAGATTCTCCTCGAGGGTTCCAGGGGGGTGAATCGGCTCGTACTCCTCGCTGTCAAGTAAAGGAGGGCGAGGGGGCGTTGAGAAGTCAGCAAGAGCTGTGGGCTGCGAACTCCCGAAATGAATCTGGCCATCTCTACTCACGTAGCGTCCTTTCCACCGTACTTGAGGAGAATCGAGCTTCCACCGGGATGGTTCGGGGCAAACTCGGTCAGATCGTACACCTTTCCATGTACGATGAGCCACAGGTCATCCTTCTTGTTGTGCTTGGCCACATCGGCTCCATTGAGTTGCTTTGCCATTGCGGAGTATTCGTGTGCGTGTGAGGGTGTGGAGGTTGAGGTAGTGGCAAGCTAGAAGAAGCTGTAGAACAGGCGAGGCGGAGGGGCGATTGGCAATCTCTACTGATACGTAGTGCGTAGGACGAAGTGGCGAAGAGACAAGGGTATGGCCAGGAGCTTGCGGGTGGGAGAAGGAGAGTTTTAGACAGAAGAAGCGAATCAGGGATCAATTGGATTGCCCAGCTGACGAATACCTCGTCGTCCCAATGCCTTCAACTCTTTCTCCTGCTGCATCCCCCCGCCCCTCGGCGATTGCTCTCCCTCTCCGTCAGTCTTCCCCGCACTCGATCCCCGAGTACCGGAAGTGGCGGACGGAGAGGCGCTTGAGGCCGCTCAACCCCGCCCCCTCGCCCGCGCATCTCGCCCAGCCGGTCACTTGGCCCATTCCGCCTGCCCACAAGAGCACTTCTTATGCCCGTGGAGCCCCTCTGCACTGGCTGACGAGTGATCTTGCTCTTCTGGCGGTTGATCAGTCTCCTTTTGCTAGTCTAGAGGGCAGAATAGGCACAGAGGTACACACAGAGCTACTCAGCCGGGCGCAGCGAGCGCGGGCAACAGCGAAGCGGTACAGGGTACAGGATGCAGCGAAAGGGTCCGAATGCTATATGAGGCTAAAGTACAAGTGTTCCTAGCTCTACCCTTCTCCACCTCTCTATAATCGTATGAATTGTATCAATGCTATTTGCGACACCTCACGCATCTAGGCGGCAAATTTCACACCCTCGAGACCTTGCCCCCTCTCTGTACCTTCGAAGATCTGAGCCTTGCCCTGCTTCACCAGGGTCTCGAGGGCACGCCGTAGGAGCACAGGAGGTAGCTGGTAGAAGTCTGTGCACCCACAAAAAGAGAGTAAAGGTTGCTCAGACACAGTCTTGGAGGTGGAGATCGGCAGCGGCCACCCGTCCACTCACCTTGATCCTCCACTAAATCTCCCTCTGTCAGCTCAAAGAAGGTCATAATCGATCTATTCTGACCAGTACTGATCACCTGTAGAGGTGGAAAGCGCAAATATAATATGACCGTGTCAGTAGCCTGTACCTTGCTCTACCCGCCCAGGCTGTGCTCCACTCATGCCATCACTTACCCATTGATGAATCTTCTGACCCCACTCCTCGGGCGTACGCCAGTAGATCAGAGCTCGATTGGGCGGTAGTGTGCCTGGCTTGGGCTTCGACGGCGGTTTCGGTTCCCATGCTGCTTTGCCTGTCATGGGTGAGAGAGTGTGGAAACGTCAGCAGGGCCAAGGCGGGAACGGCCTACCTGCTTCGCGTGTCCACCCCTGCAGCAACTCACCTTCCTCGATCATCGTCTCTATCACTCTCCTCCGTCCCACCGCATCCAGCCTCCTACTGATCGCAGGATTCGACCACAAGCTCTGTATCGGCTTCGCAGTAGCTCCACTCGAGCCGACGTCATCCATTGCTATGTCTACATCGAGGAAGAAGACTCTGTAATGGGCGCACCAGTTGAGCGCTAGAGAGGTCCATTGTGCTAGTTGGATGGAAAGAGTGGTTGCATTTGCTTGAAGGGTGAAGAATGGAGGGAAGGAGTATAGGGGGGGATAGGCGACTGTGCGGGATGTTCGTACGAAGCAAGGGAGGAAGGTAGTCATGTCAGAGGGCATTCTAGGGCGACTCATGATATGCTGTCCGTGACAGCTGATCTACGCACCTTGGCCGGCGGTAGACGAGGCAGCGAGCGCCATTGTCAAAATTGAGACGCAGAAGTTGTGGCGAATATATTAGGCCTTCCCCCAAATGTCTGCGATTGAGCAATGAGGTGGGCAGAATCGTCTGGGCCAGTAGAGGTTTCCGTATCCGAGGCAATGGAGGTGGTCAAGGCGAGATGCACACTCACTTCCCCACTTCCGTCACTTTGCCCCTCGCGCAGCCAATCACCACCTGCCTTAGCACGACCTCTTCTACTGAAATCCAGCTCCACAGAACAGGCTGCCCTTCACAAGGAAGTGCAGGCCATCATGGCGACCAATGGAGGCTCGTCAGCATCCTCTGCTGTCATAGCCTCGTCCTCCAAGGCTCTCACTTCTTCAGGCCCTTCCGCCAACAGCTCCGTGCGCACCCGCTACTCAAAGGTCAAAAAGGTCGGCGAAGGAACCTATGCCTCCGTTTTCCTTGCCAAGAACCTCGAGACTGGCGAGAGTGTCGCGATCAAGAAGATCAAGATTAATGCTGGTGCCGGAGGAGGCAAGGATGGGCTGGACCCGACGGCATTGCGGGAGGTGGGCTTCTTGCGGGAGATGAAGCACCAGAATGTCATCGCTCTGCTCGACGTCTTCTCTTCTGGGTTGGCAACGCAGTCCCTCAATCTTGTGCTAGAATTTCTGGACACCAATATGGAAGCATTGATCAAAGACCGCTCGCTCATATTTACACCAGCGGACGTGAAGAGCTGGATGGCAATGATGATCTCCGGCCTCGAGTACTGTCATGCTGTGGGCTGTCTCCATCGAGTAAGTGGGAGCCTGCTAGCAGCTCAGGCTTGTCCACCTTGCCTTTTTGCTCACCATCTCCTTTGCTCCCACAGGACTTGAAACCAAACAATCTGCTCATCTCCCCCAGTGGCCACCTCAAGCTAGCCGACTTTGGTCTCGCCCGCGAGCTCGCCCTACCGGGCACCCGCATGACAAACCAAGTAATCACTCGCTGGTATCGACCTCCAGAGCTACTCCTCGGTGCACGCCACTACAGTAGTGCGGTGGACATGTGGTCCATCGGTTGCATCTTTGCAGAAGTGATGCTCCGAACTCCTTACCTCCCTGGAGAGAGTGATGCAGATCAGATTGACATTATATGCAAGGCCCGAGGTACGCCTAGCACAGCAGACTGGCCCGGCTTGACCAGTCTACCGCTACACCACACCCTCACCACCGTCAACCACCCGCGGCCAAACCATGCTCAACTCTTCTCCGCGGCACCAAGAGGAGCAGTCCAGCTCCTCGATTCCCTCCTAGCCTATTCCCCTCAGAAGAGACTCTCCTGCACAAAAGCCCTGCAGCACATCTACTTCTCCTCAACACCCAGACCCACCAGTCCGGAGCAATTACCACGACATGCAAAGAAGGATGAGGAGATTGCACAGGGTCTCTTGAGCGATTCGAGGGAGAAGAATGCAAAGCGGGAAGGGGCTCAGAAGGGTCTTGGGGGATCCACGGCGGTCGAAAGTGGAGCGGGTGGGGCAGGCGGTGGCGCGAAGAGAAAGGCAGCAGAAATCAATGGTGGGGTTGTTGGTGCTGGTACTGGTGCTGGTGGAAAGGGACGAAGTGCAGTGACAAAGGAGATGATTGAGGAGAGGAGGAGAATAGCGAGGAAGATGGCCTTTGGATGATCAAATCCTATCACCGAGGATATACTTGTATTATAGATCTCACCGGCTAATGGCAGCAGGACCTCTGTCACCCCTGCAAGTCTGACGCGACTGTATGGATATCATTGGGATCGGGATCAAACGCACAACAGCAAGCAAGCAAGCAAGCAAGGCAGGGCAGAAGCAGAGCTCTCCTCTCCTCTCCTCCCTCTTCCTCTCTTCCCACCTCAACCAAACATGCTCTTCCCACCACCAGCTTTACCGCCAAGGCCAAAGCGTCCCGTCCCCACCCCCGTACCCATACCCAGCTTGCCTCCAAAGCCCTTGACAGGGCTCAGCGTGACGGGCAAGTCCAACGTAGGGTTGAGGAGATTCTCTGCTTCTTCGTCCTCGCCAGCTCCAACTCCAGATCCGAGGAGTTTCTTGCCTGCAGGTCCATTAGCGGCGCCTGTGCCTCCAAAGAGGAGAGGATTGGCCCCGGCTCCTCCGCCACCGAGGAGACGACGCTTCTTCTTCTTGGTCGCGTCGAGTGCTTCTGCTTCTGCGGCCGCGGCCGCGGCAGCTTTGGCCGCTGCTGCTGTCCTGCTAGCTGCTGTGGCAGAGGAGGACTTGGAAGTGGCAAGAGGAGTTGCCTTGATGGGCGCAGACTTCTTGACGGGAGCAGCGGCAGGAGGACTTTGTGCTACGCGTGCCTCCTGGGCTCGGATGCGCGAAGCGGCCGTCGAGGCCGTCAACGTCGAGGAGATGACCGAAGAGCGCTTGCTGGCAAGACTGCTGCCGGACGATGTCGTAGTCTTGGCCTTGAGCGTAGCGGCGGCGGCGGCGGCAGCAGCAGCAGGAGCTTTCCTGGTGGAAGCAGCAGGAGCGGCCGCTTTGCTAGCTGTAGCTGAAGGCTTCAGTACGACGAAGCTGTCATTCTCAACCTCTGCCTGTTCGTCTTCTTCGTCCTGCTCATCGGAGACTTGTGCTTCTTCTTCCGACTCCTTGTCTGAGTCGTCTTCCAGTACAGGGTACGCCGGTCGCTTGCGAGGCTGAGGCTCGGCTCTGGCGATGATCTTTTCTCGGAGACCGTTAGATGAAGAGACGGAAGAAGAGGAGCTCTTGGCAGGCGCAGCACGAGACGTAGGGATGCTCTTGGTTGCGCCGGTGACTCGCGAGGATGTCTTGACGGCATGGGCGGCAAAGGACGAATCTCCATCTTCCTCGTCTACGTCCATTTCCGAGGAGGAAGGGGCCGCGTCCGAGGCAAAAGCGGCCGGATTAGCTCGCCTTCTGGCAGCGCCAAGGCTGGCAGTCGATGCAACTGGAGCCTTCCTGAGAGCTGCTTTCTTGGCCGTCTCAAGCTCTTCTCGCAGTCGGGCATTCTTCTCAACTTCCTGCTCGAGCTGCTCCTCCAATTCGGCATTGGCAGCGGCCAAATTTTTCACCTTCTGTCCACGACTCCGGGCAATTCTCACAGCCCTGGTCAGCTGCTGCTCATCTTCCGCCCTCCGGGCAGCTTCGTGGTATGCTTCCTGCTTGGCGCAGATCAGCTCAAATTGCGCCTTGCGAAGGGCGTCGAGTCCAGTCTCAGTGCTGCAGAGGGCCATCCAGACCGCCTCGTCCTTGGCCACTTTCAGGTCCTGATAAGCAAGCTTGAGATCATCGTACTTGCGTCGAAGTACTTCGTCTCCCGTCGCAGCAGTCGTCTCAGCAAAGGCTCCATTGGGCGCTGCAGCCCTAGTGGCCTCCTCGAGCTTCGCCTGCTGCGCCTCGGCAAGCTCCGTCTCGAGACGCGAAGCCTCCGACTGCCATCCCTGAGCATCCTCCTGTGCGCCCTGTAGCTTCTGCTGCAAGGAGTGGTACTCAATCTGGAGACCGTTGAGTTTGGCAGTAAGCTCCTTGGTGGATGGTCCGTCATCGCTAGTATCCAGAAACGAGTCGATTCGCTTGCTTGGGCTACGGAGAGGAGACTTCGCCACGGGTGTTGGTTCCGATACCTCCATTTGTTGGCTTCCGTGTGTAGCTTGCGAGGATGGCTGAAAAGGTTCTTCATCTCGGGCCACGGTGCGCTCCGGCTCGCGGATCATGTCAGAGTCGGGTGAAACTTGCTTAGCTGGCGTGGCAGTGTACGGTGAAGCAACCTCTCGCTGAATGGCACGAGCTGCTCGAGGAGTAGCAGAATCTTCTTCATTGTATAGCGGCTTCTGCTGTTGTGGGGTCTGTCGTATAGGGCTGGGCAATGTCGAAGAGTGGGCAGCTCGGCGCGGCGTAGCATCAGGTGCCATTACTCCCCACTCGTCTGCAAGTGCAGGTGCAGTAGGAGTCGCCGTCGACGCTGCGCCTCTCATTGTGGCTTTGCGCTTGTCCAAGAAGGGATTGACTCCTCCTTCCATAGCTGCTAGAAGCTTCCTCTCGAATTCGGCGTCTACAGCCGATTGGCCTTTGGAGGGCGAAGCCTGCCTTGGAGTTTGCTGAGAAGCGGCAGCCCTGGCTTTGGTGGGCGAGGAGAGAGTCGGAAGCTTAGGCTGATCGACGACAAGCTGAACAGATTGGACATCAATGGTCCGTCTCTCCGATGTCGCGCCATTCTCAAAGCGACTCTTGGCCTCCTTGACTGCTCGGGGAGTCTCACCACCTGCTTCCTGTCGGGCTTGGTCGAGGCGCGTGAGCGAGCTCCTAGGACGAACATGCTCGGATGCGCCTGCAGATGCTGCCGAGTCTATTAGACTGAGACTGATACCCGCCTTGGCAGCTCGTGTGGCCGCGGTGTCATAGAGGGTCCCGGCACGGTTGGGACTAGGCCGAGGAAGGGAAGAGGTGACCTTGTGGCTGACATTGCTAGGCCGGTCCCCAACGAGACTTCCGGGACCTGAGACGCTGAAAGTACTCTTGTGAGACTTCTTGAAGCTGCCCATTTGGTCCAGAGGGGGGAAAGCGAAGTCCTCAGCCGCTTCTGACTGAGACGCCATCTTGTGGTGCACCGGACTCTTCTCGCTTTGGGTAGGCGTTGCTGAGGGGGCTCTCTGCTTGCGGGGAGGCGAGTCCCTAGCGATGAACATGGTCGCTTAAGCAGCAGTGTTCGCCTCCAAGACGTAGCAATGTGGGTGAAGATTCAGCAATGAGCCAGTGTGATGATGGCGATGGTGTTGATATGGATGTCAAGGTGTGCTTTGCCCTGCTTGCCTGTCCGTCCCCCTCGAAGTGTTGGATGCAGGCACACACACACGTCGGTGTTGATTGTCCGAGGCGCCGCGCGCGGAATTCCAAAGTCACGCGAGGCGTGGAAGCGCTGCCTCGGCCTCCGCCACGCCACGCCTCTGCACTTCCGCCCTCGGCCTACCCACCTCGGTCAGGCGGTGAGAGAGGGGTCAGTCCTTCTCACCCTCCTCCCTCCAAGTGTTCCTGCCAGCCGCTGCCACTGCTACCGTATCAGCATCAATAGCATATCAACACATCCATACCCATACTCAGGTAACCTATCCACACACCCAATCGATCCGAGACCAGACGCCGTTCCTGTCTGCTGCGTCACCACATTACCCCAGACCCCGCATATCCACCCCTGCTCATCCTCCACAGCTACCTTGGCCGATGGATTTCTTCCAGGCAGCAGCACTGCCGGCCTCCAAAAAGGTCGGCCAGTCGAAGTCCTCGGGTACCAATGGCCATGCAAGCCTCTCGTCCGGCAAACCAAAGCCAGCAAAGTCCAATGTCGTCGTCTCCACAGTCAAACGTAAAGTGATACCTCGACCGCCCGTCGGCAAGCCCGCAACTGCCACTCCCTCCTCTCAAGACTCTTCTCGGACCAATAGCCCAGCAGCAAACGCCCTCCCAGCCGAGGTCAGGGCCAGAATAGAAGCAGCCAGGGCTGCAGAGCGGGAGAGGGCAATCGAGCGTGAAGCCGAAGCTCAAGTCAGGCGGAGCGGCAACAAGTCAAAGGGCGACAAGAGGTCGGATGCTTCGAAGAAGGCCAAGAGGAATCGAGAGGAAGACTTCATCGATTCTGAGGAAGAGACCGGTGTCCGCAACACTGCGAAACCAAAGAAATCCAGAGCAAAGGCGCTGGCGGACGAAGAGGATGACGATAGCCTCTTTGGTTCTGCCGACGAAAGTCGTAGCAGTAGACCACCCGTCTCTCGCAAGCAATCTAGACAGGCATTGACGCCACAGCAGAATACTCCCTCGGCATACACTTACCTTGGTCGCTCAGGTGTTGTCCAACCGTACCTTGTGCCTCGCAGCATGGGTCCTGCGGAAGGACAGGAGGAGCCTTCCTTTGCAGATTTTGTGGCAGAGCATGGCGAGCCAAAGAGCGCATCTGCTCTCGTTGCAGAAGCCATGTTGAAAGGCTCTGGGAAGTCGAGCCGCTGGGGTCCCTTCTTCAAAGACCTTGCTGTCTCCCCTCCACCCCAATGTACCCTGCACTACCCCGCAGAAGGAGCTCAGGAGGACTTTACTCTCCTCGTTCCGCGAGACAGCGATGAGTATGATCCGATCTCGGATCTTCTTCGAAGCGTATATGTCATCGTCAAGCACTACCTCACAGACGAGCAGAGGAAGGAATTTGGGGAGCTCAGTGAGCTGGAAATGAACAGCATGGCCGGTCAGATTTGGGCTGGCCCCTTGCTCATCGATGGTGCGAGCGAGGGAGGCGAGACTCCCGCGATGAACGGAGGCGAACAATCGTGCCCAGCTACGCCGGCTCATCTGTCTGCCCCACCTTCTGCCTTGGGAAATCTCGCCTCACCTACTGCAGCCTCTAGCTCTGGGGCCACTACCCCTCTGCACACCCCTGGCGGGTCCAGTAACACAGCCTTCGACACATCTTCTATCCTTCGAAGCTTCTCCAAGTCGCGCAATCGCAGAAACGGTCACCTCTTCCTCCACACCGTGACTCGATTCAACAATGCCCTCTCCGACCTCCGAGCGAGTGGAGCCTTGTCGAAGAACATTGCCTCTCTTGGCGAGAGCGGAGTCCCCGAGGATGTCTGGGGACGTATCCAAGATCAAGCCTACGCCCGTTCCGTCGCTCCGCGTGTAGACGAGCTGGCCAGCTACCGGTCGTTCTCCGACAACGTCTATGGCGAGCTCACCCCGCGCTTCATGAGTGAAATCGCTCAGCTCTGCAACCTCACCCCTTCTTCCACACTTGTCGATCTCGGCTGCGGTGTGGGCAACCTAGTGATTCAGACTGCCCTACAGGTAGGTTGCGAAAGTTATGGAGTAGAGATGATGCCTACTCCTGCTGAATTGGGAGTTTTACAGGTGGAAGAGGCAAAGAAGAGGTGGAAGATGTGGGGTTTGAGAGGAGGGGAGATGAAAGTCTGGAAGGGAGATTTCCTCGAGGACGAGCTGGTGCGAGTGCACATGAGAAAAGCAGACGTGGTCATTGTCAACAAGTGAGTAACAAAAGAGAGCGGAGAAGCGCTCCTCCCGAGCATGGTCCGCCCGGGCAAACCGTCTGACCGTCTCATGTGTCACTCTTGCCTCCCCTTGATCAGCTACGCTTTCACACCACCCCTCAACGGCTCCCTCTCCCTCCTCTTCCTCGACCTACCCGAGCACTGCAAAATCGTCTCTCTAAAACCCTTTGTCCCTCCTGATTTCCGTCTAACTCAACGCACCATTGGTTCTTCTTCTGCCATTCTAAGTGTTCAAGAGAGAGAATATGGTAAAGGAATGGTGAGCTGGACGGAGAGGGGTGGAAAGTATTATATTGCCGAGGTGGATAGGAGTTTGGTAAAGGCATTCATTGAGTCGGGGAGTGTGGCGGAGGTGGTGGCTAGTCCTAGGAAGGGGAAGAAGACGGGAGTGGCAGCGGGGAGTGGGAGTGGGAATGGGAAGAGGGGGTCTGTGGGACCGGAGGCAGAGGTGGGCAGTCAGGAGTAAGGGTTGATGCATCTATCCTTATCTACCACATCTGCCTCGTCGTTTCAGCATGTGCTCCTGTCTATAGCATTGTTCTCTACATGCACTACGATTATACACGTTGCTTGTTCTTCCTTGTCGTCACCTGAACCCCATCCTTCCCTCCTCTCATTCAACGCACCCGTCATTGCATTTCCATCAAAGCCTCCTTGACACTCTCCGACCCCACGAATTTCCACCGATCATCATTCCGGCGAAGCGTATCCGTAAGAGCCCTGATCTCCTCTTCACCCATGAAAGCCGACGCTGATGTTGAGAAGGTCGTGCTCATGGAGCGGCGCAGGATCGTGCTCAGGGGCGCAATGAGGAGTGAAGGTGTGAGGAGCTGGTAGCTGTCACCTCCATCTCCTCTCCCTCCTGCTCCTTCTGGTCCTGCCTCGTTGCTGTTTCTGGCGGCTCCTGCCATCAAATGGGGAGGGGGTCCATTGCGACTACCTCGACGGTAGAAGTGCCGCTCCCATTTCGCAACTTCGACGCTCAGGGAGGAAGGCAGATCTTCTTCCGCGGCTTCGGCGCGAGCTTCGAAAAGAGAGCTCGCAGGAATCGCGTCTGCCTCCCCAGCAATGACGATGTACCCCTCATTGACCAATTGCCTGACACACCTCTCAAATAGTCTCCTCATCTTCTCACTCTTGGCCTCGCCCGAAGCAGTCGGCAGAAGACCTTTGCGAGCACTCTCTTTCTCACGTGAGCGGATCATGACGCTTACCACTCGATCGGCTAGCTCCCAGAGATTGCGGACAGTCATGAGGTACTGCATTGTAAAGACCGGTGGCAGTGGCGAGGTGGGCCCCTCGCTGGAGCGCTTTCTCCCCCTGCTTTCTAAACGAGCGCGCTCGCAAAGGGAAGTGAAGCGGTTGTGATCGACGAGGAACTTCTGTACGTGCAGACGAAAGAGGTCTGCTGTACATTGCGAGTCTCGTAATTTGGAAGGGGTGCGCAGCTGCCGACTTTTGCCAAAGTGCGTGGCGGTGCGTCGTGGCGGGCTTTCGGGAGCTGCTGTCTGGCTTGAGGCGAGGCTGGAGCATTGACGAGGGGCAGACGCAGTTTGCTCGGGCATGGGATGCGGTAGAGTGTGCTGAGGTGCTTCAAGCGAGGAAGAAGGAGGCAGCGGTACTATGCGTGAAGCTCCCTCGGTCTGCGCTTCCAACTTGATCCTCCGTTCTCGCTGCCCTGGGTAGGACTGCCGAATCTCCGAGAAGGGCACTTCGCTGGAAGCTCGCTTCAGTCTATTGTAACGAGAGCGTGGCGCCAGAAGACGATTCGCTACCGAGCTGGCCGACAGCGACAGTCCATTTTCGTCCTGGGTAGAATCCGGTCTTGACTGAACCAGGGCTCTCAGGTCGTCGCCGAACTTGCGCTCCATACGAAGGGCCTCATTAGGATGGCAGTAGGCGGCAGCGCTACGCGACTGCAGGGGCAGTACAATTCGTACAACAGATAGACACTCGCTCGGCATGGCGAACACCTGACCGTACTCTGTCGAATCCATCTGATGAGCTCGCAGGTTGTGACGCGCTTCTTCGCTTGGGTCATCATTGAGGTTGTCGAGCGATTGGACATCCAGGCCTACCTTGAAGGTCGTCTTGCCACGCTGTGTACTCCATTGACGTCTCCAGATCTTCCCGGTGACTTTGACGACATCTCCACTCTCCAGCGGAAGAGTTGGCATGCTTTGGTAAGATTCTAGCGTCTGACGCGAGCTAGGCGCCACAGGCGGGATACTCTTGAGGAGCGAGTCCGGTATGGATCTGCTGTGAACGGAGACGTCGATGATCTGTGTGCCATCATCGACTGTCAGGTGTGGAGAGATCAGGTACAAGCAATGTCATCAGCACGTCAGTCACCATTTCCAGAGCCCTCGGTGATGAACTCACTCATCAGGTCCCACCGTCTGTCCTTCTCTGTCACCCCAACAATGATGCCAGCAATGGTAGCATACGTGCAGGGAGTCCTCTTGTGCAGATATACGGGCAGACTTGAGGGTGCGACATTGCCTCCGACGACTTGCACCTTGGCCAGAGCGCGGTTGCGCAAGGTGAGAGCATGACAAGGTCGATCGACGTATGCGTAAACAGACGAGGCTACATCCGCCGGGAGTGCTTCATCTTGCGAGAGGTACACCGTAGATGTAGCTGACCCCGAGGAAGGCATGACAGCGTCTCAAGACTGTCTGATAGCTGTCATGCCGAGCTGTGTGACCCGCTGCGGATTTGACAAGACGAGCAGATGGCGGCGGTCAGGTAAGACGTGGGTGTTGTGGTGAGTGTTCTGTCGGATAGAAATGCGGAAAGAGCAACACCACTTTGCCAAAGTCGCGTTTTCCGCTGCTCCGGATTTCTGGACATCCGCAACTTGCCGGACCGGATGGGCTCCACTTCATCCGCACCTCATACTCATACCCATACTCACACTCACGCTCAGACGCGGCCCCCTGGGGAACCAGATCAGACATAGGTTACAACTACTCCTCGGACGCCATGTCGCTGATGGCGTCGCCCAGCTACGCCCCGCTGGACTCAACCTACACATCCCTCTCCTCGCTCCTGTCCGCCCCTGCAGCATCCTCAGCCCACATCGCCCTCCTACCGCCTCAGGCCCTCTACTCCTCCCTCACCCTCTACCTCGCACGTCTGCCCACCGAGACGTTGCCAGACTTTGTCAAACTACTCGCTACCAGTCGCAGCTTGTGGAACACCTCTTGCATCGTCAAGGAGGACAAGGGCAATGGCAGGATACACGAAGATGTCCGGACCGATGGGCAAGGCGTGCAGGAGCAGCCCTCCTTGCTGAGACGATCTTATCAGCTACACTTGGCAGCAGCGAGGGCGGTCTTCTCTCACATCGAGCTGCTGTTGACATTGCAAAATGGTTCGACTGGGTGGGGGACACAGCGCAAGCTCAGACAATGGGTCGACCTGGTGAATCAAAGCTTGAGCAGCGCAGAAGCCCCCTCGATTCCACACCTGGAGCCTAGCGTAGCGGTCCCCAGACTGTCCATTCTTACGGGCTTGCTCGTGGGCCTGACAGCGTACAAGCAGCAGAACCAGTCTGAGAATCGACAAGGTCTCAGCGTCAGAAGGGCTCTCCAGGCGGCGGAGTCTCACTGGCTCGTCTGCTTTGGAGAAGTGATGCAGGGCTTGGCTTCGTTGGGCAAAGTTGAAGACCAGTCCAGCTCCGAGGAAGACGTGTGGGAATCAGAGTTCACACAGCAGACTGGAGGCTCGCAGACTCAAGGCGAAGCCAAGAGAGGTGAGTAATCAAGAGACATTGAGGTAGCAGATAAGGCTCAGAGCTGACATCCCCAATGCTTCTCTCCTGCGACGCCTTGCCCAGCTCTCGTGCAGTCACAATCTCTCATTCCTCTCCTCCTCGCAGCTCAGGTGGCCAGCAGTCTCACGGAGGAATCCCTCAACAGCATCAGTGCTGAGCCAGTGCTGGAGGTAGTACCCGACGCTATCCTCAGCCTCTTCCCGGCAGAGCGTCTGAGCCTGTCTCCAGATTCCGCTTCTCGGTCTACTCCCCTGACCCATGCTCTCTTTCCCCTTCTTGGACCCCTCTCGCGGCTGGTCTCTAGTGCGGCAGAGAAAGTGGCTGAAACATCGCGGGCAGAGGAAGTGACTCGTCTGCTGTATACGGGCTCTTCGGGAGAGGGTGCTGGAGGCGGAGGCGTGGTCTCTAAGTTCGTCAATACAGCATCGCAATTGCACGATCGCTTCGTCGCTGCGAAGATCGGAGATGCAGTTATGAGGGACCTCGACGAGGCTTCCAGGACCGCCCTCACTGACACATGGTCGGCCCTCAAGTCGTTCCTCTTCGTCACCATCCAGCTCTTCGACGGAGTCCTCGACGGTCTTGTCGAGGTGCTGCCTTCGCCAGTATTCGCAGTCAGTCAATACGAAACGCAAGCGGATCTTGCAGTGAGCCTGCATCCTACGAGTAACATACCCTTGCATATACTGCAGATACTCACTCTCCAGCTGCAAGGCCTGATGAACCTTTCATTCATTACATTCTCCCTGACGAATCCGGCTGGGGCTACTGGACAATCCGGTGAAGCGGACCCATCGCAAATCACGTCCAATGAGATCTACGAGAGATTCACCACGTATCGCCATGCCTTCTACGGGGCCCTAGAGGTCCTCAAAACGGACAAGGGAGCCTCGACGTATCTTGTCTCCTCCCTCGAAAAGGAGCTCCCGCCCCTAGACGCTAGCATCGAGCACGCCTGGCACCCGCGCTCCAAGCTGACTCTCTTCCTCGACGTGTGCGAGCAGCTCGTCGGATCTCTCCCGGATGAGGTGATCGAGGAAATGGTACTGCAGAGGTGTAGACCTTATCTGCGCGACGCTACCTACCCTGGGCCTTTCGAGAGTGCCCACTCCTGCGTCTTGGCCATCTTTGAAGGAAAGAAGAGGGTGTGCAAGGCTCTTGCGCCCTTTTACATTGAGTGTGTAATCGAGGTGAGTGTCGCTGCACGAAGTACTATCCACAGCAGGTTCAAAGGGACAGCTTCACACCTCACTTCTCCCTCCCTCACGTTCATTCCCGGATCTACCAGTCCTTTCCACAGCACCTCTCTCCCTCGCAGCTCTCCCATGCCCTGTGCACCGTCATCGCCTGTCTCTCAGACCTAGATGACGCCAGAGCCTACTACGTCGTCGAGCGTCTCGAGCGCGAGATTGGCGATACCTCACCCGAGAGCGGGAGCGGGAGTGGGGGCGGGAGCACTGTAGCAGGTTCGACCAGACGTCGCAAGGGCGAATTGCGCTTCGAGCCACCTGCTGCTTCTACTTCCCCTCCATCCCCCAGTCCAGCGCAGCTAGCGGGGGAGAAGATGCTCACCACTACTGATGGACAAGGAGGCAACTCAGACGACGAGGCTTCCTCAGCGCAACGTACCCTACAGCTTCAGTTGGCGTACATCGATGCGCTCCCCTATGTGAACCTGGTACTGCTACGCTCGGTCCTCTCCAAGGTGAGGGGGTACATCCTTGATGCCCGTGCGGCGGAGGGGGGATTAGGGGGGTCAGAGAAGCTGGAGACAAACAGTGGCGATAAAAGGGAGGAGAAGGAGGGGGAGGAGGATGCAGGGCAGACGAATTCGAAGACGGAGGCAGATATGGAAGGAGGAGAAGGAGAGGCATCACCACATCTCCAGCTATGCAGGAGGACTTTCAAGGCGCTCAATGGCATGGACGACACGGCCCGGCAGGAGGGGGTTCGCTGGTGGCTGGAGTGTCGTGAGGAGTTTGGAGTGTAGTCTGGACGTCGAGGCAGTAATGGCTTCTTTGACTTGTACTATTAGCAATACTACCCCTCGCCGTTCTTTTGAAACGAATCAAATAGGTCCTCGACTTCCGGCTCTGCTTCTTCGCCTTGCGGCATATCTAAGTCTTGGGCGCCCTCGGCTTGCACTCCTCCCCTCCCTTCTCCCTGACCCAAAGTCTCACCCTTCCCTCTCCCCCCTTCCCAATCCCTCCAACCTCCGCATTCATCTCCCCGACAATTCCCTTTGCCCTAGTCATCTCCTCTGGCGAAGGCTTCTCTTCGAGATTCTCTGCGCCAGAGGCTACGACGAGGATTTGACCATCGGCGGAAAAGGCTGCAGTGGAGAGGGGAGAGGGGTATTGTGGTAGTTGGCGAATGCGCTTTTTTAGATAGGGGTCCCAGTAGGAGAGGAAGGCATCGCCCCCGAGGGAGAAGAAGGTGCCGTGTCTACAGAGCGAGGAAGAAGACAAGGGAAAGGAAGAAGACAAGGGAAAGTCAAAGTCAGCAGATTGGCAGGGCGTGCGGTTTGCTCAGAAGGATTGGCAGACTTACAGGGGATTGTAGCCCATTGCATTGACTGGGTAGACGGTATCGACTCCGTCTACCACAACGCGATGGCACTTGAAGGCGTACTTCTTTGCCTGAGCCTCACTCGATGGATCAAGGAACTCCACGGAGATCCTGCCTTCCACAGACGAAGTTGCATAGCCTGATTCAGTAGGCACGAAACAAGCACAACATCAAAGCCAAAGTCAGCTCCTCTCTCGCTTCCGCTGCCATCTGCAGAGCTCCGCACAGTTCCCGACTCACCGATGCCATCTGCGCTACACCGTAGATCGCGAATCATGTACTTCAGACTACTCTCCCTCGTCTGCTCTGCCTCCCACTCCTGTGCATCCTCCTCCCCGTCCTTGATCTGATCCACCTTACTCCTCAATTCCACCAAATCGTAAATCTTGAGCTGCCGCCCTGTCATAGCTACCACCAGCGTCTTCTTCTCACCACCCTTGAGGAGAGCACTAGAGGGAAAGGGGGGAGAGACGTCCATTGCTAGTACCTTGTCAGGCAGAGAGAGGGTTTTGAGGTGACGTGGAGGTGAGGAGGTGGGGTCCCAGAGTTGGAGTGTGCGGTCCCAGCTGGCTGAGATGAGGAGGTTGGTACTGGGTTCGTAGCGGATGCGGGAAATGGCAGAGCTGTGCTTGCCGATGATCGTAGCCTCGCCTGTTGTCAGGTCAAGTCTAAGTGAAGGAGATAAGGCATCAAATGGTCAGCCGATGGGAGTCTTGCAATGCAGCGCAGCATATAGTCTCGCCTTTACCTATGACCACTTACAATCTAACTCTGCGATCCACACCTCCGCTAGCCGCCAGCCTCTCATTGATCCAGCAGGTATCGAGCACGGGAGCCTCATGTTGGAAGGTGTGAATCTGCTGTATCCGACTCGATTTTGTCTCACCATCGGCTGAGCTAGCCTCCGGAAGTTGGTAAAGTCTAACAGTGGAGTCCCATGAGGAGACCAGGAGCTGCCTGCTGGTGGAGGGCGAGGAGGGATTTGGGTGAAAGGCGATGGAGGAGACTGGGTGAGATGGAGAAGAAGGAAAGGGATATTCGCTGGACGTCGTCTGGTGCGCTGCTGCTGCTGAAGGTGGAGGAGCTGACATGGCGGGCAGTATTGGCGTGGTGGTGATGGTGTTGGTGTTCTGGTATAAACAGGTCGACTTGAGCGGAACGGTTGTTCTCGTCTTTGCCTTTCCGCCAAAAGGGCGACGCGCCACTTCTTCTCCACTCGCGGCGGCCAAAGCAACACACGCACGCACCCAGCGCTGCTCTATTCCTGGGTACCACATCCTCCTCGATAGCACCCAGCGACCCGCAGCGTCACCTCTGATGCGTCTGCATACAAGTCCATGACCACCTCCACCTCTCCCACTCCACCATCGTGGGCTCAGAGGATCTTCCTCACCCTCTGTCTCCTCTCCCTCTCCCTCTCCCTCCTCTGCTTCAGGACCATCACCTCCTACCTGCGCCACACCCGCAAGAGCAATGTCAAGCGGCGGCGAGCCCTCCTCTCCCGCCTCGGCCTCGCCGTAGAGACACGTACCGAGAGATACACCATTATTGGCTTCTTTCACCCTTACTGTAATGCAGGCGGAGGTGGAGAGCGAGTGCTCTTCGAGGCAATGAGGTACCACCTCGAGGAGCCTAAAACCATCTGCATCGTCTACACAGGCGACGTGACTGCCTCCCACTCTCTACAGACGTCGAGACCGAGGGCAGTAGGAGAGCGAACCTCTTCGATTGCAGATGGAGGCGGCGGGATGGCTACGCAGGAGGAGATCTTGCGGAAAGCAGCCGATCGCTTTGCCATCTCCCTAGAGGCCTACAAGGACCGAATCGCCTTCCTGCCACTTTCCTCACGGCGACTCGTATCGGACAGCTACTGGAGCAGATTGACGCTTTTGGGTCAAAGTTTGGGCAGCGTGGTGCTAGCGAAAGAGGCCTGCGAGGAGTTGATCCCGGACGTCTTCATCGATACGATGGGCTATGCGTTCACCTACCCAGTGATGCGAGCCTTCAATCGAACCGTGCCGATCGGAGCCTATGTGCACTACCCAACGATTAGTACAGACATGCTGCAGCGAGTCAAAAGTCGAAAGGCAGGTCACACAAATGATGCAGCAGTAGCACGGAGCGCTTTGCGGAGTCAAGTGAAGCTGTGGTACTATCAGTGCTTTGCGTGGCTCTACAGCTGGGCTCTAAAGCGTTCCGACGTGATAGTAGCCAACGGGACATGGACGAGGGACCATATCAATCGTCTGATCCTCAACAGGGGACAGCTGAAAGACGTGCAGTCGGCAGCGGCCTCTTCTTCCCCCTCGACTTCGCGGCGTGTTGATCGACAGGCCTCCATCGTCTATCCACCTTGCGACACCTCTTCCCTGCAAGACTTCCCGCTGCAAGGTCGTGGAAATACCATTGTCAGTCTGGCCCAGTTCAGACCAGAGAAGGAGCACCGTACCCAGCTTCTCATCCTCCGCGGTCTTCTTGATCGCTACCCTCAATACGCCAAGGCAGAAGAACACCCAGTGAAGTTGATCATGATGGGCAGTTGTCGCAACACAGGAGACGAGGAGCGCATCGCCTCGCTCCGCTCCCTCAGCTCCGAGCTACATCTCGATCCCTACGTCGACTTCATCATAAACGCTCCCTACCCACGCATCCTCTCCGAGCTAAGCACCGCCTCCATCGGACTGAGTACAATGGTCGACGAACACTTTGGGATCAACGTTGTTGAATTTCTTGCAGCGGGACTACTCACACTCTCCCATGCTTCCGCTGGTCCACTACTGGATATCGCCGTGCCTGATGAGGAGGGGTTGCGTACAGGGTTCCACGCCAAGGACTCGGAGGGATTCGTAGAGAGGCTGGCGGAGATGTTGCAGATGAGGGAGGAGGAGAGGGTAGAGGTGAGGAGAAGGGCGAGACTAAGGGCGCTGAGAACGTTTAGTGCCGAGGCGTTCAGAGGAGCCTGGGAGCGAGAGCTTTGGCTGAGATTGCAACAGAAGATTCCCGTAGCACCAGGTGCGAACAGTGTCAAGAAGCGCAATTGATCAGACCAGAAAATAGTCTAGTAAATGCTTTTATATGTGTGTGTGTATGTGAGATGTGGTTAGCTGATGACAGTATGATAGGCCAAGACCCCTTCCCGAGTCGTGGTGGCACGAAAGACTCTCCACTCCCTTACCAATCCCGATTGAGATCCCTCTGCCTCTGATACTCTCGCCAGGCTTGATCGCTCGCCTCACGCCTCTCCCTCCGCTCTCGGTACTCCCGCTCTCGCTCCCACTCATTTCGAGCGGTACCATTACCGCCGCCATTGCCATTGTTGCCATTGCCGGGAGAAGGTGCAGGGCTCAAGAGTGAAGCCGCATGACTTCCAGACGCAGCTCTTCCAAAGGCTCCTGCCCCAGCTCCTCCTGCTCCTGCAGAGACTGATCCGCTAGGTGTAGTAATGCCTGGCGCGCTGCCAGGGTGGTGCTGCTGTCCAGCACCTCCCCCACGATGACTGCGCGTCCAAGGACTGAGGTTCCTCCTGCCTCTCGTTGAGCCCAGCTCCTCACCAAAGCTTCGCAGACGCTCAGCATCCGTGGGACCCGCCGACAAGCCGCCCAGCCCGCCCTCCATCTCCACTCCTCTGGACCCATGCCCATGTCCAGGACCAGCAGAGCCCGATCGACCTTGTACCCCTAGCCCGCCGACAATATTGCTGCTGTGGTGGTGGAGGGGATGGTTGCTGGATCGAGCAAAGGAGTAGTGAGGTGTACCAGGCTCGGAATGCAATTCTAATCGACCTGTGGGCTCCTCCTCTTCGAAGTTGACAAGGCCGATGGCGTCAAAGGAGGAAGCGTGGTCCCCACCTGACCCTCCTGCTCCTCCTGCTGAAGGTTGATGACCATCATCATAGCTAGAAGAAGACCGCCGAGGGGTAGGGCGATCACTAGACGAGTGCAAGGGGAATGCGGCCGTCTCTGGAGAGTAGAGCTCCAAAGAAGATTGAGACCTGCCGGCTGACAAGCGAGCGAGGCGGCGCAAAGAGGAAGGTGAGGGCGGACCTGTACCTCTGAGGGCTGGTGGTCGCCTGGCATCCCCGGTGTGCTGAACGGGCGAGGTAGCTCCGTAGCCGCCCTCTATGTGCTGGTCGGCAACGCCACCGCCGAAGCGAGACGTTGGAGACGAGGTAGGCGCGATCTCTCCTGACGCCTCGCCGCTGCCCTGCCGACCTGCCATACCCGCCAGTCTGCTGACACTAAGCGACATCTTGGCGAGCATCTCATCCACAGCGCTTCGGGACAGGAGGACACCAGGGCTGGAGGAAGGTCGATGGGCCGAGGAAATTCTGATCGCGCTTGACGGACTGGACAAGACTCCTGAGCCCCGAATGTCTTCACCGCCGCTGCCCTGAGTGCGAGAGTGTGGTATTTGACGGTCCGATGTAGTGTAGCTTCCGCTCTGCAGAGGACTTGTTCGACTAGTTGAAGCTCCGGTAGCGTCGACTCGATCTGGAACAATCCTCGATGAAGGCCTTGAAGTTCCGGCAGTCCCTATGGACGGCACACGCTGAATCGCCGCCGGGCTAGGCCAATGACTGGAAGCTTGTGTTGCTAGCGTAGGGCGCGTGACAGCTTGCGGTCTTGAATCTATCATTTCGACAAGGTCCTGTATAGAGCCTCGTCTTTTGATCGCTCGCAACGATGAGCCCGAGGCGCTGGAAGGTGATCTCTGAACTGCGGCAGGTGACATAGTTGGCGACGAGGCATACTCTCTCGCGAATGGACCACCGGGGCTGCCGCTGCCAATGCCCCCTAGACTGCCTCTTTGCATCGCGTTTGCGATCATGGCTTGTCGAGCTTCAGTGCGAGCTTGCCAGCTTCGACTGTAGATGCTGCCTTGATTACTCTCCAGGCTCGAGCCGCCTCTCGCTACTTCGCCACCATCCTCTGCATGACTCTCGCCGATGGACGTACTGATAGTGCGACGCTCTTGCCTATACGAAGGGGTGCGGGAGTAGCGCTGTATCATCTGAGGAGCCACACTGGGGGCTTGTCCCGGGCGCGATGATACCGAAGTGGTACCACTGGTGCTTGCTCCTCCGACAACGCTACCGCCGACCGTGCTTGATACGGACGAAGTGCGCTCCTCGCTACCGCCAGATGTCTGACGTTGCAACGAGGGACGTGGCGCAGAGCCGGTGCTGCTGCCAATGCTTAAGCGGTTGGAGGCCGGTGAGCTCACCTCGCCTCGACCCTGATTTCGGGGCAGGTAGTCCTGGAATACCGAGCGGAGGCTCATGTTGGGACTTTTGGATCGAGAATCAGCAAAGGACACTGATCCTGCCGAGATACCGGCAGGAGTGGGGCTGAGGGAGTACGAGATTGACCGAGGCTGTCCTTGTGAAGACTGTGTTTGACGTTGTGACTGGCTGGCGGAAAGTCGCTGTGCGAGCGGGGAAGATGACGAAGGCGAGTAGGAGCCGAAGCGCATCTGGTGAGGTATCGGAGGCCTCATCGATGCCGAGGATGCACCGGTAGAGGGTGAGGGCGGACTGGGCCGTTCAGCCCCTCCCATGTTGCTGGGGGTGCGGAACTTCCTTTCGCCCATGCTAGCTCGGCGGACAGCGTTGGTCAGAAATGCTGGCTCCGCCCCACTTGGGGAGCGCCCAAGAGCAGAAGCCAAGGCGGACGGCGGAGCTGTCATGCCTCCAGTGCCGACTTCGATCGTGGGAGGAGTAGCAATGTTGCCCATCGCTGCTACCGAGCTCTGATGCCTGAGACTTGATAGACCGGCCGGCGGAAGGCGGGGTCGACCAGGAACGCTTTGACTGAACAGAGACGATGAGGGAGATGGGTTGCTGGCGGACGATGCGGAGCGGACAGGCTGCTCGCCGCTCCCCGCCTGCGAAGACACAGGAATGGGTTGTGAGGCTACTTGCTGGGCCAAAGACGGGCCTTCTGTGCTCCTCGTTGACGCAGATCTGGTCAGAGCAGCGCCTTCCTGTTTAGTCGGCATACTCTTCGGTCTGAAGTAGTCCTCGTCTGGTTGAAGGTCAATACTAGCAACACCGCTGGCCAATTCTACAGTCGAAAGCGGCCGAGAAGTACCTCTTCCGATATCTGTGCGGTTAGTCGTCACTCTAAAGTCGACGTCAAGCCGATACTCCACGGATACGTTGAGGGATCCCAGTGGGGTCACCACAGGGCCGAAACCCTGAATGTTTGTCTCAAGCACAGAGTCCACCTCGGTTTTGCCGACGGTCGGGCGTTCACTGGTGGAGTCTGAGCTAGTGAACCTGTACTTGAGCCCGAGCTCGTCTCCTTCGTCTTCGTCATCTGGCTCCCCTGCCCCAAGCCTGCAGCCGATCTGTAGCAAGTGGTCAAAAGGCATGGCGTCTTGACTCTGCCTGGACCCTTCGATGTCTCCAGATCGCTGAGCCGCCTCTATTCTGGCTGTCCTGAGCCTGCGGTAGAGGCGCTGCGTGGGTAGGGATCGTATCAAGGCATGCATCGACCGAAAGTGGCTGATACATCGTTGATAGACTCCTCGAATATCGGGAGCTACATCTGGAGGGAAGACATTGAAGTCTATCCTCCACCGCTCTAACACAATAGGGCGATGTAAGACACCCGATGCCTCGACAGTAGACGCAACGGCACTAGACTGTCGCTGTACGCCTCTTGCTGGAGTGGCAGGTCGAGAATCGACGAGACTGAGAGTATGCTCTTTCCCTAGCTGGGTGGGATCGAAGATGACGTCGAGTATTAGCGGTGGTACCAGTATGCGACCTGGGCCTGCCATTTGTTCGTCTGCAGGAGTCTCGATGGACGCCTCGAGGGCGGACTGAGGTACGAAGTTGGAAAGCTTCTTCCACAACAATGCTTCGTCTCTGAAGATTTCGAGTTCCGGTAGCAGTATGCCAAACCAGCGATTCATCTTACGGGCAGTGGCCGCGCTACCACTTCCCGTTGCCTGTCTGGCAGCACTAGCGCTTGCTGGAGGTATCGATGCATCTGATGCAGCTAGCAGAGAATCATCCCGAGCATCACCCTCAGCAAGGACGATTGTTCTCATGTCCTCGAGGAACTTCGCCTGAGTGTCGAAGGCATCGATGTCATGCCAATGTGTGAGTCGAGAGGCTATCACCACTGCGATGGTCTTTGCATAGAAGTTGTAGAGGAGGGAGTCCAGTCCTCTGGTATTTGAGGGGCCTGCAGACGATGATGAGGGAGACTCCTCGACCCCACCTCCTCTGGCAGTGCGAAGGGGTGATGGACCCAGCTCTCCCACGTGAGTCCTGAGAGGCGATGGTGGCTCGGAGGGGTTACCGGCTGGCCGCCGCTGGGCCCATTGTGACAATGAGGGCGACGATGACATCCTGGGAGCGTGTCTCGCCTAGAGCGTATGAGGAGACAGTCGCATGTGAAGGTACGCTGCGCAATGGGCGATCGAGACGAAGCAGAGTGGGCAGAGACGGACGACGTGGTGTTGGTGTGACCAGGTTCAGTGGAGGTGGCTTGATCCCATGCTCGATGCGTGTGCAATGCGGTATGGCGTAGGGGTTCGTGCACTGGCGGGCGCAGTTGGCACGTTGATAGACTGCTATAGTTTTTAGATGGAGATGGCAAAGATGACAAAGAAGGAGAAGCTGGCGATGCCGCCAGACGATGACGATGAGTCAATGGTGTTGGGTGGTGGCCATTAGTCTATGGCCCGGGTGAGGTGATCATGGCGCGTTATCGCTCAGCCAAGGGGATTCCAACTCCGCTTCCGCCCGCCTGCAAGCCAAAGCTAAATGTGAGAGCAACACCGTAGGACAAAGGACGGCAAGCCTGGACCCCTTCGCTCCTTGCTAGCCAGGTACCACCCGTGCCCGCAGCGACTCATTCACCTAAGTGAAAGTAGATACCTTACAGTTCTCTTCAATGGCCTCGTCGTCATCACCTCCTGCTGCCCACCCTTACTCGTCGTCCTCGTCCTTCCATGCCTATCCTCATCAGGGTGGAGGGGACCTGAGACAAGGCCCCACCCCGCACACAGCTTCCAGCATAGCCTCCTTTGGGACATCTTCCGCTGGCAATCATGGTGGTAGTACATCAGCTGGTAGCGTCAGCATGTCCAGCGTACCTTCTTCAGGTCCATCGACCGGAAGGGAGGGTCCCAGAGAGCTCTTTGCTAGGAGGATAGCCACATTCGTACACCTCAAGGCAGTCGTGACTGGGTGAGCTACATTTACTTCATGCCTCACAATTCTGCTCCGAGGAAAACTGACAGTCTCATTCGCCCTCCTTTGACGACTTACAGCAAGCAGCTTCATGCTGGCCTTGTCCAACTTACTCGGAGAGACATGCAGATGATATGGGAGACCGAGAAGATGAAGAAGAGGACGTTCCGGCACTTCGTCCTCGGTCTCGCTCTCTCGCCCGTCATGGAGATGCAGGCATTGCCGGATTTTGCTAGAGGTACATTGGCAGCATTGAATGACATTGAGGCTCTGCCAGAGTCTGCGGGTGGAAGTAGCGGTGGTCTCACAGGTGGTGCCATGGCTACGCTAGGTTTGGGGTCCTCCACAATGACCGGTGCTGGAGAGAAGAAGGGTGTGGTGAGTCCTCTGACGATGATCGCCAAAGACGGAGCCATCGGAGGAATCGCTGAAGGCGTCCTTCCGTCCTCCTGTCTCGGCGCCGCAGCGGAATATCTTCTCAAACAAGCTCAAGACTTCGAAGAAAGGCACCTTCTCAGATTCATATACCGCCGGAGATGCCTTCTCGACTTCCCTAGTGCCGGGCGCTTCCAACAATTCCACCGCGGTAGGCGGGCTCACAGATACCCTCATTGGCGGAGCTTTGGTGCGTCAGCTGTTGGAGAAGCGCTCGACTGCCTCGCGAGCTGACCTTCTTTGCTCCCGTACTCTGCTCTACGCATTTTGACAGCCTTTCGCACCAGACTTCGTTCACACCCTGATCACCCTACTGGACATTCTCATCGAGGTTTACGCCAAGCTCTTGCTCTTTGTAGCTCCTACAGCGCAGCAAGCCTCGAGATCAGGCGACCTTTCCAGCAATTCTTCGGTCAGCGGACACCGGTCTCACCCTAGCGTTTCCTCCATGAGCGGCTTTCCGGGAGCCTCTTCGAATCGATCAACGCTCGTCGTACCCATGTCGGCAACCTTGAGCACCCAAAGTCAGAGCAGCAGCATTACGGGAGCGTTCCAGGGCGGCAATTCTTCAGACGCTGGCGGTGGGGACGCGAACGTCTCTTCCCGGTCGAACCACATCAACCTGTCGCCTCCCATGCTGGATATAATCAACAAGATTGACGCAAAGGTCAAGGTGAGATAGCTTCGCCATTCTCACTGTACTGACCCGACACTGCGCTGACGACGCGTCATGCATTGACTCAATATCCCTACAGAAACTCATAGTTCCCGTGATCAAGGATCTCGACAGCCTCTCCCGGCACATCATCAAAGAAGAATTGACCGCTCTCGAGAATGGCACATCCCGGGCTACAGCATCCCCTTCGTCCAGCTCATCACGCCTCGCGCTACCTCGCAAACAGGGGAGCGCAGGGACAGGTGAAGGCAGCCCCGGCCCAGTGGGGCTTTGGACTGGTCTACCTCAGCCGCCTCCGGGACAGCAAGCTGGGGGGACGGACGAGGAGACGAGCCCTTATACGCCTACTGCTCCTGCATCTATACCACAGTACCCAGGGGTGGGATTGCAGCTTTCTTCTCGGGAGAGGTACGGATGAAATGGCTGAGACCTGAATAGCCCGCGCTCGCCCGACGTTCGCTTTCAGACTGGGCCCGATGACTTATGCGGAGAACATGTACAGTACCGTAGTTCGAGGGTGGTATATAAGCATTCATGCGATTGAAGCTGTACAACCTTCGAAAGTAAATCATCTGGGACTGCGTTCGCGATACCGTTCCCTCCTCCGTTCCTCATCTCGGCTACCCCGATCCTCCCTCCGGTCTCGGTCACGATCGCGATGGCGCCGGGAGTCGTAGTGTTCCCTTCTCGAGCTATCTCCGTCCCTGTCTCTGTCCCGGTGTTTATCCCTGAGCCTGTCCCTATCCTCGTGCCGATACTCCCTCCCCGTGTCTCTCCTGCGATCCACATCATAATCGTCCCCCTCCCGTCTCCGCGATCGCTCCCCGGGACTGTGAGACCTCTTGCTACCTCGGTTCTCCCCTTCTCTCCTACTACTGCTCACGGCAGACCTGCTGTGTTCTCTCCCTTCCTCCTGCACTGGCACTGCTTCTCTTCGAACAAGAGGCTTGTACTCTCTCGTATCTGGTCGCTTGACTTTAAAGTCCCTCTTCACTCCTGCTCCTCCTGTCGCGCTACTTGCAGCAGCAGCAGTAGCAGCAGGTCTCTCCTTTGCTCCCAATCCCAGAAGTGCGCTCCTCTTCTTGACCTCGGGTGGAGCATTAGGTCCCACGCCTCCTTTACCCGCTCCCATCCCTTCGCGCCAGCCCATTCCCCTTAGCAAGGCTTTACCAAATTCCTCGACGGGAGTGGCGGCATAATCGTCCAGACTGGGTGCATCAGGGCGAGAATCGGCGTCGTACTTGAAAGCCTGCTCTTCTGAAATGGGAGCAGAGGATGACTCGCGGAGAGCAATGGTACGGTCGGCGTTGAGAGATGGTAGAGTAGAGCCTTGCCCAGAGAGAAGAGCACGACGGGCCTGCTCGTCTTCAGTCATCTTGGCCGAAGGAGGAGGGGAAGGAGCGGCCTTGTCCAGAGGAGGCGTCTTGTCTTCAGCAGTAGCGCTCTCTTGGAGCCTCCTCATCTCTTCCTCCTCTTCCTCCTCCCTGCGTGACTTGCCCCGCACTTGCAGACCGACCTTCTGCTTCTCATCGCCGATCTTCTCCACACCCTCCCCGGCCCCGGCAGAGCGATGGAGCTCACTGTCCCTCGGCGGGGGCACCGCCTTGCCCTCCTGTGCACCTCCAGCTCGCATAGATGTGAGTGAGCCAAAGTCTTGTAGGTTCTCCAATCCAAGACGCCTCTTGCGGTCACCTCGCCAATCTGAGCCACCCACCAGCGGGATCACGCGGGGGCCTTGGGGAGAAGGTGATCGTCTGGCTTTTTCGGCTCCTGAGCGCGAGTAGCCCGTGAGCTCTTCCCTTCGACCGCCATGGCCGTTCCTCCGACTTGAGCGGTCGTTGTGATGTTCCGCATGCTCGTCGTCTTCGTCGTCGCCGAACGCGTTGCCAAACGCTCGAGGTGGACGAGAGAGGGAGGAAGAGGATGAGGCGTGAGGGTTGCGGGAGGCGTCGGAGGAGCGATGGCTGCCGTTCCTAGAGGAGGAGCCACCTGCGTGCGATCCTCCTGCAGCATCCGCGGAATCCAAGAAGGACATGGCTAGACCTGAACGAGAGTCCTTGGGACGACTCATCGTTGGGCGTTGAGGAAGCAATCGGCTGTGAATATTCTTTGTGCAGGTCGGCGAGGAAGGACTGGAAATCCGGACATTTGTGAGGTGCGAATCCAAGAATCCACCGTTCCGCCCGCACTCAGCTCCACTCGACTCGAAGCCGCACATCAACTCAGATCAACACACGTACACAAGCACCTCAAAGCATTCGTATCCACTCCCTCCACAGAACATCACCAAGACTCGTGGCGGCAACGACCCAAGGCCAAGGGCAAGAAGATTACCTATGACCTCGCCATGAAGGTCAAAATCAAGGAATGGTCCGCCGTGGCCACCTGGGGTGAGTGTCCTAACGTCTCCCACCCAGCCGCATCGTAGCTTCGTGGCTCTCCTGGGGTCTTCTGCTCACCCGATTAACCAACTCCCTCGCGCCCCTTCCCCCTCTGGAACAGTCTGGGACGTCCGTGATCCAGACGACGTATGTGGTATCTGCCAAAACAACTTTGATGGAGTTTGTGGAAGCTGCAAGACGCCAAAGGGGGGTGATGAGTGTCCTCTTCGTGAGTTCAGGCAGACAATAGAGGTACCGGTCATACAGAGGGGACCAAAAGGTAGCAGTGCGGTTCTGATCAGCTCGTCCTTATCATCCCTACTCCCTGTATACTACTCCCCTCTGCCAGTATTTGGAGAATGCACACACGTCTTCCACATGCACTGTATCTTAAAATGGCTCGATGGAGACGCAAAGGACCTCTGCCCCATGTGCAAGAGGAAGTGGGGTGAGTAGGTGCTCTTGCCCTTACCAGCGTCCGAATTGTAGTCACTCTTCAGTGAGCTCAACTTGACTCTTCAACATCCGTTGTCTTTTCGCAGTGGCTGCTACGGCGACTGCTTACCAGGCTGAGATGGAGGCTCAGGAAGAGGCGGAGAGGGAGGCTCAACGGAGAGCGGCGGAAAGTCAAGGGCAGGGAGCATTGGCGTCATGATACGGAGAGGGAAGCGACATTCAAGACACAGGTGGACGCTAGCAGGGGCTTAGAAAGCGGAACACTTCCCGAGAGAGGATACTGTGAAATAGCGTGGTGAAGATGATTAGTATACCCTCAGAACCCCACATGGGTCGCTGGGCAATGGGACTTCCTCTATCAGATTTCCTCTCAGGCGCTATTGAGGGGAGCACAGTCTGACGAACATGGGCAAAGTTTAAGAGACTGTGTCATTTCTCAGACTTCTACATTTGGTATTGTCCTTCCTAGTCGACTAAATCCCACCCCGTGGGAAAGGGGAATCTGAAGGCAGGCGCTTCAGGCGCTCTCGAGGTCGGCGAGCCACTTCTTGGCGTTCTCGTCGTCTGACAGGGTGAGCAGAATGGGACGGATAATGTCAGACATAAGTCAACGAGGAGCAGGTGCGGATGGCATTACGTTCTACTCACCACTGTGCTTGTTGAGGAGCTGTTTGAGAGAACAGGGCGGGAGGCAGGCAAGGCAGGACGTCAGCTTCGACACTCTGGGAGGGGGATCCTGTTCCGACCTCCAGTCACCGCGCTTCCTGGTGAATTGGCGACGCAGAGTGCAGTGGGAATACCTGCGCTACCCCCTTCCGACGAACTCACCTCGGTGAAAGCCTTTACGTACTCCTCCTTTGCCTCATCCTGGCTCTTTCCCTCTACCTTCTTCCAAGCATCCCACTTGGCCTTTCCAGTAAAGTCGAAGGTACCAGGTCGAGAAGTGTTTACATCTCCAACGGTGGCCTGCTTGTAGAGACCGTAGAACTGGAGCTGTTGAGCCTGGCTGGGCTGGACTGGTCCGTCCTTGGGGAGGGACTGGATGATGGAGACTGCCTTGTCGAACTTTGCTGCCATTGTGGAAGTGGTTGTGTGGTGTGTTGTAAAGAGTGAAAAAGGAGTGCTGGTTGTGAAGTGGTGGGTGTGAAAGTGCTTGGTATGGATCGAGTCGCAAGAGTGGGGGAAGATGGCGCACTTGACCGGCCCAAGCTGCCTGGCCCCCTCGGCTGTGGACGTTGGGTGGAGGCTGGCAGGCGTCGTCCCTCTGCGCCTGGGCTGGGGCGGAGCGAAGGGCGGCGTGGCAGCCAAGGCCCTGCAGCGAGTCTTGTTCCTCCGCGTCCACCAGCCACAACCAACACCACCCACTGAGCCAGGTGTGCAGGCAGGGGCTACTCTGACACAGGCACTCGCAGCTACCAAGGCCTTCTTTATCACCCTGAGCTCCTGTGGCCGCTTGCTCATTGGGAGATGAGCCAGACGCCAACCTCTCCTGCCATACCCGGGCCATCCAGACTACCGCCCACCACTCCCAATACCCCAGCTTTCCGCAAACGTGGCAGTAGCCGACGCGACGCAGAGGATGTAGAGCTAGAGGACATCCGGAGATACGAGAGTGTGAGTCCACGATGACCACCACAAGGAGGGAACAGACTGACTGATTTCACCACTACCCTATTGCAAATAGTTCTCCACGGTAGACTGGATTGTAGACTCCACTCGTGAGAGAGCAAGGGTAGCTAGAGCGAGAGCTCGCGAAGAGCTAGGTTCCAATGCTCATCTCGCCAATGGCTCCGGTGGTCAGCCCTCTTCTGCCTCTTGGGGACGCTTTGGCTACGCTCCGGGGGAGAGACCGCCTCGGTGGTGGCCGACGAGGAGTACGTGGGGAAGAAGGGCATGGTGGCTCACGAGACTGGCGATGCAGGGAGCAAAGGCAGGGATTGAGAGCGGAGTGGTCATACTGGTCGGTGAGTGACGGACTCGTAAGCCCAGAGAAGAGCAGGGAAGCTGAAGTTGATCAAGCCACTATCCATTCAGGCGTCTTGATTGGCATCAACATGGCTGTCATCTCCATCGCAACCGAATGGGCCAGTGACTTGAAGCAAGGACACTGCAGCGCAGGATGGTGGCTCAATCGCAAATTTTGCTGCTGGGAGCTCATGGACAAAGGAGGCTCGTCACCACCAGCCGCTGTGAAGGCGACCATCGCTGCCGCAGCGGCAGCGGCAGCAGCCTCGCCTTCGACAGCAGCTGGTAATCCTAGCAATGTCACTAGCTCACTAGCGAGAGGGCTAGCCTGGGGCTTTCCAAGTGAAGCCGTGGGACCGGCTGCAGGCGCACTGGAATATGCCTCTACCTTCTACCCGAGGGCTGCCACCACAAGCTCTGACCCCGGAGAGACATGCGCAGACTGGATCCCTTGGACCACCTGGGCTTTTCCAGCCTGGATCATGTACATCATCTTTGCAGCTGCCCTTGCTGCTGCCTGTGCCCACCTAGTCAGAGCATTCGCCCCCTATGCAGCAGGAAGCGGTATCACCGAGATCAAGTGTATTCTGGCCGGTTTCATCATCAATGGCTTCCTCGGCTTCCAAACATTGGCGATCAAGAGCCTCACGCTCCCACTGGCGATCGCTTCGGGGCTGAGCATCGGTAAGGAGGGGCCAGCGGTACATGTCGCCTGCTCTATAGGAAACGTGGTAGCAGGCTTCTTCAAGAGCTTCGATCGCAGTCAAGCGCGCATGCGGGAGCTACTCACAGCATCCAGTGCTGCAGGCGTAGCAGTAGCGTTTGGCTCTCCCATTGGAGGCGTGCTATTCTCCCTAGAAGAGATGGCTCATCAGTTTCCCGCCACGACGATGTGGCGAAGCTTCCTCTGTGCCCTGGCTGCGACGGTCGCGCTGTCTTTCATGAACCCATTCCGGACTGGGAAATTGGTTCTCTTCCAGGTCTCGTATGACCGTGATTGGCATTACTTTGAGATGATCTTCTACATCATCATCGGTATCTTCGGAGTGAGTCGAATCAAGCATAAATGTTTGATGTTTTGTCGCTGACTCAGGCTGTCCCTCTTTCATGTTCTCTAGGGTCTCTATGGCGCTTTCGTGATCAAGTACAACCTTCAGGTCCAAGCTTTCCGCCGCAACAATCTCGCAGCGTACGGAGTGTCAGAAGCAGTCGTACTAGCTACATTGACTGCTTTGGTCGGCTATTGGAACAAGTTCCTACGCATTGACATGAGTGAATCTCTCGAAATTCTGTTTCGCGAATGCGAAGGCGGTGGAGACTACGACAACCTGTGCCAAAGCTGGGCGCAGTGGCAGATGATCAACTCACTACTATTGGCCACAGTTTTGCGGACAGTCTTGGTCGTCCTCTCTTACGGCTGCAAAGTCCCTGCTGGTATCTTCGTGCCTTCTATGGCCATCGGCGCGACATTTGGCCGGATGCTGGGTATTCTTGTGAAAGCGCTCTATACTGCCTTTCCGAATGCTGCCATCTTCTCTGCATGTCAGCCAGACGTTCCCTGCATCACTCCAGGCACGTACGCTTTTCTCGGGGCAGCTGCTGCTCTGGCTGGGGTCACGCGTATCACCGCGGCAGTGGTCGTCATCATGTTTGAGCTCACCGGTGCTCTGACGTACATTCTCCCTACGATGATCGTCGTCATGGTCACCAAGGGTGTTGGCGACTATTACGGCAAGGGAGGCATCGCCGAGCAGACGATGAAGTTTGCCGGGTATCCCTTCTTGGACAAGGACGAGCACAACTTCGGTCTGCTGCCGGTAGGCGAAGTGATGAAGCGCGATCCAGACATGGTCTTCGCAGACGGTACGCCCCTGAAGGATGTCGAGGAGCGCTTGAACAATACCTACCGCGGATTTCCCGTGGTGCGCAGCCAGAGCGATCGGACGCTACTGGGCTACGTTGGCAAGACTGAGCTGAGATTCGCAATCAACAAGGCCAAGAGGGCTAGAAATAGTCTTGGCGCCGACGTCAAGTGCTACTTTACCTGCGAGGACACTGGCGTGGGATCTGCAGGAATAGGACGTAGCGAGCCTCCGCCTACGGCAGGCACTCTGATCGACGAAGAAGAGGAAGAAGACAAGCTTGGGATGTCGAATGGAGAAGAGGACAGAGCGGGATTGATGGGCGATGCAGGGAGGGGCCGAAGCAGCATGACATCCCTGAGCGGTAGCGAGCAGGAACACGACCACTACGGTGATCTAGGAGGTGTCAATGGTGGAGTTGATGGAGAAGGCGAGGAAGATCTGCTGGAATTGGGCGAATGGGTAGATCAGACCCCGCTCACTGTCGGGCCGAACATGCCGCTGGAGGTCGTCATGGACCTCTTCAAAAAGATGGGCCCCCGAGTCATTCTCATCACTGATCGCCAAGGCGCCATGCAAGGTCTAGTGACCGTCAAAGATCTCCTCAAGCACATTGCCGCCCAGGAGCATGCCGATGCTCTCGCCCGACGTGCAGCGAGAGAGGCTTTGGATGCACAGGGAGGCCTCCCAGAGTGGGTCATTGCGGGTGATACCACCGAGGAGGCTGACGGGAACGTCATCAACAACTTTGGAGGAGAGCTGGAGAGGAGCCTCAGTGAAGGCTGGAGCTGGGCAAAGCAGAGGATGGCGGACTGGCGGGCGGGCGGCTCTGCACGGCGCTCCTCGCAGAGGACCGGACCCGAGTATGCAGAATTGCATGAGCGTGGTCAGAGCTCGGGTCCAGCAGAGTTCTCCTACGATGGTGAGGGTGAGGACGAGGAGGGGCACGAGGATGACGGCACGCCCTCCTCAAGCTATGCTACTGCTCAGCCGAGATCACATAGTGGTACTCCAGTGATGCCTACCTCTACTCGTGCGCGGGACGAGTCTGACCAATTTGTAATCGAGTAGATGTAAAATGCATTTGTAGTGTCCTTTGAGATCTGCAATGTCGATAGCGCCTCTCCTGTCCTCTGTGGCTAGCGCGCAAGATAGTCGACGCGAGTCACTTCTCCAGTGGCTTTCCGTGCCGTGCCTGCCTCTTTGCGGTCCTTTCCTCTCTCGCTACCTGTACGAGTCTCACCGAACCAATGGCGATTTGTTGAAGCACTTCAGGCTACTTTAAAATCATCTCAGCCGGCCCATCATGCCAAAGCAGAGTAGTGGCAATTGGCGCAAAAGGCGTTTTCCCCCGCGCAAGAAGTTCGCAGCACCAAAGAAGACGTCAGATGAAGTAGTGCGACCGTCAGTGATGGCGGATTCTTGACGCTCGAGCTACCGACACGATCGATTCCCGCATATACGCTGACTGTCCACTTCTCGCCGATCGTCGTGTGCAAGCAGTGAGAAGTTGCCTCTCAGGAGTGGTACGTTGATGCACTTGCTGAGTGCTGGCGATGGCGAAGCTAGACTACTGACTTGACTGAGCTTCGTTGGCCCATTCGACCGAGCAGCAAGTACCTCCCAGCCTAACTTCCCAGCAGCCCCAGCAGGACGGCAAGCCCCTCGGATCACCCTCCCTCCAAGCCAGTCAACACCTCATCACACCTCCTCTCCTAGCAGAATCTTGAGTGCGGCTTTTGCAGCTGTGAATACTCGCAATCAACGCAAATTTGGGAGCGGTAGCAAAGATGCAAAAGATACGTCTGATGCGCTGGAGGAGTGGAGGAGTCGCAATGGAGTCAAGCCAAAAATTGTGCTAAGTGCGGCTGAGCGAGAGGAGAGAGGACGCTGGGGTGAGTGCTGTGCTCAGGAGGCAAGTGGAGATCTCTCAGATCATTGATGAAAGCTGTATGCCATCTCCGCTGGCAGCATACAGTCCCGACGCTCCTATCACACCACATGCCGCTACTCGGGGACCAGAATGGCTCCTAAATGCCCTGTCTGAGCACTCATCTCAAGCACCTTTGGGCATACAGTCATCGCCACCTCGCTCCCTTGCTCCTATCGGCAGCATCAGCACGACTGTCAAGAGTCCCTTCTCAGACCCAGGCGTCTCCACCGTGCGACATAGCCAACGACCTACCCCTCCCGCACCTTCTGTGCCGGGCTTTCTCGGGGCAGACTTGGTGGCTCACCACTCTCCTCAGACTATGCAGACAGGACTGCCTTTCACGCCACCTACTCCAGCAGCAGCTCTCAACGGCTTTGCCCATAAGCCCTTCGCACAGCCCGCCAACGGCATTCTTCGTCACAATAGCAGCGTAATCTACACTGAGGATGAGACGCTGGACTGGGAGAGTGCCCTGCAGCGGCCCTCGAGAAGCGTCACTTTCGACCTGCCAAACTTTCTAAGCGACGTCAGTGCAGACCAGAAAGGAGCGGGTGGTTTTGGTAGATGTCTCCAACGAGCCAGCAGTGCTTTGGACAATGACACTTCCCTTGCCGAGGGCTGGGCCGCGCAAGAATTGGATACAAACCTGCCACCACTGTCAGGGGTGAACGATTGCGGAAGCGTAGACCAATTGAGTGTGCCCTCTGGCAACGAAATACACTCGGATACACTGCTGTTCGGACAGACTCTGCCGGCCAACGATGTATGGACGCAAGATGCAGGCTATGCGGACGCAGAAAATGCAGTGAGTTGTGCTTCGTACAGTATGAACAAGACCAGGAAGCTGATGATCACGTTGAGTCAATTGCTTGCTGCACACCAGGTGTACAGGTCTCCGTCTCCTGACCTTGACTATGCACCCAATCACGAGGTGGACTTCGGCGAAGAAGGCATGTATGACCCTCTATCTGATACCGGCGAGCATTGGTAGAGCATTCTGGTGATCACGAGGCAGCCCAAGTATCGATAAGGCGGCTCACAGTGCTTCGGGATGTTTCGGGTCTAGCCGCCGATTGGGGCAGCGTTCCGAGGTGGGTGGAGTGCACGGGGCGCAAAGAAAGACGAAAAGCCAGGCGGGCCAGTCATCGGAGGATTCTGGATTTTGCCAGTAGATTTCACTGCCCATCGCAACGGCAACTTGATCGCGCCTACACTCCCTTCATCTCCATCGTTGTCTGTCAAGCCCATCCCAACAAGCAGTCACACATTGTGACTTTTGCTCTGTGCCCCTTTGCTCTTTGAGCCGACGCCTTTGCTCGAGAGATCGTGATGCGGGCCGGTTGCGCCTCCTGCCAGCCACATTAAGAGTCCTAACCTCGAACCTTCTAGGGTGCTAGCCTACGCAACCCTTCGAAGCCCATCATGCTACGAGAGCAGACACAGGCTCACCACAAACATCATCCCAATACTACCACCTACTATGGCGATCGGCAGCAAGAGATGAACTTCTCGGAAGCTGGAAGCTCCTCTGCTCCTTTCGATGCTGCAGCCCATGCTCCTCGCCCAGCGACAGCTACCTTCTCGTCATTACCTGCTAGTAGCTCAAATTTTCCAGCATTCAGCTGGAGTACCAGCCCTTCTGCAGCGCCTCCTTTCTCGTCCGCACCGCTTCCACGGCGGAAGAGGCCGAGAGGCAGATCTCAAAAGGGAGACGGCCTGGCATCACTGTCTAGCCCAGCCCACCCCTTCGCAGATGCCCAGAGCAGGTACGACGGGGTCGACTATGGTCGAGATAGCGACAGCTGCGACTCGGACTCGGAGCAAGGAGAGCCTCTCACTCCCTCTTATCGCTACGTAGACGATGGCTTGGGACGCGCTGGTAGTCCAGAGAAGGCTGCTCATCCGAAGAAGCGACAGCGCCCGCACTTAGACACGGAAGATGTCGGACGTTTTGCTGGGATGAGCATCTTCGAGGAGAGAGGTACAGGGGCATCGCATACAGCAGAAGCTGCGAGACGAGCTGGGTTTGGGGCACCGCCGTCGAGTCCTCTGTCGCCCGTGAGGGCACCGCCTGCTTCCCCGACTACGGTAGGCGCAATGGCAAGCGGACCATTGGCATCGAGTGTAGCTTTGCAGGCTAGTACTGGCACTAGTCGCTTGGATGAAGGGAGGGAGGAATGTGAGGACGTGGGCATGGGCCGAGGACCCAGCAGCTGGGAGATCGACCAATATAGGTCCTACATTGCCAGTCTGGAAGACGAGGCTGATACCAGCGGCTCAGACGCGCAAGGAGATCAAAGCGATGCGCAAGCGGACGGGGCTAGGTATACTGCTATCACACAGAAGGAAGCTGAGCAGCTAGCCTCTTTTCGACGTCAGCAAATCTCCAAGTACAAAGCGGACGTTATGTCCGTTGCGGAAGAGGACGATGTATCGTCTCACCGATCTCCCTCATTCGCAATCAACCCAGAATTGCTCGCAAAGCTCGAAGCCCACTCGCGAGCCGTCGTACTCGGAGGCGACATCAGTAGTCGACCTATTGCGGGCAGAAAGTCCGGGGGCGTTACGCCTGCGACGACACCTCCTGATCAAGAAGAGGCCAAGGGGGAATTGGTGCTTTGGAGAAGCCCAGAGGAGATACTTGCTCCGTCGGGTACTGCTGCGCTCCGGGCGGAGAGGTCAGGCAGGGACAGCATGGCGGCCATGGACTCGCCTCGCTCTCTGGCAATAGCAGGAGGGTCGTCCGCCAGGCAGACATCTTCAATAGGTTCGAGCGATCTTCAGGAGCCTCTCTTCGCGTTCGGCACACACTCCCCGCCGAAGACATTCTCTCCGGTGTTCGCGGCTATTGCTGCTGGTAAGGCGAGACATACCGCACCTGGTGAAGCGATTGGCGGGGTAGGACCAGCTGACGAGGTTGACCAAGAGATGGAGCTGGATGATTGAAGAGCGTAAGATGGGGTCAGTCTGATCTGAGAGTGTAGAAGAGATTGAGGTCACGTGTAGAGTGGTGGAGGAACACACATAGTAGCATGCAAGCGTAGCAGAATCGCGCACCAAAATCTAGACTTCAAATTGTTATTGCTCATGCTGCCTCAAGAGCAGCATTGAAGAGATATGTCGAATATTCGTTTGTGAAGGCAGAGAAGATGCTCTTCCCATTCTAGGGCTCCCCTTCCTCAGAAAAGGCCCGAGCGCCAGATCGGCTCGGCAAAGTCCGCTGCTTCCGGGTGTGGGGTAAACTCGATAGGCCGGACCTGTAGCATCCTTACCCCACATTCACTCTCTAGCTTTCACCTAGAGTCTTGAACTCTCAGCTGATCCGTCCCTGTCTCCCACAGACAGACCGTTTGTCTTCTCATAACAAGTAACTCTTCCGATCATGGCATCTCATCTTTCGCCCCCGACCGTGGGCGAGCACTTGCTGATCTCATTCCCAGAGGAGCACGTGTTGCATCTGCAGCTCAACCGGCCGAAGCAGATGAACTCTATGAACGATGTAAGTGATTGAGATGGTTCCATAGCTTAGTGGTAAACCTGATGGCGCGAGGCTGACCCTGCACCCTTCCCTACAATACGCGCCACAGGAGCTCGAAGACGACCTGCGCAAGACGCTCCGGTGGTTCGAAGCGACTCCCACCCTATGGGTGCTAGTCCTCTCCGGCTCTCCAACCTCAAAGGCATTCTGTGCGGGTCAAGACCTCAAAGAGTGGTTGATTAAGCGCGGTACACCTCCGCCTGTGGCCTCCTCGTCCTCCTCTTCGCCCCCGCTCCAGTCCGAGGAGGAGAAGCGTGCTACGCAGCATCGAATCCGACACCTAGGCGGCTTTGGAGGTCTCTCGACGCTGCAGTCCACCAAGCCTCTGCTGCTAGCCGTAGATGGCCTAGCTATGGGAGGGGGTATGGAAATCCTTCTCAACATGGACTTAGTCTTCGCCACATCCCGTGCACGCTTTGCTCTACCAGAGGTGCTCCGCGGCGTAGTAGCAGCCCAGGGTGGTATTCCCCGCTTGCTCAAGCTCGTCGGCCATGCAAGAGCTAGTGAACTGCTTCTCACCGGACGCACCTTCCAAGCGGAAGAGCTCCGTGAAATGGGTCTGGTGAACAGCGTCGTGTCGGTAGACATCAAGGCCAGCCCGGAAGAAGGACAAAAGGCAGTCGTTGCCGAGGCGCTGAAGTATGCAAAGATGATCACCGCTGCCTCGCCCGACTCTGTGAGGGTCACAAAACAGGCGCTGAGGCTCGCAAGAGATGGAAGTGGGCATATTGATCAGAGTACATTGCAGAACGTGGAGAGCAAGCAAAGTCGGGGCTTATATGCTGGGCGGAACTTCCGCGAGGGACTCACGGCTTTCAAGGAGGTGAGTCAGTGGTGGAGACAGCTATGATTAGACTCTCTCTGATTCGTAGCTCTTTCCTCTTGCTTGTTCTTTCGCAGAAACGAGCTCCAAAATGGACTGATCCAATTAGCTTCGAGCGCAAGGGGTCTAAATTGTAGCAGCGCAGTGTACAAAAATTAGGCATGGCATTGACCCACTTGACTCTCACGATCTCTGAGCATGTGGAATGTGTGAATCTCTCCGAGCATTAAGAGCAGTACTCAGGACCTCCAGCAGGCGCAATGCTTCGCACCTCTCGTAGAAGGGGTGCTGTTCCGGTACGCTCACGGGCGCGAAGTGTTCCTAATTCCGGCGAGATCGGAACGGAAGCAGAAGTGGAGGAGGCGCGGAGCCGATTTGTCCCTCGAGAGGTCCCAGTCATGTTTAGAAATCCAATCCCTCGCGCCCCCTCACTGAGATACCCCACCAATACTGCCTCACTATGAATCCTGCGTCCTCATCAGTGAGGGCCTTCAGACCTCTTCTGGCGCATGCAGCGTCGTCCGCTCGGTCGTCGACAACGCCTCGCATTGCCACCTTTGCAACGTCGTCGTACCTTCGGAGACCGCCACAGCCGACGGCCCCCGTCAGGGAAGCAGCGGAACCGGCCGTGGTAAAGTCGCCATCTCAGCCACCTAACCCTGCATCGTGGCCTGGCAGGCAAAAGGAGTCTTCTCCTACTAGTCAAAGCGCCTGGCATGGCCAGCAAAGTGGACCAACCCCCGCTGCCCCCCAAGTCGAGTCGATTCCTCACGCTGAGAGCAGCAAAGCAGCCCAAGAGCGGGCAGCCAAGCTATCCACTGAAGGTCGGACTCAGCAGCAGCAGCAGCCATCCAAGACACAGAGCGTTTCGGCTGGTCAGAGCGCATCTACCTCTGCATCGGAAGGATCTTGTGCTACCCTGTCGCCCTCTTCACCTGCGGGACCAAGAAGCCAGACAGCTGTTGCACAGGGCAAGGCAAAGGAGTCAAGCACACCCAAAGCTGCTCCACCCGAGGAAGCGCCTGCAAAGGGAGCTGCTGCTACCTCGCCATCACCTCCTAGTACATCGGCCGCCAAGCCTGCCACGAGCGGAAAGGCATTCAGAGCGAAGAAAGCAGCACTGAGTCTGGTGAGTGGCGAAGCGGAGCGCAGAAGTGTCTATAAACCGAGTCGCTGACACTTGATCCCTGGTGACTAATTGTGTCAGACCCCTACGGCTGTAGAGCGACTCAATGAGCTTCTCGAGTCTGACTCAGGCCCACGACTGATCCGGATTGGCGTTCGCAACAAGGGCTGTGCTGGTATGAGCTACCACCTCGAGTATGTCACGCCAGATCAAGCCGGCAAGTTCGACGAGCGCGTAAAGCAGGACGGCGTGGAGGTCTTGATTGATAGCAAGGCTCTGTTCAGCATCATTGGATCAGAGATGGACTGGCAGGAGGACAAGTTGAGCGCCAAGTTCGTATTCAACAACCCCAATGTCAAGGAGAGTTGTGGCTGTGGTGAGTACATGATAGGTGTGGCGAGTAATATCCCTCTGCTCCAAGTTCAGCCAAGCTGACGCCCTCCCCCATACACTGTGACCTTTCGATTGTTACCAGGCGAGTCTTTCCTCACATGATCATCCACAACACCGGCAGTTGGCGTTGTCGCGCCGTACAAGAATATTCATTCGCAATAGAACATCTCTACATCACACATCCTCCAATTGTGTAGTCATTGCTGCTCTGAGTCTCTCCTATGTGCTTGCTGTGCCGACGATCTCACCACGTCCGTATCACTTCCGCGCATCCCGTCCTGTTGTTACGACTTACGAGGCCGCCGATCCATGATTGCCCCAGTGACTGGTTGAAAGGCGGGGCGCGCCCAAAAGGTTGATTGCCGAGCGGAGGCGCCGGCGCCCAACGCCTGACTTTCAAAAGCCTCCGCTTCTGAGAAATGCGTCCGTGGCCCGGGCTTGTAGTTGACCCTGGCACGGATTTCAGACAGATTGGCATTCCCAATCCACCTTTGTTTGGCTACCATATCCCTCACCTGCCAGCCTATTCTTCTTTACTGCTACGTCTTTCCTTTCTCTCTCTGAGTATTTCTACTCCACCCGCTGCCACCCGCGATCAGATTCCTAGAAGGCGTTGCCCCACCAATTGCCGAGCACATCCGCACAGCCATAACACTCACACCCATCGGCACATAGCATCCGGCATTCTCTTCAAGACCTCATCACATTCGGCAGCCAGTGTGTTGCGACAAGCATAGGAACCTCACATACAAGAATGGTCGCTCAACGGCTCGAATCGCTTCTTCGAGCTCTAGCCGTAGCGTAGAGGCGCTACCTGCTTGCAGGGGCCCATATCGCCCATCTCCTCCCAGCGTCAGGTCAGCCTCGCCCAAGTACTTCCCTGCTTTGCAATGGTCGGCACTGCTACATCTCGGCCCAACAGGGGCTTCGTGGGAGGATGGTTGTCCATGGCTCCCGAGAGTGAGAACGCAGCCTCGCCAACAGCTTCCTCTTCCAGGCTAGACCTCGTCGCCTCTCCACCCACAGCTTCAAGCACCCATGCTTCAATATCTTCACCTCGCCGCGGAGGTGGCTCATCTTCAAGCACTCATCCAAGGAGAGCTACCTTTCAGCTGGGAGCGGTCGACGATACATCGACTATTCCCACACCTGTCACTCCTGCCTCGAGGAGCTCCTCGGCATCGATGATGTCTCCGGTCTTCGATGTCCGAGCAAGCTTCCTCCCAATGACGTTTAACAAGAAGCCGACCACCAACATCCAGAGCGAGAATACAGTGGACCTTCCTTCGAAACCATCGAATGCCCTTCCTACTTCCGATGGCGGCCACAAGCTAGAGTCCGAGGACTTCAAGGGCTCAATGCTACATAATATCGAAGACGACGGCAAAGGTCTGGAATTCGCTGGGCGGCGGTGGAAGGGCAAGACTGCCCATGCCGTCGAGCAAGAGCTAGAACAGGTGGGAGATACGACGATTATGAGCTACGCTCCAGATGCAGTCTATCTCGCTAGCAGACTAGAGGGGCTCAGGAGAAATCTTGAGGCCGGCGGTGAGGAGGCGAGGGGGAGACGGTGGCTTCCGACTCAGGAAGAGGACGATCTCGCTGAGCTCGCAGCGTCAGAGGTCGATGAAGCGCCCGTGCCGCTTGCTGTCGAAGAGGCTGATTGCCAGAGATCTCCGAAGATCTCCCCGCCTGCTAAGCTTTCTCCGCCTCGGCTTCTGCTATCGGACGACACTAGCGCACCGACTCTCGAGGCGCCATCTGCAAAGCCTACGGTCCGCGAAGACCGCCTGCCAGCCACACTTCCACCTCATATCACGGACCTCATCCAGCCGCCGCCTCTCATTGTACATGACGCTCCGGCAGACCTTACACCGGCAGCCAAAGCCGCTGCTCTAGACTCTCGAGTAGAGATCCGCCTACTTAGGAGATCAGATCTGGAACAAGTCAGAGAGCTGCATTGTCTGCATGGAGACAACGACAAAGTCGACACTGAGCATTACGCGACCTCGGCCGCATTTTTGCTGCGACTCTTGGTCGATGAGACCCACGTCTGCCTCGTTGCAGTGGCCAAGCCGCTGCCAGCACCGGATGAGCCTTTCGACCGGAAGCACCACTTCCAACAGAAACATCTGTGGCCCGCCCCTCCTCCACCCAGTATGGACATGCCAGCTAGCTCAGTCGCCTATGTGTTGGCGGGACAGGGTCTCAGCTCCAATTCGCCGCTCCTCCGCCCCATCGATGCTTTGGCTGCCAAGCGTAACCAAACACGGTCTCCTCGCGCCCCGGCAAGCAGCTTAGGTCGGCACTCTCCTATACTCGGCGCCACCGTAGAGGAGCGCGAGGGAAGCGACAGTGACGCAGACTCCACCAGGGCGGAATTGGACGAGGATGACGAAGACGAGGATAGCTTCTCGGTTGAGAGACTGAGCTCACCTGAAGCCTCTAATGGGCAGTCTCCAGATTCTTCACTGCCAGAGCCTTCTCCGGCAAAGGCAGCGGGTGCAAGCTACAGAGTGCCATTGTTGCCTCCTCTGACTCCAATCGCTGGTAACAGCCCACCTGCGGGAGACAATGCGCAAGGCGAGCCTCAATCTTTGAGTGGCAGCTATTCGTCTTCGAACTCTCTTGGAAGTATGGCGCTCAAGAGAGCATACGAGACAGCGCCAGCTGCGACGACAAAGGCACGGCGGGCGCGAAGCTCGGTCGGAGAGGACGTCTCGCCGCCAGCCAGCACGGAGACTTCACCTTCTCAGTCTCACCTGGCTCCAGGACACAACCTAGTGCTGACAGGTCCTACGAATGAAGTCGCCCCGCCTCGTGCTCTTCGAGTCATGGTTCCCCCCGCTCCGGGTGCTTCAGTCGAGAATGAAGTCATTCTCGGTGTCGCCTCAGCCGCCATCTCGATCAAGCCAGCGACAGAGTCTCTTTGGGGGAATGCGGACGCCTCTTCCTCTCGAGCGGTGAAAGAGGTACACGTTTTGACCCTCTCTGTAGCCCGAGCTGAGCGGGGCTTGGGTCTGGGAGGAAGACTGCTGGATCGACTGATGGACGAGGCCCTGAGGCGCAACATCTCCTCGGCCTATCGCGCATCCATGGGTAGGCGTATCGCTCCTGGCTCACCCAACCCATCGCGAATCTACCTGGAGGTGCATCCAGACAGCAAGCATGCTCTGGCGCTGTATAAGGGTAGAGGATTTGATGCCAAGCGCCGCCTACCTGGCTACTTTAGAGGAGACGCAAGGATACCTACAAATGTGCGGAGCTTGCCGGGAGGAAGCGATGCGGTGCTCATGGAGAAGTGGGATAATGGCGAGCCGGCTTGAGAGCTGGGGAAAGCTTGCTGTCTGCCGATTCGTGTGCAATGTACTCCATGTTCCGTTTGTTTCTCAATTTTCTCAGCCATGCTTTGAACATGAACAATTACTAGATATCACAGTTGCAATACCACTCTGTCTGCTGTCCAAGAAACTTCAGGAAGGGCAAAAAACTATGAACAGCACTACCAACTGTACAAAATTTTAGCAAAACTTCAGCATCCAGGATTCCCGCGTGGTCCCCCACCGCAGTACTGACTGGACGGTACCTTGCTTAACTTCGCAGATCGGACGGGATGCGGTGCTTTCAAGGTCCTATGGCCGAAGATGAAAGTGATAATATATGAGCGGAATATAAGTGTGCAAACTTGATTACGACCGTAGCGATCCCTGGTGATCATTGATTTGCACACACACCCTCGCCTCCCCAACCCACGTTTCCGTCATCAGAATGCCAGATTCAAAGGTAGACCAAGATATCGCGCCTGCCGTCATTCGGGTGTCCCTCCTGGCAGACTGCTAGGGTGTCTCAGGTTTTCTGGGGGAGGCATAGGCGGAATTGGGCCGGCGGAGTCTGAATCTGGACCGGTTGCCCGGCTGTCCGCGCTCCGCCTTTCACGACCCTTCGTCGCCGAGGCAGACGTCCCTACGACTTCTTCCTTTCCGGAGCTCCTACCTTCCCAACCACACACCAACACATTCCCCCTCCCTCTACTCCAGCATACTCATCCGCCCTACGCCAATGCTTCGCCTTCCTTCGACGTCTGTATCAGCACTGAGGTCTGCTGCCCGTACCAACTCCACTCTTGCCCTCTCTGCTTCGGCCTCTCGCGCCCTCTCCACTTCCATCGCTTCCAAGGCCGCCTCGCCCGTAGCAGCCAAGAGCGCCTCCCGTCAGGCCAAGAACAGCCCCCGCTCCGCTCTCTTCTCTACCTCCGCTCCCAAGATGGCTGGCGGTGTCGGTCTCGGTGAGGACAATGTCCGCCCCCCTCCGGACGAGGTTGTGCAGAAGATTGCCGACTACGTCCACGACTTTGACAGCATCTCGCAGGAGGCCTACGACACTGCCAGGCTCGATCTGCTCGACACACTAGGCTGTGGTATGGAAGCTCTGAAGTTCCCTCAGGCTCGATCTGTCCTCGGTCCCGTCGTCCCCGGTACTGAGGTCCCCAATGGAACCAAGGTCAGTTGTGTAGCTGCATCGTGTACGCTGCTGCGAGGAGAGTCTGAGCGCTGACAGCATGCCCTGACCCTCACTGTTGCCCACCAGGTTCCCGGTACTCCTTATGTTCTCGACCCCATTCGAGGTGCCTTCAACATCGGTGCCATGGTCCGTTGGTTGGACTTCAACGACACCTGGCTCGCTGCCGAGTGGGGCCACCCCTCTGACAACCTGGGCTCCATCCTGGCTGTCGCTGACTGGCTGTCTCGAACCAACGTCGCCAATGGCAAGGCGCCCCTGAAGGTGCAGGACGTCCTGACTGCCATGATCAAGGCACACGAGATTCAAGGAGTCATTGCTCTCGAGAACTCGTTCAACCGAGTCGGTCTCGACCACGTCCTGCTCGTCAAGCTCGCTTCTACTGCTGTTGTTTCCAAGATGCTGGGCAACAGCCGAGACCAGACCATCGATGCCATCACCCACGCCCTGGTGGACGGACAGTCGCTGCGAACGTACCGCCACGCTCCCAATGCTGGCTCTCGTAAGTCTTGGGCTGCAGGAGACGCTTGCTCCCGAGCTGTGAACCTTGCACTCCTTGTTAAGAAGGGGGAGCCCGGATACCCTTCTATCCTGACTGCCAAGACTTGGGGCTTCTACGATGTCCTGTTCAAGGGCAAGCCTTTTGAGTTCACTCGCGAGTACGCATCCTACGTCATGGAGAACGTCCTGTTCAAGCTTGTTCCCGCCGAGTTCCACGCTCAGACTGCCGTCGAGTCTGCTGTCGTTCTGCACAAGCAGATGAAGGAGGCTGGCAAGACCGTTGATGACATCAAGCGTATCAACATCAAGTCCACTGAGGCCACCATCCGCATCATTTCCAAGCAGGGCAAGCTCGCCAACTACGCCGACAGGGACCACTGCATCCAGTACATGGTTGCTGTGCCCCTGATCGAGGGTGGTCTGGAGCCCCAGCACTACAACGACGACTATGCCGCGTCCACTCCCATGATCGACACCCTGAGGAGCAAGACCTACGTCGAGGAGAACAAGGAGTACTCCCGAGGCTACCTGGACCCCGAGCAGAGGTCCATCGGTAACGACGTCGAGATCGAGTTCAACGACGGCTCCAAGATCCAGCACGCCATGGAGTACCCTGTAGGCCACGCCAGGAGGAGGGACGAGGCCAAGCCTCTCATCGCTGCCAAGCTGAAGAAGCACCTTGACGGACATGGCTACTCCAGTTCAGACCAGGACGCCATCCTGAAGCTCATCGATGACCACAAGACTCTCGTCGACCTCCCCGTCAACGAGTTCGTCGAGCTCTGGAAGCCCTCGACCCTCGTCTAAGCTATTTCGCCAGGAACAAACAACAGCTAGACGCGACACGGATCACGCAATGTGCTTTTCCCACAATTCACAATGTTCTAGAAAATCAGCTGTGGTATTGATGTAGCAAAACAAAGCATGTGTTGGGTATCGAGATTTGCTATTTGACAGTGGGATTGTGAGCCTGAAAGTTCGTTGCACCGTAGACTGCGTGACAATTTAGAACTGTGAGGGTCAATCATTGCTTTGCAGATGTTACAGCCTCTTGACTCCTCGCTTTGCAGCGGTGACTTTCTTCGTCGGTGGGGCTGTCTTGCTGGGGACAGAGCTCGCTGATGATGATGCTGCTCCTGCCGTCGCACCCGTCTTTTCCACCTTATCCTCCATGGCCGCATTAAGTACTTTACTTGCATTGTCTGAAAGCGAGCGCTGCAGCGGTGGAGCAATGGCTTGTGTAGCTACTGGCAGGGCAGCAGGCTCAAACATTCCAACCGGGCAAGAAGCCGCATGTACCGAAGTCCACAGTCTCGCCGTGGCTGCATACTCTTCGTAATTCTCCTGCAACAATCTCCCCGCCTCTGCATTCAGAGCACTATCGGGATTGGGAGAAATCAGGAGACACTTGATGACAGTGAGGACGTGTCCGATGCCGTATTCCGGGGACCAGTCTTTCTTGAGGGTCGAGACGCAAATTTCGCCTGTGCTGATGGAGACATTTGGGTGGAAGATGCGGGTCGACATGAGACAGCGCGGAGGAACAGAGGGAAATTCTGATGGGAAGGAGAAGGTGATGAGGAAATAGCCAGAGGCAAAGGGGGTGCCGGCTGTTGTGCATAGATGGAGATCGGGGGACTTGATCAGGATGGCTTCAGCATACGAATATGGGCATCGCCGTCAGTCACTTACGAGGACCCTGTACCCATCCACGAATATCTGTCACGTCACAATCATCTACCTGGACTCGCACACAGTCGGGTGGATTGGCTTGAAGGGACCGCACCTCTTTGATCAGGCGCTTCATTGTGCTTGAAGGGGGTGCCTAGGGTGCCAAGTAAACGGAAATGTTAGATAAAGGACGTCATGAAGGCGCCAACTTTGCGGATACATACCATGATGATACCGTGGGCTTCGAACGTCGAAGTACCTGACGACCAATGATAGTGTTGTTTGTAGCGAGACGTTAGAGCTTCGGAAGGAGCAGGCGGAATGCGTAGAAGCTAAACGCATCGTCAATTTCAAGCTCAGACCAACACACGCGCCTAATGCCATCGGAACGGAAGAGGATACTTCTTGAGCTGCTCCAGTTCCTGTTCCTGTTCCTGGAGCTGAGCTTGAATGCAGAGGAGAGGCAGGATGGCAATCAATGAGTCTGAGCTCTCTCATCTTCTTCTTCTCTACCAACATCACACACCATCACCATCATCAAAAATTCCCAATAATTGCGACAGCAGTCAGGGCTGCTGCCGTCGGCTACTGCTCTGCAATGAGCACGTCGACGGGAAACACTCCTTCGCAAGCTGAGCCTGGAGCTGAGGCTGCTGAAGGGTCTTCCAGGAGACCTGCTGCTGCACAAGCCTCACCAACAGCATCTTCACCTCCTGGACCCTCCACACAAGATCGGGCACATCGACCTGGCACAGACCGATATCTGCGTGACAGGCTGGAACAGTATAAATCCGAATCAACGCCTGCGCATGGATCCACCTTGGCTTTCCGCGCATACACGTTTGCCTCTCAATCGCAAGCCGTCAAGGCACTCGATGACTTCCTCGACAAATTTCCTCCGTCCACAACGCCCTCTGATTCTACTAGCAAGCACATTTGGATATGCGCAGCCGATCGGCAGGGCTTCGGTCCGCGAGATGTCGAGGAGGACAGAATGAAATTGGCCATCGCAAGAGCTGGCAAGGAAATGTCTGATCTGAAGTTTGCCTTTGATGGAATCGACTCAGATGACAGGATCCCCCTGAGAGCAAGCATCTCCCGGGGCAGGAGCAAAGCGCAGAGAAAGTCAGCGCTGGCAAGGAGGCTCGAGGAAGATGTTCTGCCTGGACTGGCGATGGAAGGGGGGCTCCTCACGGGCAAATGGTGAGTGCACAATGGCAGCGCGAGTGCAAACGGCGCATATATTGAGCTGCTAATTCCTTCATTCGCCTATCTCTGCTGTACCGCCCTTCCAGGCTGTGGTTCAGAGCCCCCAGTGTGCGTATTGTCAGCCCTACAGACCAGTATACCGATCAGATGACTCACCCATGTCACTCTTGTCTCCCTCGTACGTTCCGTCTCGCAGCACGTGGACTACCTCACACGGTCTCTCGCCAGAAGCATCGTTTATGGCCCACTTTCAAAGCTTAAGAGAGCTCGAGTGCACACTCTCAAGGTGTCATGCTCTGATCAGACACGAGACGGTGAGCATCTAGTTGCTCTCTACTACGACGATGTATGGGACCGCACTGCAAGTCGCGAGATAGTCGAATGCGTCATCGAGCAACATGGCTTATCGAGAAGCGCTGCCAAGGCAGATCTGTGGAGTGTGTTGGGACTGCACAGCAAGGTGAGTAGAGAGTCGTGACGGAGAAGTTCCTGTTTCTTGCCTCACTTTGTCGTACTGACTTCTGACCCGGACTCCCGTCCTTCCTTCCGCTCTCGCATTCAACAGCACTGGTCTACCATCGCGCCCTCCATTTACACGTTTGACAGCCTGGTACCGCGGGATGTACAGGACGATCTCTTGTATGTCTATGACCGGCAAAATCCGGCCAGACCGTCTGTTGACCTGAATGGGTCAGGCAATGCTATGGAACGACACCGTGACCATTCCGGAGAGCACGACAGGGAGTCTGCACCCTCCGGCAGTCGTAGTCCAACAGTCGCTGTCAATGCTCATCCGGCACCATCACCGCGAGGCTCAAAGCGTCCGGGCTCCCCAGACAGGCCGCTTTCGCCGCCCAGCAAGTCAAGGCAGATCTCAATGACTTCGCGCTCTCAATCACCATTGCAACCGAGGTCTCCTGCCGAGGGAGCGGACGACAATCCGCAGACGACTGCCAATCATACAGGTGGAACGGCAGTATCGCAGCAGGCTCCTGACAGTGGAAGCGAAAGTCATACTGAGTCAGAGGAGGTGAGTCAATATTTTGAGTGCGTGACAGGTTGCTGGCTCGTCGACACTAACAGCGCTGCTGTGCCCCCTTTTCAACTTCAGGGTGAAGTTTGGAGTGGCCCTAGAGCTCTCTCTGGGCACGAAACAGCGTCTAGTGCGAGCGAAGAGGTCTTCTTTTCACCGGTGGCCTCGGCTGAGCCTGACTCCCCTCCGCTTCCTTTGCCCCCTCCCACGGATCAACGACCGCCCCATGACCAAAGACAACCGCCTTTGAGCCCGACTCTGGGGAGACCATCGAGGCAGAGGGAGGCGCTACGACCGAGAAAGATCGACTTTGAAAATTGGAATTGGGCGAAGCTTGCCAGACTCACTCTCTCTAGTAGAGATATAGGCGGTTGGCAGATTCTCGACTGCCCGCAAGTCTCACAAGAGTTTTTACCACCAGACGTCAACTTTGCCAGGGCAGTGATTCGACGGGAAGAAGAGCGCCAAAGAAGAAGTACAAGCAGCGTCAATCCCACCGCGACTGGTGCGCCATCTGCTTCAGAAGGCGCACATGAGGAACTTCGCATCAACGCGGGCCCAAACTCTACTGGCTCAACTTTTACAGCAGACCAGAGGCCGGACGACGAGCTCTGGCCGGTATCAAGACTTCCCTGTTCTCCCATCAACCGCCCACTACCAGATGTCTACAACGAAGTCTGGGACGGCTTACATCTCGAAGAGAAGCACTACGGACGTATTGTTCAGAGGCAGCTCAATCCGTACTTCGCCGATTATTCTTCAGAGGCGGAGACAGAAGTCGAGGGAGCTTCTCAGATTACAGGCGATCCGCTTGACCTCGTACGTGAGAGACGAGCTCGGCAAAGGCGACAAAGTAGGGATGAATCATTTCCTGCAGTGGAACCACCTCGTCGTCCTCGCGGGCGACCCCGCAAAATTCGGCCGGAGGGTACCGAGGATCTCAGTACTAGCGACGCCAGTCGAGCGCCGCCTGGCCCGCCCCGGAAACGCGGTCGCCCACGCAAGATCCGCCCAGAGCAGTTCGAAGACCCGCCCGTCGGTGACCAAACACATTCACCATCACATGTGTCGACCAGTCCCGGTTTCCTGGCGATGGGCGAAGATGGATCTGACGAGGAATGGAGTGCCCCTGGTACAAGCGGAGTGACCTCCTCGAGCCATGTATCAGCCACTAATAGCCGAGGATCATCCATCGACAGGCTGGCAAGTGTTTCCGCACCATCCGTATCCAGACCAGATTCGCCTCGAAAAGTTTTGGAAGATGTTGTCGATCAGCCCCGCGTCTCGCAAAATCAAGGGGTCCAGCCAGTCGTCTCAGGATCCTCGACAATGTTCAGTCGTCGACAAGGCGACCCACTTGCCCAGGGATCTGGTGTGCGAGCGCCGGAAGATGCACCCATCGCGAACGATTCTGCAGCGCTGGATAACTCTGAGTCGCATCATCTGAGTGAAAGAGCAAGGGGAAAGCAACGCGCACGAAGCAGAGAGTTGTCCGACAAATCAACCGCTCTCAATGGACCCCCAAAGCTCGAAAATTCCGACGAGCCAAAAGTGAGCGCAAAAGCACTGGGAAAGCGACGGGCACGAGACAAAGAAGTGTCTTCTGAAGAGGGAAATGTGGAGCCTCTAGAATGGGACATGAGCGCAATGAGTGGCGGCTGGGCCGTGGGAACCAGCAGTCGTCGTGCTTCGGGTCCTCGGCCTTCGCCGCCGCCGAAGAAGCCGCGCAGCGAACGGAGCAGAAGGCGTCTCATCGATAGCTCCACTGAGGAAGAGGAGGAAGTCGATGAAGTGTGGGAGGAGGAGAAGCGTTTAGAGCAGAAGCGCTTGGCCCGTCGAGAGCGCAGACTGCGCGAGCGTGACCAAGGAAAGAAAGAGAGGCAGAAGGCGCAGCAGCGGGGTAAAGCTCAGAGACCGACAGCCAAAAGGATACAAGACTCAGGTTCTTCTCCGGCGTCGTCCGACAGTCTGGACGCTGCGCCAATCAATTGGGACTTGAGCAATCTCCAAGGCCAGAAGCTCACCACTGCGTCCTCGTCGTCCAGCGTCGAAGCTTCGGAGGAAGAGCAGTCCCAGCCTCCCTCCGGCCCGTCAAAGCCAAGCAAGAAAGCCCTCGGCAAGCGCCCTGCAACATCAACTTCTCAGCCCTCTCGCTCCTTTGCTGTCCAGCACTCGCCACCTGCTCGCAAGGCTTCACCCTCACCCCCGCCCCCTGCGTCTGCACCACTTTGGCAGCCAACACCCCTATTCCTCCGCGATCTCTCGCCCTCGGCCGAATCGACCAGTAGCTCGGCGGGATATCAGGTGCTGCAGGTCGCTGTGCAGAGCTCGCCTGGCGGTAGTCAGACGAACAATAGAATGACGGTCAGCAACGGTAGATCAGCAGGGGAAGGAGGAGGAGGGAGAAGGGACGGGAGATCCATGGCGGACGCGATCCTTCTGTCCGATGATGATGACGATTGATGGGTGTGATGAGCGGCAGCGAAATGTCTCTTTCACATCTGTGTCTCTCGAGCTCCAAGCCTTGCCTCAGAGCCTTTCGTCCCTGCCCACTTCCATCTGTTGTCTTCTCTCACACATCATCAATCGATTCAACATGATACCCTCACTCTTTCCGCCTCTGACAGTCTTTGTGCATCGCACCAGAGTCAGACAAGACAAATTGGCAAGCGTGAAGACGACGTCGACGTCGAGGTACGAGGTATAAATTTTTGAGCATTTGTACTGCTCGAGCATTGAGCAAATTGCATCAGCACATTGCGCTGCGCTCTGGTATTGGGGGCGTTAGAGCGTAAGGAGGGTGACGAGGGGGGGAAATGATGAAGGCACTTGACATGACATGATATGTCGAGAGATGACAAGGGGGTGGTAATGAGAGGGTATTGCAGGGGGAACAGATTGAGAGGAAGAGGGTATCAGGAGGACCATCGTGGAGGAGGAGAAAGGAGAAATTAGGATGCGAGAAAGGGGCAGAGTGGGTGATTAGAGGTGCAAAGTCATATGCTTGATGAGTGCTTTTGTGCTTTCGAGGTGGAAAGGATGTCGACGAGCCGGCCCATCGGGGGGAATGAGAATATCTAAAGAGGAGAAGCATTGCGCCATCGAGGTTCGGCGGCATTGGCTCGTGGTTAATCGCTCCACATAGCCGGCCACTGTACGGGCAAGCGCGGCACTGCCGCAAGCTTATTCTGGTCCGCAATGGAAGCAAAGAACTCGTCGTGCTCAGCGAGGACCGCCTCCCATTCTCTCAGCCCCTGGGTAGCATAGACGTGCAGTCTCTCCGCATATGCCGTATCCTCCTTCGCCTTTTGCTGCTGCTGCAGGAGGTACTGTTGTGGCACAGAGGACGAAGCAGTGGCGAAGTCGTCGGAGCCTGTCGAATCGTCTGGGTCGTGCAGCGTACCGTCGGCACTCTCCATTAGGTCGCAGGCGGGACCAGGGAGAATGGAGGTGCGACGCGAAAAGGAGCGCGACATGCGATTGGACGAGGTCTGCCGCCGAGTGGGCGTGACGCCATTGCCAGCGCTGCTGCTGTGGGCGTTGGCAGCATCCACTGCAGCCTGGGGTGGATTTTGCAGCGTGGGATTTTGCAGATCGAAGATCGTGTCGCTTCCGCTCTGGTCCGAGCCCAGCATAGCAGCTTCTGCTGCACTGGCCCCCGTGGCAGGCGAGGACACTGTAACTCCATCCACCGAAGCGCGACGGCCGCTCGTACTGCTCTTGCTCTCTGCCATGGCTGCAGCCGTTGCCGCTGCTCTTGGCGAAGCGAAGTCGAACTCGTACTCGCTCTGCGCACCTCGCGACCCGAGCGGCGCCCTGCGGATGACACCATTGGCATCATCGTCAAAATTGCTTGAGTCATCATTGTAGCCTCCCTCGTCGTCATCGTCGTCATCGTCGTCGTCATCATCATCGAGATCGAGGTGCGAAAAAGCGTCAGGCTTTAGGCGAGGTTGGTTCGAGATGGTAGGATTGTCCACACCTGCGAAAGGGGAAGAGCCACCAATGCCTCCTTTACTATCAGAACTGTGACCTTTGCTTCCTTTGCTGAGGGATCTGAACCACTGCGCGGCCCTTGACTTGGACTTTCCGCCGTTGGGGCTTTTGCCCCCTGCAAGGACGTTGTCTGGAAGGCCTATGCCGAGGACCCGCTCCGCCTTTGTCATGCCATTGGCCGGAGATTCAACCTGGTGGACTGACGGCGTCTTCCGAATCGTACTGACAAAGGAAGCGGGGCGACGACTGAGACGACTATACGTCGATGACGTATCACCATCTTTTCTGTCGTCATCGACCTCCTCTTCCTCTTCATCGCTGGTGAGTCCCTCACTAGAGTCCGGCAAGAGCTCATTGTGTCTCTTCCTGATCTCGTCTAGCCTCTGATTGAAGGTGACTGCCACCTCGACTGCGATCTTACCCTTGGGATCGCCGAGTGGCACTTCGAAGTCACTGATTCTGGCCAGCCTGAATACTAGCAGGTGCAGAAAGTAGGCTCGGATGGTGAAGGACCAGGAGAGGAAGAGCTTGTGGAAGACTTTGCGATCTAGGAGAATCTCTTGACAGAAGCGCCGACGATGCTCCGCTGTGCTGATGAGCAGCGCAAAGTTCGAGTAGGAGAAGGCGATCGTCCGCATGAGCGCGAGAGCATGGTCTGCATTTTGTAGCAAGAGGGAGAGAGTGGTAATGATAAAATCGATGTCGATGTTTCCCTCCACTGGCAGCTCAGCGCCCTCCATATGATTCAGGACGCCATCGAGCCAATCCAGCAGACAGAAGACGCCTTGCACGTCGTATAAAGACGTTCGCTTGACGAGACATTTGATGTGCACATCGAGCATTGGGAGGAAGACGTCATTGTTGCGAGAAGGAGCCCGCACAATATCCACAATGATGGCTGTGCATCTTCGATTGGCAGCTTCGAGGTGACGAGGCTTTCCGGCAGTACTGCCCGAGAGGACATTGGCCGTCTCCCCAGGATTGAAGTTCTTTTGCGATGAGAGCGTAGTCACTGAGAGGATGTCTCGATTCACCAGGGACAGACACTTGAGGTGAATGCAAGTGGCCAAGTGCGCATATCCTGGCGCACCAAAAAAAAGCTTGCCGACCCTCCGCAGCCGTTTGCTCGAGGCGAACAGACTCGCCATTTGACGATGAAAACTGCGACAGAAGCTGAAGAACAGCTCTGAATCATCTGACTGCCATCTTCGGAGCCAATTGCCTGTCATTTCCACCTCGACTCCAGCCTGTCGGATCAGAAAACGCTCTTCGTCTGAATCTTCTGCGCGCGAGTTGTTGGACTGTGTCTCTAGGACCTTCAGGTACGTCCTGGGATCCAAGAAGCAGTACTCTCTCAGAGATTCGGGGTACAATTGGCGGTACTCCTCGAACCTCTTGGGCACTACCTTCTCCCACCCAGCTTCACCAGCTACTCTCTCCAAAGCAAATCGGTTGATGGGTAGCGCTCGCAGAAGCTTGCCTGCCACACCTCTGACCCGGAAGAAGGCGACTGCAAGCAGTCGACCCGAGAAGATGAGCGTGTTCTGATACACTCCCTTCTTGTTCAGCTCGCCAATAGCGTAGAGGAGAATGTGACCAAAAGTACCGTTGAATCTGCCCTCGTCCACTATATCAGCTGCAAGGGCATGAATGGAGAGGTTCCGACACTCGATGATACAAGCGACGCTCTCCAAGATAGCTCCTCGGTCTGCAGAGGTCTGTACATGCTGCAGTTCCAAAAGCAAGTTGGCTATCCAGTCGAAGAACAGGGCACGTCTGGCTTTGGGCGAGCGGTAGGGGCCTTCAGCGACAGCCATATTCGGAGTCTCTGCTTCGAGAGCAAGGAAAGGCAGTAGGACGTTACGGATGAGAGCGCCTTTGTCAAGTGAGCCATCGGACGGGCTACGAAATTGGATCAAGGCAGTCTCGACCTCTGTCCATGCGCTTGCTGGCAGCATGGTCCCCTTCTCTACAGCGTCGGCTCCATTCTGCTCCATTTCGTGGCGATTGTTCCTCAACGATTCCTGCCGCACCGGTAGAGCGATTGAGAACGGGCCGACGGGGGTTGCCGTTGAGAGATTCATGGCACTTCCTGTCTCTGTGGGGGATGCAACTGTGCTCCAGTCTCTGGGCACGTCTCCAGGGTCACTGCTTCTTTGAGAGCTCCGTGCGTTTGTCACTGCGACCCCGCCGACGGTAGCTCCCTTGCGCGTGGTCTTGAGAGCGCTAGCAGGGACATAAGTGCGACGCTCGACAGCATCTGCAGAGTCTCGATGCGAAGAGGTTTTGGGCGCCTCGCCGGTGAATGCGATCTGTCCTGCAGCATTTTGTCCCCTGCCATCTCGCGGTAACTCGCTGGGAATGTAAGCGCTTCCAGAAGTGTTGGCAATCGGACGAGAATGACTCGACATACTTGCTGTTGCCTGATCGAGAGCCCCAGCAGACTCTACACCTTGGGGTGTTGCGAGTGAGCGCGGCAGCGCCGAAGACGGCAAGGGCCTTGGAGGCTGTCCACTGATCGTGGCCGGAGGAGACGGGATACCAGAGTCGAAAAGAGTTGTGCGAAGCTCGCCATTGTCATCGAAGACGTCGCGGCTGGCGGATGACGACTTTCTTGGCAGAACATGAGGAGCAGAAGGACCGGACGTCTGGCCTTGGTCACTGGCTCGAGGTGTGTCCGACGAACGATGGTTTCGAGCATCAGTGAGTGCAGTCCGGCTCGCTTCGTCAGCTGACCGAAGGTCTTCTGCGGGATATCGTGAGCCTGATTGCGACACTGGGGTTGCTGCAGGATGAGTCGTCATTGGTGATCGAGACCCGGGAGTGGGGGGCAGCGACTTATCGTGTGCCGTGTCGGCTACCCGCAATATGTGATTTCCTGAAAGTGCGGGGGCAGGTCGAGCGCCACTAGTATGCGCATCAGACTCAGCGCTCACGTCGAAGCTGAGATACTGGGGTATCATTGACTGCAAATCTGTCATGTCTCCAAGCTGCAACTTGAGCTCAGGTGGATCGTCCGATGTGGAGCCGCCTGTCACTGATGTGGATACAACAGCATCCGTGGAGCTACCACTACGAGAGGGCGACGACATATACGGAGGTTCGCAGCTAGCCGGCTTGCTACTTTGCTGCTCGCTGCTATCGTTGCTACCAGTTGACTCGAGTCCTAGGGCTTTCGGCACCGTACCAGACGACATGGTCGACGAGACGATCGTTGTGGGCCCTTGAGTGACACCAGCATTGCCAATACGTTGATCGGCCCGATCTACAACCACATCATCCCGCTGACCAGGAGACGTGATGCTGGCTTCGGTCTTGGATCTCTCGTTGATCTGTCGCGGAGTAGGGCTGAGAGGAGATCCCGGCTGGCTACCTCCTTCTCCGGGCCCAAGTCCTTTTGGTGTGCCCGGCGAGCCTGCTTTCCCAGTGTTGACACCAAGAGGCGACAACATCTTACCCAGACGATCTCTGAGACCAGCACTCTTATCTCTCTTCACAGATGCGCTCGAGGAAAGCGAGGCTTGATCGGAGGATCTTCCGCTGGCGTTTGAGGATGTCCTCTGGTGTGCCAAGCTGTCGATCGTCGAAGTATGACTGACGGTACCGGTATTGACAACCACATCCGAGGGCGCGCTGTTATGTGCGTATCTTTGGCTGGAAGGCTGTGGATTAGTAGCCTCCGCATATACTCGAGGCTGTGAGGGGCTTGCGTGGGGAGCATTGGCGTGCTCCTGCTGATAATGGTGTGATTGTGGTGATGCATATGAACCGATGTTCGCCGCACTAGCACGGCTGTGCATAGGCGAAGTCTGAGAATGCGGCTGCATCGCGGGCATTGCACCAGGCAGAGAGACGCTGCTGGTACCATCCGCGTCTCTGCGGGCAAGGGATGCTGATGGAGACATGGGCGAGGAGTACGAGCTATTGCGACTGATGGATCTAGGCGGCCGGAGAGGGGTATTTGAACTAAGCTGCGAAGGAGTCGTGTTGGAAGCGTTGGCATATTGAGAGATAGAGTTCTTTCCTTCGTTGGAATTAGAAGGCGTCAGACTTTGGGATCTTGCCGAGCTGGGCGGTGTGTAACCTGAGGCCACAGAAGTCCGTGACGAAGAGACAGATGTGGACGTACTCCCTAGTGGGCTGCTGAGATCGGAGGCAGTAGACACAGAATGCACCCTGCGCTGATTTGGCCGGAGTATGCTGAGCTTTTGACGAGCTCCCGTCGAGCCAATGGGGACCAGGAAGTCTCGAGAGGACGAAGCGCTGGTCCGTCCTGCATAGAAGCCCGCCGGAGAGACATGCGACGAGCCTGCGATGCCGCCTGTGTGGGCAGGCTGCCTGCTCGATGAGGCTTGGGATGTAGAGCGGTGGCCCCTCGGTCTGCTCTCCGCTGAGGAAGAAGGTGAGACAGGTGACCAGCCGGCTCCGCGAGACTGGCTGTGGTCCGAGTACTGCTCAGAGGCGAGGGAGGCAGCCGGAAGGCCGAACGGCACGGTGGTGAGACCTTTGTTGCCTAATGCTCCTTCTGGACTACCGAAAGACGCAGGCAGAGACGGTGATGATGCACTCGAGAAGGCGACTGGTCGTCTGCTGTCATTCCTGCTGGCCGTTGTGCCCCCCTGCCTACTGGTAGACGCGGATACGGTGGAAGTCTGTTGAGGACGACCAAAGTAGGCATATGGGTGTTGCGGGCCAGGGTCCGAGCCTGGACCGCTCATGCTCGAGCGCAAGCACGGAGCAGAGTGAAGTACAAATCCCTGCGTCCCTTGTCAGAAGATCAATGGCGCGTAATTGGGATGAGGGGTCGGGATGTCTCTGCGAGGAGAAAAGGAGGGATGGTTACAGTAAGGAGAGCCGCGATAAGGACTCGGCACGTTTCGCAGGGCTATTGCGACAACACCACAAGGGGCCCGATTGGAAGTGCGATCAGCAGCAAGCGTCGGCAAGGTCTGCGGTGGGGGCTGGGCCCGAATCGGCTCGATTTCAGACGTGAGAGGGGAAGGATTTCGCGGGGAAGGGTGGTAGCGAGCAAGCAGCGCTTTCGTAGTCGGGAATCTGAGCAGCGTACTGCTTCTGAAGACGAAGGGACCCTCTTTGCCGGATGTGGGTCGAGGAGGGAGGATACGAGGAAAGGGGGAGGAGAAGGAGGCCACCCAGGTCAGCGCAAAAGGTCCAAGTTGCAGCCAGCGCTTGGCAGAAGGGAAGCGGGGGGTCCAAGGCTGAGGGGCGTCGGTGCCTGAATACGCGACGGACAAGGTTGCCCTGCAGCAGCACAAGGCCCTTTCACACTCCGCTTCCGTCGGCCGAAGTCCGGTCATTTTTCCGGGTCATCTTCGTCCGCATGGCGACCAGCTCCACCTCGGCCAGACTCAGCTACTCGACCCACCATCCACCCTTTCCTGACGACGACGACGTTGACGACAACCACAGCTAGAGACTAAGCTAGTCTCACAAACATCGTCTTGGGGAGACGAGAGCAGAGCAGCTTCCATCATGACCGCGGCTGCCCTGGTTCTCCTGCCACTGATACGCCTCGGCCTCTTCTTTGGCTGCCGCCTCACTCTGCTGCCATGGCTCTTCGGAGAGGCAAAGCATGCCGCCCTCGACAGTCCTTCTGCCGCAGGAGATATGCCTCTCACGGCTCTCCCAACGCCGGTGACAACAACGTCACAGAGCTCTGCAAAGAGCAGATATGCCACAACCTCAGCAGCTCCGGCCTTACTCTCACTCTCCCCTTCAGCGTTTGCAGCCCTTCTGCTCTCACTCAGCTTCGAGGAGGGCGCCATCCTATTCATCCTCGTCTTGCTCCAAGCAATGAGCTTTGAAGTATCGGCTCTAGTCACGAATTGGAGATGGAGCCTCTTTGGCGTCGTAGCTCTGGCAGTATGCTTCATCCGTGAGTAGCCCCAGAGTAGAGGCAGAGGCACCGGCGTTAAGGCCTCTACAGCCTCTCATCCATGCCTGAAGCCCTCCTCCCTCGCTTCGCAACACAGCCCTAGGCCTCAGTATACTCCTCACCTACACATTGCTACCACATAGTGGGGCCTCGGCGCTTCCGCGGAGACTAGCAATCTCTCTGCTCCCCTTTTGCCTGTGGCTCCTGCTATTCCTCAAGGTACCTCTGCCTGTTGCCTCGGTATCATCCTCGTCATCGTTCCTAGACTCAACGCTTGCACGCACAGCAGTCGTCGGCGTGACCCTGATAGCACTATTGTCAGGGTCGGGCGCAATGGGCGCTGCCATGGACTCGTACGAGGCTCTCACCATCTCCGGGGGAGGGTACAGGCGGAGAGAGCCCAGTGCACAAGACGTCAGAAGTGCAGAAGGGTCTTTCAACAAGGCGTGTGAAGATCTCGCAAAGACCAAGAGAGATATTGATAGGTTACAAGCAGCGCCAGATGCACAGCCAGAGGGAGGCTTTCTAGCAGGGCTTGGGAGGACTTTTAGGGGAAGCCCGAAAGATCGAGGTGAGTTGAGCCAGAAACCGGAAAAAGCATCAGATTAGACAGAAGTCTGATGCCAAGCACGATCATTTTCGCCCTGCCAGAACTCAAGGCTCTCAACCTCGAGCTGTCATCACTGTCCATGCTGGCCTCATCGATGCGAGACGAGCTAGATCGGCTGAAAGCCAGACGTCGGGAGGCCGATTATCGCACAACGATCTCGGGACGGATATGGCTTCTCATCGGTCACGGCTTCGCTGCCTATTGTGTCATGCGTCTGGTCATGGTGAGTCTCCATGCTACGCGCTACCAGTACCATCAGTTGACGGGCTCTTGAATCTCCCTCGATATCGAATAGACTATCTTCTCCCTCCTCATTCTCAGCTACTCCTCGTCTTCCTCGTCTTCATCGTCACCCGACATTGTGTCCAGGCTACTAGCAGAGCTCCTCCGCCTCTTCCGCGTCGACATCGACGTTGCCGCCTGGTCGAAGCAGATCAGTCTTCTCCTCGTGGGGGTCCTCATCGTCGCCAGACTGAGAGCTGTATTGAACTATCTAGCACAGGTAAGATCACTCTACCGTCACCTCGTGAATTTCTTCAACATGGATTCTGACACCATATCCCCCTCCAATGGACTTTATCACAATCTACTCACCACCACCAGTTCTTCCGAGCAGCCGCAGCAGGCATTTCCACCTCCTTCCTCATCATGTTCTTGTCAGAAATCATGTCCATCTATCTTCTCGCCACTCTCATCCAACTCAGGACTTCACTTCCGCCCAATTTTGGAACTGGAGTAGGAGATGGGGCTGTAGGGGCAGGGGCAGGGACGGGTGCGGGTGCGGGTGCGGTTGATGTTGGTAAGGGCGAATCGTCATTAGGAGTGGGCAGCGGGTCGGGCGAAGCTTCTCAATTGCTCCTCAGCAGTCTGCCAGACTTCAATCCAGCATTTGGCGCCCTATTTGGTGAGTACTCCCAGCCTCTTCATGCCGCGCCACGCCACGCCACGCCACGCCGCGCCGCGCCGTGTGGGCTCGATCTATCCACCTCTCAAGGCTATTGCATCTGACTACACTTTGTCCTTTGACCCCTCCACAGATACCACTTTTCTTTTGTCTGCTCTGATCACACTGTTTGGAAGATGGTTTATGGGCACGCAAGAGAGCGTACTCTTTGGCGCTGGCGCCCTGGGAGGAGGAGGAGGAGGAGGTGGGGGAAGTATCCATTGAAGAGTGCTGGAATTCAAACCTTACCCACGCAAATGAATAAAGAGCAAATGCACACGATGAATTGGGTTGTACAGAGCGAGGGTGAAAAAGTGAAGAGCGAGAAGTGATGTCGTCGTACAGTGATACGACCGCGAACCTTCGCAACCTCCGCTATCATCATCTCCTTTCCCTCCTCATCTTCTTGCGGGATCTACGGGCGCAGGAACAGCGCAGTCCGTCCCCCCAACATCGGAGCCTATTCCACCATAGAAGGTGTAGTCTACAATGACTCCAAATATGAAGAGGTGCATTCCCTATATTTGCACGTGCGGAGGAAGAAAAAAAAAAGGAATGTCGCAAGATCAAGGATTGGTCAGCGTCAGGTCCGTTGAGCCGACAAGGGGAATCTGAAGGCCAGCTGGGAAAAAGACACTCACGACGGCGTAGAGCATGAAGAAGATGCGCATTCGACGATCTGCGAGGATCAACCGCGTGAGCATGTGCAAGAGACGCTCCAGTGGATTCAGAGAGGACATTGCTCTTGTTTGTTCCTGATCGTTGCAAATTCAGTAGTGACGAAGTGATTGGTCAGCTACTCTTCTGAACAGCGAGTACTTCTCGTCCTATGCTTACTCACCCTCCCTCTGAATGCCTCGAAGGGGTTCATACTCTCTTCGTACTTGCTCCTCCATCGATCCTCCCCACCACTACCGCTCGCAATATTCATAGGGACTTTCGTGTGCCGCCGCTCTCCCGTCGCACTGCTAGATGCGCCACCATTACCACTGCCCGCAACAGGCGGGTACGCCTCCCTCGCAGCAGCAATTGCTGCTCTCCCACTCCCACCTGCAGCTCCTGTGGCTCCTCCACTCCAACTCTGTAGATATCTCACTTTCTCATACAAGCCCAGATTATCCGCCTGAAGGCTCTTGACTTCATTGCGCAGCGAGGTGATCGACTCAAAGTGTCGACGGAGCTCCTCTTCGAGCTCGGCGTTGCGCGAGCGGAATCGGTCTCGTTGGGAGAGGATGATGGGGAGGAGAGAGACGTCGGGCTGCTGTTGCTGTATTGACGTGTTGGAGGCATTGCTGTTGGGTGTTGGAGAGACAGGAATTGGCGAGGTGGCGGAAGCGCTTGCTTTTGTGCTGCTGGATGACGCTGGAACACCTGTCGTTTTGGTCGCTGCGTCTGCGGCGGAGGCTTGACCAGGCTTGCGTGATAATGTGAGAGAAGCCGCCTATATGACCGGGGGACAGGAAGCGTGAGTCGTGGGCTCTGGGCTCCTAGTGTTTATCCTTGCGGAAACTCACCTCTATTCTGCCCATCTCATCCAAGGCTTCTTCGGCACTCATTGCTGCCGAACCTTTGGTACCATTACGACCTCCTCCTCCTCCCGACCCAACCTCCAACAAGTCCTCCTCGAGCCTCTCATTGAGCCTCTTCAGTCTGCCGACTTCGGACCTGAGATCACCGAGCTCCTTGCCCGATCCTTGCGACTTCTCTGTCAGCTCAGAGTGCTCGACTCGTAGCGTGGTGAGCTCATCCTGGAGCCTCTTGTTCTTCTCTAGCAAGAGTGCTTCGAGGGGCTTAGCATTGGTGTTGGCAACGGCAGCTTCATCCGAGTCATCATCGTCCAGCTCGCCACCGAATTCGACGATCCTGATGATGGAGAGCTCTCGCTTGACTTCCTCGTAGTCAGCCTGCCTCTCAAGCTTACCCCTCACCTCTTTCAGCTCCCTCTCCTTCTCGCTCAGAGCCTTCTCCAGCGCTGCTATCCTCTTCTGCAGAGATTCGCGCTCGCTTGCAGTCTTGTCTTGCTCGACCTTGAGCATTTCCGAGATCCTGGTCTTGTCTTGCTCGAGCTCGGCAATGGTCGTTTCGAGCTGAGCGGCCTTGCCGGCCTCTGCACTGCCGCTCTTAACCCGTTCAACCTCCTCTCGCAATTGTTCATTTCTTCTACCCAGTGAGGCGACCCGCTCGTTGGCCCTTTGTAGATCTCCACTGATCATCTCGTACTCGTGAGACCTCCCAACATCAGCATCGTCCCGATGTGTTTCGCTGGAGGACGATGTCCCAGCAGTGGAAGACAGCAGCAACCTCTCCGTATCTCTCTGATGGCTACTCCGAAGCTGCCTGAGCGACTCTTGCGCAACACTCAAGCTTCGCTCCATCTCCTCGGCGCGGACTGTAGCATTGCTCAGACGCTCATCGAAACGAGCAGTGACCTCTTGCTCGGTCGCCTCTTGAGCTTCTTGAAGACGAGAAGCAAAGGACGACTCGATATCGGCTAATCTCGAGGAGAGCTGGTCTCGGTCTGTCTGTAGAGCAGACTGCGAGGAGACTTTGGTCTTCAAAGTTGCATTCTCTGAAGTGAGTGAGGCGACTGTGGCCTTGAGAGAGTCTAGCTCAGAGAGAGAAGCAGTCGTGTCCTACATGAGGCGTAGAGAGCGGGCGATACAGGGTCAGAGCCTACGAAGAAGGCTTGAAGCGCTCGGCCACTTTACTCACCAGCACCTTCTCCAGTACCACTACAGGATCCACTACATCCCTCAGTCTCTCTTCAACTCTCCTCAGACCACCTTCAGCATCCTTTGCCCTCTTGGTAAGCTCATCAATCTCGACCTGATAACTCTTCAACAGCGGCTTGAATCCTTCCACCTTCTTCTCCTCTGGCAACTTCTTGAACTCGCGCGTCTGATCTGCTAGCTTTTTGCGAGATGCGAGGGAGGACGTCTGGAGTGAGGTGAGGGGCTCAACGAGGGATGAGAGATGGGATTGAAGAGTGCCAAGGGAAAGGGTACGGTACGAGGAGAGGATGGAGGAGAAGTCTCCGCCTGAGGAGGACGAAGGCGAGGTCATGCTGGCCATCCTTGAGGGAGGTGAGACTTCCTGCTGCTGCTATGATGGGTCAGCTGCACGAGGTCGGCCGCTACCTCGCAGCGAGAAGAACGACAATGGAAAGAATGTACAGCACCTCGAGTAAGGGAATGTCAGAGGGATGCAGGCTGGCAGGGCTGTACTGTCTGGCCGACGGAAGTGTTACTTTCCCCGAGCGAGGCGGGCGCGCCGAAATGCTGCAGCAACTTGGCGGAACTGCCTCGACTCCACTGCCCACCGGCATCGCACAGCTCACAGTGAGATTCGGTCAGTATATGCGCTCACTGTTCAGTCTTTGCTTTGTTGAGGTCTTGGTATCAATTTCACATGATATGGACATGAAGGTCTGGCATCGCGCAGCATGTGCATGTTTCTAATCTCAAATTCCGGATGCTTCCATTACTCGTTCGCCAGTGTCATTCCAGCATCTCTCAATTCCACCTGTCGAATTGTCCACTTCTTTCACTGCTTCTTCTCCACCTTACCCCACGTACCTTCCCAAGCCTTCTTACCGTCACCCCTGACATTCAAGAGCAGCGTCTTGACGCCAGTGATCAGCGGGTTGAACGAGTCGACGCACTTCTGGTACTCCTTGTAGAGAGGGTACTTGCTCGTGGACATCTTCTCAGTGAAGTCCGTCGAGGCGTAGAAGAGGATCGACATGGCCACGGGCGAGAGAATGGCATATGTAGCCACCAGGGGGTGGTACGCCTTGAGTAGGTCGACTAGTGAACTAGAAGCAGGGGCGGAGATGGAGTGGTAGAATGTGATGGGCACGAAGAGGAAGAGGAGCCACCAGACCATCTGCTCGCAGGCGAAATTGGGATGTCTAGCCAGACTCCAGAGGCCCTTTGTGATGAAGCCCCGCTTCTTGTCGTCCTCATTGAAGACGTCGGTGTCCTTTCTGAAGAGATCGAACATGACGAAATCGTCCCTGCCCTTCCTCTCCCTCGGAAGACCAAACATGGGGTTGACCATGTCCCTCTTGAAGTTCTGGTAGCACTGCTGCTGATGGTCGGACATGAACTCTAGCAGCAGATTGAAGACGAATACAGATGCCAAGATATAGTCGGCCGTGGTCAGCTGTAGGCTGGGCTTGGGGCTGAGTTGGTTGAGCGCAGAGAAGGTAGTGGTGAGGAGGAGGTATTGAGGGAGGGCGGTCATGGCCAAGAGGATGTTCTGTGCAATGGCGATGAAAAAGAGGGAAAAGACTTCCCAGAGAGGCCTGCTCATGCCCTTCCTGAGCTCAGGCCACCGGTAGTCCTCCTCGCTCAGCTTGAAGAAGCCTCTCCTCCAAGCATTGTAAGAGAGGCGGGATGACCAAAGGAGCTGAAGACCGAGCATGAGCGCTAGCCTGGGCTGGAGATGAGCAGAAGTGTCGGGACTGGAAAAAACTTTGCGACCGTAGAAAGTGAGCTTGGCAATAGGACCAGCCGAGTTGAGGAGAGCTTCATTGGCCCAACCAGAGGAAATGAGTTTCGCAGCGACGACGGGCTGTACTGCAAAGTGAGCTCCGTACCAGACTGGTGCAAAGGTCCAGATGCGGTCCACCTGTGAGGCGTTACCGGTGATCTGTTGCATCACATAGCAGGCTGTAGCTGAGATCGTACAGAGGACAATGGCGGTGTGGAGGGGGTCTACGGTGGCATAGTAGGTGAGCCATGACTCAAGGGAGAGGACGGGGTGAGAGGTGAAGAAGGCGTGGAAGGTGGAGGGGAAAGACTGCAAGGTGGGCCAGAGATGCGTGGCAGCCTTGAGGTAAGCTGAAGACGCCATTGTATGAGAATGGTACAGTGGAGCGTATGATAGTTAGGATTGGAACAGGCCAGGGATGGAGTCAAGCCTTGGTCCGCACTTGTACTACACATCTTCCTCTTTGAGCTGTGCCCCCCGGCTGTCAGTGACGTAGATGGAGGGATGTGGCTGATTCATCCTTGGCTCACTTCTTCGTTCCGTTCCTCGCGGTTCTGGGCCCTGCCTCTGCTTCCGCTTCCGCCTCCGTTCCGCTTCGGTGTGCCAGTGAGTGCCAGCCACATAGGCGGGCGCGTCTGACTGGCCCTCCCCGCTGGAGCTTGTGGTGCAGCAGAAGGAGCAGGGCAGCCGGTGACAATCATTCCTTCTGTCTGTGAGATCGGAATCTGCGACGTGGCAATGTTTGACGCGAGATGCCAAGAGGGCGCTGCACGTGACATGCAACGGAGACTCGCGAGAGGCAGGCGAGATGTTGTGTGGTGGGCGGGGCGCAGGCGAGGTGGTACACCACGAGTTGCGCTACGTGGGGGGTTGGGTGGCTGGCAGGATTGGATCTAGATGCCGGCCGAGGAGCTTCTTGCTGTGCTTGGCGCAGTAGGATGCTTGGGTGGTGCTGGGCTGAGGCCAAGGGCAGCAAGGTTCAGTGTTGTGGGGACTTGAGCGAGTGGGACGCGAGGTGCTCGGCGCGTGGGTTGGGAGATGCACGGCTGGGTGCGTGCATGACCGCCTGACTGCCCAGCTGCGTCGGAGTTGGACGTCGGCATGCGAACGGCGCTTCCTCTGCGTGTGTTCCCCCTTTTGTGTGAGCGAGGGTGTGCCTATGCCTGCCCTGATTGAGCCATCGCTGTGCCCCTCTGGTTGATCCCCGGTGCATCGTCTGCCATCCTTCACTCCATCGCTCCCCATCTGCGCTCGGTCTAGTCGGCGTGAGGCAGAGGTGGACATCCCGCCGACAGTTCCTCGCTTCCCTCCGACCCGCCCTCTGCGCACGTCAACATCTCTTTCTCCCATCCCACTTCCAGCATCCTCACATCTTCGCGCCAAGAAAGGTACACCATTTCGACGTCCTTCCTCGGCCCCGCCTTCGCCGACTGCACCCCTGCCCTTACTGGGCCTTCAAGAAGCATCTCAGCACTCAAGCACCCCTGACTCGAGAGGAAAGCGCGCCCGCAGACAGACGCGCCCCTAGTCATCAAGACCGTCGCTACTGCTGTATCTCCCCTGTTCAGGGACAGCCGGTCGAGGTTGCCTCACCTCGAGTCTCATACAGGCTAACAATTGGGAGCATAGAGCAGACGCAGTTTGGAAGGAAAAGGTGAGTAGCAGAACGTGGATGACGATCATGTGACAAACCGTCTAGTCAAGACGAGAGCGCCAGCACAGCCCAGAATCTTACCACGCCATCATCGCTTCCCTGCTCATCTCCCTCTCTTGCCCCTGGCCCCTTTTCCGCCTTCATAGTTTCCTTTTCCTCAACCAGACATTCTCGTACTCCTCTCTCCTTTGCCCTCGACGAGTCTCTGCCTCAACCCATCAGGCACGCCAGCTGGTGCCAGCGCTCTCGCTTCGCTATGGACGCCCACACCCTCAATGCTTGGACACGATTCGCCCTTCAAAAGGGGGGAATTGGATCGTGCACAGCTCTGGTGGACAACCCTGCCACAGATCCTGAAGACCTCATGTTTATGACGGGCGAAAAGATCATCGTTCTTCGTCGGCTCGACAATGACGACTTGGCCGCGTCCGCGGGGTCCAGTGGCAGGCGTAAGAGCACCCCTGATGCTGACAGCTGCTTCTTAGGCTATTGTGAGGGAGTGGTGGGGCGATTCAAGGGGAGCCACGTGCAAATCCATGGGAAGCTCAAGAAGCCCGTCTTGATGAGGAGAAGTGGTCAAGGGCAAATTCGAGACTCTTCAACAAAGCTCCTTTCCCAACAAGCTGCTGCATCCTTGCCTGCTTCCCAGGTTCCAGCTGGCATACCTGTCACAGCCGTTGACTCAGATGGTGAGGAGGGCCCACGCCGCAAATCTGTATCGCCAGCAGGACAAGTCAGCCCTGTCCCGGGCGCTACGAACGGCTCTCAGCCAAGCTATCGCCCTAGCGCAACTCAGACCTCCCGACCTGCCGCCGATGCCAACGATTCAGACTCAGATGATTCGGACACGATGCTACCATGGGCGAGAATGTCGAGCTCGGGATCTAGCGACGGCGAAGGTGTGGGTCGGAATCAGAGGACGACACTACAGACCTCTTTCTTGGCTCCAGGGTCAAACTTTTCCCCTCAGAGGCCATCTCCCACGGACAGCCTGGCCAACAGCTCCTTCAGCCACGCCAGTAGCATGACACAGTCGGCAAACAGTCATCAAGCGAAGTCGCCTTCTCAGTCCACACTCTCCTCCTCGACCAGTGCCTCCGACGACGATCACGCCGCGAGACGTGACCAGACCTTTTCCATCTACGATGTCTACGGCCGAGACTCGGTAGCCTTTCCCAATTTCAATCTGGTCGGCAAGGATCTGGCAGAAGGCATCAATGGCCTTGGCTTGGACCCTTCTATGGCGAATACCCCAGTCATGCCGGGTGGCTTCAAGGCGAGCCCTCGAGACCTTCGACCAGCAGCTGCCAAGAGACCTAATGCTGCGCCTGACCCGCGGGCTCCTCCCCATCAAGGATCTCACGATCCCCGCGTGATGGCGTCCTTCCTTCGTCAACAGGTAGAAGCGTCGGCCACCAATCGATCCAACGAGCTCGCTCCCCCTGGCGCGAGATCGGGTCACACGATATCGGCGCCTACCAGCCCAGCCGTCACGCAAGATTCAAGGATAGGTGGTTCCGGGAGTCCCATTGGTTTTGATCCCAAACGGCGCCCATCCGGAAGAGTCAACGCGCCGCCTCATCTGCCTCAGATCAGAATTCCAGGTGCGGCAACAGGCAATCAGGTGCCCGGTCCTCTATCCCCACACGGCCCACGACCAGCTCCAGGCCAGATGGGACGCCCCATCTCACCAGTGAGCGGGCCTCAAGGACCTCGCCCGGGTCCAGCTTCGGCTGCCGCGGGCCCTTACGTACCTTCCTATCCTGCTTCGGGACCTCCTATGGCAGCGCCGCCAACTCGCGGACCGATGTCTGCTGTTTCTCCAACGGGCGCATACTTCCCTCCGGGTGTACAACCCACGTCGCTGCCTGTACGGTCGACTTCTGATCGCTCTTCGGAGAGGGAAAGATCACTTGGTGGTCCATTGCGGAAGAACACGAGCCCGAATCCCGGCTATGCCCCTATGGGGCCCAGCTCTGGTGACACTGCCCACTCTTTCGGATCATCGTCCAACGGTCTGACTCCTGTGGCCCAGCATGGACCTGGCCGTAGAAGCCCGAATTCGCCGAATGGTAGTATCACTTCGCCCATTGGCAACGGGGAGCGAGGTCCGGGTGGACATGGCCCTGCTCCTAATGGCATGGCAGCGCAGCTTCGGGCTGGCAGTCCTGCACCCTCTACCCACTCTGGACGGAGCGGCGGTCCACGACGGCCAGAGGCCTACGATGCAAAGGGCTTTGTCCTGGGCTCCGGAGTTCCTTGCAGGCCTCTTCCAGAAGACCGAGACACTCTGGAAAAGTGGCAAAGCATCCTGGCCGAAGATGACCTCGCAGCTGCCAGAAAGAGTCGCAAGGTCAAGAAGCTGGTGCAAGCAGGGATCCCTAATTCCATCAGAGGCAAGGTCTGGCTCTTCCTTGCCAACGGTGGCGTGAGACGTCGACAGGGATTGTTCGAACAGCTCTGCAGGACCAGTCAAGAAGCGAAGAAGGGCAGGAAGGGCAAAGAAGCGGCATACGACGCAATCGAGAAGGATGTACCTAATACCTTCCCCGACAACAAGGTCTTTCAGGAGGGGCAGCCTGGAAGAGCCGATCTTGAGGCCATCCTCAAGGCTTATACCCATTACAATCCCATCATCGGATACACACAGGGCATGGATCTCCTCGTGGGAATCTTCCTGCTGCACATGGCGCCAGAAGATGCCTTTTGGCTGCTCTGCGCCCTTCTCAGGGACGTGCACTTGGAAGGCTACTATTCCAAGGAGATGAAGCAGCTGCACATCGATGGTGTCATGTTTGGTCAGTTGCTACATTCTTTGGATGCCTCACTTGCGACGCACCTGCAGTCGATGAATCTGGAGCCAGTTCACTTTACGCCAAAGTGGTTCTTGCCACTGTACTGTCGTGTACTGCCGTGGCCGACGCTGCTGAGGGTCATGGACATGTTCTTCTACGAAGGTGAGCTTATTGATTCAGCATGAATGGTGGACTCAATGACGGCAAAGCAGCTGACATTTCTTTCGGCCCTTTTCCTCCCCCTATCTCAGGCCCTACCTGGATCATGCAAGTGGCTCTAGCCGTCATTCGCATCCTTCGCGAACCTCTGATGCGCCTCAACGCCTCCACTGCCCGCGATCAAGCCCTCGCTCTGCTTCTCCACCCACCTTCGGCAGAGCTTACACCTGAAAACGTCATGACCTGCGCGATCAGTGTCAAGCTCAAGGACGGAGAGATGAGGAAGCTTTCTAGGAATGCTTCGAAGCTTGTACGCGGATCGAAGAACAGCTTGCCTTCCCCCGGTGGGGCTAGCATTGGAGGTGGGAGCGAAGCAGGAAGCAACCTGGCATCGCTGCGCTGATTGATCCTCAGCAATGGTGCACGCAGGCCCGTAACGGCGAGGAGTTGCAGGGCTTGCGATGACGACGAGAGGCGAGGGAGGGAGTTGCGTGCATGCTCGAGATCTAGACTATCATCCTCTGTCCGTTACTCTACCCATTACTACGACTATAGAACGACTACAATTTGCATCACATTCATTTGTCAAGGTGATGGCTGTGGTCTGCCGTTCCGGCACCGCTTGAGTGACTGGCTGACTGGCGTGGTGCCTGCGACCCTTTCCGCATGCGCCTCGCCCGCCTCCACCGCACGCCCGGACGTCTTTACGCTTACGCCTACTCGTACCTCTGACCATCACCATTCATCCTATACCATTCCATCTCAACAAGCTCATCAGAGCTACTCATCCGCTATCATTCTGATCCCTACAGCATGAGAGCGGCACTCCTTACTCCCCTCCTCGCCGCCCTGGCAAGCTACGTTTCCCTCGTCAATTCCGCTCCAGCTCTCACCGCCACCCCTTCCTCCCAGTCCTCTCCCTCCTCTTCCACCTCTTCCTCTTGGTGGCCCTCCTCCCTTTTTAGCAAGGCCAAGCCTCACCCTCTAGTCCTCTGGCATGGATTAGGCGATTCAGCCTTCTCCTCCAATCTCGCCGACCTAAAGGACTCCCTCGAGGAGGCCTTCCCAGGCATCTACGTCCACCTCATTGCCCTCGGCAAGGACGAAGCCAGCGATCGCAATCGAGGCGTCTTTGGTGAAGTTGACAAGGATGTGAAAGAAGTGTGCAAGACATTACAGGAGGTCGAGGAGTTGAAGGATGGGTTTGATGCGGTGGGATTTAGTCAGGGTGGACAATTCTTGAGGGCATTGGTGCAGAGGTGCCCGCAGGTGAAGGTTAGGAACTTGGTGACGTTTGGATCGCAGCATATGGTGAGTAAAGACTGCGGACTGCAAAACTAGCAGGGAGATTGGTGGCAATTTAGCTTCACCTGTACTCACTGTGGCATATCCTATATCATCCCAACCCATTGCAGGGCATCTCCGACTTCCCCGCCTGTCAATCCGGTGACCTCATCTGTCGTCTGACAGAGGTAGCCCTCCGCTCCGGCATCTATACCGATTATGCCCAAACGCACGTCGTAACGGCACAGTATTACCGCAACCCTCTCTCACCTACCGCCTTCGAGCGCTACCTCGAATCAAATCACTTCCTCACGGATATCAACAATGAGATTCCAGGAAGGCAGAAGAAGGTGTACAAGGAGCGACTGCAAGCATTGGATGCATTTGTAATGCTGCAATTCGATCAGGATACCACGGTCGTGCCTAAGCGCTCATCCTGGTTTGAGTCTTATGCAATCGCCAATGAGAGTAGCACAGGGACTACGCCAGAGACGATTCCTCTGCGACAGAGCGACATCTACCTGGAGGATCGTCTCGGGCTCAAGACGCTGGACAAGAGGGGCGCCCTAGTCATGGAAGGTGAGTGTCACAGTCTGTGCCAGGTTCAGACCCTCAAGAGCATAATCTACTGACTTTTTCTCTGCTCCTTGTCTCCCTCCCGTCCCTCTCCCTCTCTAGTCTGCAAAGGTGCCCATATGCAAATCGACTCTGCCTGTCAACAAAAAGTCTTTGGCACCTATATTGGTTCTCCCCGTTCCCTCTTCTCCCGCTCTCTCCCACGTCGACTTCGCCACGCATGGCATAGACTATTCTTCATGCTCAGCGGGATCCAAGGAGTGGCAACGTGGCCTTGGTCGGCCCATCTGCTTGCACTGCTGTATGTTGCTGGGGTGATGAGGCTGGTTTATCTTGCGGGTAGGTGGATGGGAGGAAAGACGAGGGAGCACATGGAGGTGAGGAGAGCTAGGAAGGAGGGGTCGATTCGGTTGCCCTGAGCTAGGGAGCTCTATAGGACGCTTGGATATGTCTTGCCTTGCACCGCACTGCTTTGCACTACACTCCCACACCCCTTGCCCCAATTGTACGAACACCAGTCTTCTTTCTTTGTCTCTCCTCACCATGTTGTGTCAATACGATATCTCCTCATGTACGATGCATGAACTTTTGCATTGCTCTAACTTCACTTCGCTTCACTTTACTTGACTTTGCCTCAGCTTTGCTTTGCTTTGCTTTGCTTGACCTGCAGCTTTTCATTGGTGCTTTCTTTACGTACGAATGACAGAAAAAGACAGGAAATTGTGATGGGTACGGTACGGTACGGTACGCGAAAGGGAGACCATGGGAAGGGAGAAGCGGGTGGGTAGGAAGAAGGGTAGGAAGGGAAGGGAAGGGAATCAAGCAAGCAAGCAAGTCTACAATGCAACGATTGGACGAGGACGATTTGCGAGTAAAAGAAGCGGTGAGCAGCTAGAGGCTAGGGCAAAGAGTGGGAGCATTGAGCGAGCGAGCGAGCGAGCGACAGATTTGCGTGCGTGCGTGGGTGCGTGTGCGTGCGTGTGAAAGAGCGAGGTGATACAAGGTGACATGGGCATAAAGAGAGGGCAAGAGGTGAAAGAAGAGGGGAACCGTGCTGACAGATGGAAGTAAACGGGAAAAGGAGACAAAGATGAACGATCAGGCAGCGAGGGAAGGAGCAGCCGACGCTCGTATGCCAACGTGAGGTAAGAAGCGTGCGGGCCAGGGGAGGCAGACCCCCGCGCCCGCATACTCCCTCCATCTGATATTGGAAGTGCCCGTCGGCTGATGTCCCTCTGCATAGGACCGCGTACTATACACTGTCTTGATATTGTGTTGTATTGCCCTCCGCTTGTTTATATGCGAAGGAGACATCAGACCGAGTAGATGCATTCCGTAGGGAAGACGACTCCGTCCTTTCGCACAAAGAGAATCGGCAGTCGTACACTGGGCACCTGGAATGCCTCACTGGCAGGTGGAGGAGGAGCGCAGAGGATCGTCTCTGAGCTCTGCACCTGCACAAAGGTGGAGCGCCAGTCGCCAAAGTAGACGTGAAGGTCTTCGCTCAAACGCTCTCCCAGCAGTGTAACCAGACGGTCTTGCGAAGGAGGTGCGCCGCCCGTCATGCTGCCAGAAGCGGACATATCACCGGAGACGTCGCTGCTGGGATTCGAAGGCGGGATGAAGCTGTGGAGGATCGGAATAGGCGTGATGGGCACCGATGGGGCAGGAGTGGTGATGAGATGTGCGATGCCCGAGTCGGGAATCTTGGTTGGGGGACGGATGCCTCCAGCGACGCGAGGTGGCACATAGAAGGTGTGGCGGGCGATATCAGTGCCGACAATCGTCCAGATGTCCGAGTCTGCCACCTCGGCAGACCAAGCAGCGCTCGAAGGAATGTCACCCAGAATCGTATCCGAAGCCGAGGAAGGCAGTCCAAGGTCCAGTCCCGCGGCGGATTGCTTAGCCTGCGCCCTTTGCCATTCCAGCACGGAGAGAGATTGACCTCGTCGTCTGCCCTTGGAGAGTGGAGCGGCGGTAGAGCTCGGACCACTCAGAGAGCCGCTGCGAGGCTGCTGCGAGGGCGAAGCTTGCGAGGATGACACTCGTCGAGGTCTCTTTACCTTGCCTCCATCAGACGAGACTTCAGCAAGCTGCTGTTCCTGCTGTAGCTGTTGCTGATGTGACGCTGGCACTATGTAAGGGCTGCCGCTGGCAGCTGACCCACCAGAGAAGGAGTGCCTATTGCTGCTCGAAGAGCCAGGGACGGAACTGGTAGAGTATCGGCCTTGCGCGATGGAAGTGCGCGTAGCGGCGGCGGCATGAGCGGCGGCAAGTGCAGCTGGACTCTGGGGATCCCCCAAGGAGGAGGAGGCACCCATGGCTGGAGAGCTTCCACTTGCGCCTGCACCTTCATTTCCTTCAGCGGTAGGTGACCATAGCCATTTCCGAGCTTCCACCGGTCGCCGCATCCCCACTGACTCGTTGAGACATGCCAAAAAGGCGCCGCTGGCGCCTGGAGGACACGACTGCCCGCCAAGACCATTGAGAGCAGCTACGGGAGCGGGTGCTGTTGACTCGTCGACGACTTCGAGAGCAATCTTGTGTAGCTGAGACACAGGATCTCCGAGTGCCTCGTCCGTGGTAGGCCTCACAGAGGAAGCTGCGACACCTCCAACGACCGTAGTGGCTTTTTCGACCTTGCGAATGACCATGACGGGGCTGACTGCAGCTGTGTTGAGGCACTGTAGTACAATCCTCTGATTGTAATGGACCTGCAGAGGATGCTGACCACTCGATGGGACTTCCAAGGCGTTTGGAGGTGGCGAAGGATAGCCCATGACGGGGGGCTTCATCGCTGGCGCGTTGGGGTCGGCTAGAGCACTCTTCTTTGGATCGACGAGATAGATCACGAACGGATCCCAACTGGTCATCTTTGCGACGAAGCACGACGGTTGATCGCTTTGAGCGCCTGACGGAGGCTTCTGAGGGTTGAGGCTATGGAAAGGCTGACCGTCAGATCCTTTGAACCACGACGGTGCGCCTGACACGCAGAGGTATCGCGTGGAGACCGTTTGCGAACGAAGCCTGTGAAAGAGTGAGACGATGGACCCGTGCGCGATCCCAAGTTCGGCATTACGATTGGTCTGTCTCTTCTTACTGGGCTTACTGATGATTTTGATGGGCTTGCTCGCAAAGGTGCCCAGTAATCTTGCATCGTTGGCGCTCATGCCGGGCACAGACACAGATACCAAGGTCTCACAGGACCTCCTCTTTTCGTCGACATCGGTGATGTACAGCTGCTTGCCGATGCAGCGGCCAGAGACTGCCATCTCCGAGGAAGGATTACCCACATCGATCAGCCTGCCGCTGCTCGTAGCCCATTCAAGCACGCCGTCATGATTGTTTGTCTCGCCACTCATAGCGATATTCACACGCGGAGGCGTTAGCACTGTGGGAGGTCCGCTGAGGCCTTCGTGAGCGCGCATCCCGACCATGCTAGAGTCCTGACAGACGTTCCACCAGCTGCTGCCGATAAGAAGCACCATAGGTGGGGGACAGAGAAATCGTTTCTCAGCTCCATAGGACTTTTGGGCTACTTTGCTAGTCATGATCAGAATAGTCCTCTCGCCCAAGCCGAGACGACTCGAGGTTGTGATGTAGTGTTGAATGGCAGAGTCGATGAACGAGTCGGGAGAGGATCTGCTGGTGTTTGAGCTTGACGCGCCCAGAGAGCCAAGAGACGCATCGTCGTTGTCTTCAAAGTCCATAATGCTCAGTTGCTGATAGGTGCTGGGTCTCACGACAGGACGGTATCGTCGCTGCACAGAGTTGGGAACAGAACCAACTCCAGCGAACGGGTGGTGCTGCTGATATTGCTGGGTCAGAGGCTGGAGGATTGCTTGCGGCAATTCTGACTGCGAGACGTTGCGCTGCTGTAAAGCGAAGCTGCCGGACTGATCTGCAGCAGACAAGCTATCTGATGATTGGTCACCCAGATCCTGGTACTGTACTTCAAGCTTCGGCACTCCTCGAGGTCCAGCAAGGTACTGCATGGTAGCTTGCTCCGGGAATTGTCGTCTGGAGAGATCATAAGTTCCACCGTAATCTTCCTCTTCCTCAATGATTGTAGAACTCAGTCCGTACTGCTGTCCAGGCGCTTGCTGAAGCTGTGATGCTTCCACTCTCGTGGACGGACCGCCTATCTGCGTTTTGGCCAGAGCCAACGACAATCGTGATGGGTCATGGTCTTTGAAGCCACTGCCACCGCTGTGTTCCCGATAGTGACCTCTGGATGTCGGGAAGTCCTGCTGCTGTTCCCAAGAGTCAATGGAGTGTCCAGGGGGTCGAGGGAAGACTGCCGACTGATGAGAGAATGGGGAAGACTGACTCGATCCACCGATGTACGGGCTCGCATGCTGTTGGGATTGTGGGGACATGAAGGCGCCTTGCGGGCCCGAGGCAAGATGGTCGGACCCGCTAGTGGCGAATCGCCCTTGTTCGAGGGACGAGGTGTTCATGCCATCGCTGCTCAGAGAACGTTGGAACGGTGCGGAGTGGTCCTGTTGCCCAACCAGCGGTTTCCTGCCGCCTAAAGGAGCTACACTCAGGGTGCTTGCCCTTGGACGATTGGCAAGCGCAGCATTTGCCCCGAGAGCTGCTGGATGACGATGTGAAGAAGGCCCTTGGTCGCCAGCCGATGTGGCGGGTGCGAAGGCCTGAGCTAAGGTGGACCCGAGGGAGTGTCCGTTCGGGCCCAGTGATGTACTTAGCACAGGTGCGAAGCCCGGCAGTAAGGGTTGACTCGACGACACCTCTCCGTTGGCATGGCCGGCTGCAACATTGTTGATCCCACTAGTGCTGGGATTATGATGCCTTTCACCGGCTTGCGGATAATTCTCCAACATACCATATGGAAGTTGAGAACCCCAGGACACGCGTTCCTCCGCCGAGCTATCAAAGCTCAGAGGGGAATCTTGTCGCAAGTGATGCTGAACGGGCGGAAGGTTACCACGAGCGAAGTGTTGCGGGGAGGGGCTCATTTCGGGGAACATCGCCCGACTATGCGATAATACCGATCCAGGCTGTGTATGGGTAGACTGTCGAACACCGCTGTCCGAGCTGCCGTGGTGTTGGCTGGTCTGAAAGAAGACCGGGAGACGAGGGGTCGTGGACATCTGAGAACGACCCTTCAGGTGGGAGTCTTGACCCAAGTGAGGGTTCCACTGTCCATCGTCACGTTGAGGATAGCGCAGCTGTCCTGCCGCGGTGGAAGAGCCCGCACTTTGGAGGGAAGAGGGCTGCAGACCCTTCCTGGCTTGTTCTGAGCTGACGTTACCGTTGTCCGTGTTTCTCATCCAATTGAGGGCGCCTTCGCCACTATTTTGAAAGGCTTGAGTACCAAAGAATGCACTTCCGACTTCTCCGGACGGGTGTCTCTGCTGCTGCTGATGTTGCTGTTGTTGTTGCTGCTGCTGCTCGGGTTGCCAGAGATTCTCTGCAGAGCTGCTATGAGGCAAGCCGGGCCATTGTGAGGACTCGCTCGACACGCGATGTTGGGCCGAGAGATCTCCGAATCCTCCGCTGGCGCTGGTAGCACTACCAGCAGTTGCCTAATAGTGACAATGAGATACGAGGTCAGCAGGTTGCTAGGCATAGCTCTGGTATGATTCTCGATAGCCTCCGACAATACACATGCACCTAGTCCATTGGCTACTCACCAGTCTGTTGGCGTTTGCAGCAGCGCTAGTGTGCCTGCTTTGATCTTGCCCTTGGCCCGACAAGTCTGGAAGCGCACTTGCTGATCTGCCGTCGTGGCTGCCGCCCTCGAGCTCGTTGTGGGGCTCGTGGCTCCATGATGCCGGAGAGGAGAGCATAGAAGACTGAGACGAAGGATTGTTGATGGGGTCGACGCCAGAGACATGTGGTTGATGGTACTGACCGTATTGCTGTCCGAGTTCAGGACGCGCTTGATGGCCAGAAGGGAGAGGCATGGCCGATGTCAGGGTGGACCAATCTTGATCGGGCAAATCAGCAGCAGGCATGTGGTGTTCCTGTTGCTGATAAGGGCGGTATTGTTGGCCAAATACAGGCGACTGGGAGTACGAAGTTGAGCCCTGCGATTCATCCCATGAACGCTGAAAGGGCTCGCGATGATGGGAATGACCCTCGCTCATCACTGAAAGTTCCTGGTGCATACCTCGCCCGCAACTATGAAGAGCGCCTTGCTCTGCTCGAGAACGCAGCTAGTGCACAGCCGGCTGTCCACTTCACTTCTCTAGGAGCGCTTGAGTCGAGACGCTCGGCGAAGAGAGTCAGGCCTCAGTGGTTCGGAGGCGAGAGATCAAGCAAAGGGCTGCTTGTAGAGGAGGCGTCAGGGCCCGGCATGTAATCTAGAAGGAGTGGACGAGATACCGGCGCTGGAGGGCGTCAAAGGGCTGTACGGATACGTGACCAAATTGCTTGTCCTCGTCCCTGATCGCTGGGCGATCTTGACAGAAGCCGCCGGGTTGCGCTTGCCCTGGCTGCAGGAACGCCAATCGAGGCCAAGGTTGCTCGAGCGCAAAGGTTGCTGCGCTCGTGCGGACCAAGACGACGACAAAGGATCCAAGAGGAGGGCTATAGGAAGCCTCTGAGCCGTTGGGTTGGTTGCGTTCAGCGAGGTTTGCAATTCCCTCGACCCTTGGTGGAGTGGCTTTCGCAGCGAATCGAGCTGCGCACCTGCTGTCGGAACGAAGCTTCTAACGGCAACGAAGCAAGCAGCTAGGGGCAGTAGGCGTAGGACTGGCTCGCCGGATTCAAAGGCAAGGAATGGCCTTTCGTGGGAGAATGTCTTCGTGTGAATGCTTCGCGAACAGGCGTAGAGATCGTACTCCTAGGGCTCAGAACGGGAGAAAAGCGGAGCCAAGGGCCTTTCTCTTTGCTTGCGTGGGATCCGAATCTATCTTCGTCGACAAGTGCAGCGAGGAGGAGCGAAGAAGATCAATGCTACCCAGTGATGTCTCGGCCTTTTTGTGTGGGAGGAGGTGAATGAACAAGGGAGCCAAGAGTGGCAGACGCAGCTGGAGACACCTGCTTTAGGAGAGGGAGTGGGGCAGAATAATACCCGTATCCGCCCATGCGCCGTCCATCGCCCGCCCTGCTCGGTTGCCCATCCGCACGCCCCATCGGCCTCGGTGCTGCCTGCATCATCGCTTCTGCTCTGTCTCGCTGCCTGTCCGCTCCCAGTCTCCCCTCCGTCGATTGTTCCTCCCCTCGGAGCCCACCAATGGCGCAGGGCGCAAGAGCGGACCGCGAAAAAGAACGATTGAGCGCGGGAATCGGCAGCCTTAATGTGGCGATGGCGGGGGAGGCAGAGGACAGGAGCGCTGGTCTAGACCCTGGACACAGCTAAATCCGAGATGCAGCGTGGCAGAGGCAGGCATCGTTTCGTCGCCCTACCTCGTCGCACAGAGCTGCTGCTGCTGCTGCTGCTGCTCCCCCCTCCTCTCCCTGCTGCCGTCCGTGCACTTTCGTTGGACCAGCTCAATGGCAGAGATATAAGCCACTTGGCAGAGCCCATCTCGCCAAGCGAGGGGGCCTTGTCGAGGGCTATTTGAATTGCAGTGGAGTGGGCCATGAAAACAGTGTCGAGGGTCGGACAAAGCGACGTGCGCCTGAGATCGACAGGCTCTCGCTTCGCAATCAGCAGCCAGCACCTCGCTTCGCAGGGGCGATGGAGAGCAGGGCAGGGCGGATTTCTGCGATATGGCATACGCCGGATGACTCGGAGTAGGACTGGGACTGCTCCTATGCCTCCATCTCCGAGTTGAAAGACGACGAGGCTGCATGTCACTCGTCGCCCAGGGTACTTCCCTTTCGGAAAAGTCCTCCTTGTCAATCTCAGAAGACAGTTTTGGGGTCCCTCTGTATGGTCCAAGATGGTGTGCGACCCACCAAGGAACCGTCGCATTACCCCACGATCGGGACAGAGAGAACAAGCGCATTTCGGAAACTCTCACGCCCTGTCTGCAATAACAAACGTCTGAGTCTAGTAATTTCGCGGCGTTATAAGCCTTCTCCTCACGATGTCAGCCACCTTCCTGTCTCGGAAAACACTGTTGGTTGGACGAAACCTCCGGTAGGGGCCGCTATGGGAAAAACCGAGATGGCTGCTGTGTATATGGCATTTGGTTCGTCCTCGTGGAAGCGAGCACTTCGGGTCCGCCAGAGCCGACGGTAGGGCGGGCTAAAACCGGCTTCCCAGCGGCGTTGGAGGAGACTGATGATCTGCCCAACATTTTGGTAGGCTGCCGAGGAGCGAAGCAAGCTTGCGCCTTGGTCTCATGACAGTCAATATTGCCGACGCCTATTGCTCCTCCTTTCGGAGGTGAGGCTGGTGTGAAGCTCGTGTCCGACAGGGTTGAAGCACGCCGTCTGGGACTCAGCCCATCGCCACGAGGCGCGTCTTTCTGCGTGCTGTGGGAAAATCTCGAACCCTGCACGCCGTCAATTCGGGCACAGCTTCAGACGGGCAGGCCCTCTTCCTGTGAAATGGCCGAGCTCCCGATTCAGGCGGATACCCGACCAATAGGAGCGAGTTCTATTCATGTGCCATGAGCATCTTTTCGCCTTTGCAGTGCGCCCCGGTCTCCTCTAACGTCGACCTTCACGTTTGCAGACAAAGGGACAGCATCGTGTCAGCCGAGGTATGCAGGGTGAGTCGAAGGAAGACGAAGGCTAGACCCTGAACACCGACGCCTCTGCTGAGTGACGCGAAGTGGTGAGCCAGGCCAAATCACCTTCGGCAGAGCAAAGTCCCCGCCGATCGGCTAGAGGAGTCACTGAGGCGAGAACCTTTAATTCGAGACAGTCACCCACAACGCGTGGGTCAAGGGTGTACAGCCACAGCGTCGCGACGAGTGCTCAGTGGTGCTCGGGCCAGATTGCCACAGACCTCTAGACTTCTGAGTGGCATCCCAGATACCACGCTCAGTCGCCTCACATCGCGGAGCTCCTTGGTAGGTCTTCCGAGCATGTCCATTGGCAGTACCGCGCAGGCTCGCCGATGACATTTCGGGAATTGCTTCAAGCAGGCTTACGCAACGCCGTCTACGAGATAGCAGCTCGAGGAAGGGACGTGGGTGCTTTGCATCGGTAATCATTGCGAGCGGGAGTAATCTGCAGAAGGACAGCACAGGTACCAATTTTACACTGCCCGAGATTTCGCGAAGGGGTGGTTCAAGCAGGGTTCAGTCATACACAGCCATTGTACAGCTGACGTGGAGAGAGATTGATGGCCGTTGCCTTCTCCCAGACTGCTTGTGTGCACCGCAAACGATTTCGGTGGGTCTGCAGGGAGCTCACGACCTTGCAGATGTAGACCCTGATATGGGCGTCAAAGAGCACGCCTTCGTCCCCGTGGCAGGGGCGGTACAGAGCACACGCCATCAGCGGAGCCAAGTAAACCGATTTCAAAAGTTTGAGCCTATGCATTGTGCCTCAGAAGCCCTTGGCAGCTCTAGGAGATCACTGGGAGGGTGCAGACCTCGTAGGCCACAGAGGTCGATGCGGTTACGTAAGCATCGCTGCACGAGGCACAATATTTCCCGCGCGCACGGTGTTCCTGGCAAGAAAGTTGTCCGGACGCGAGACGAGGAAGAAGTGATCATTTGCCATTCGCCAATTGCACTGCTTCCTCTGCTATAATCCTCTATGTTTAGAGTGCCGGCAACATGGGCCAGACAATCGCTGAGCATACTATCGTCTCTGAGCGAAGCTTCGACGTCGGCTATCACACTTGGTCATCTTCGCTTACGAGATGCAAGGCGGCTAGCGCTTCTTGCAGGCTCTCTTCCGCCTCGTAGCGTCCACGGACAGGCGCATTCCCTAGATAGCCCACGCCGCAACAGCACCAACAGCGAGAGAAGACAACGGGCAAGATCTTCTCGTCAAGCTTCGGGCGAGCGTCAAGACAAGTTCAAGAGCCGTGACGCTCGATCACACTCACCCGCGCCTACCACACAGCCTACTTCTTCCTCGTCCATATATCCTCACTCCAGAGCGTCCTTGCGCCCTCATCCCAATGCTCGCGCCCCTCTGTTTGCCAGCAGGGTCTTCGTCGAAAGTGATCCTCGTGTACGGACGCTAGGTGAACGCTCCGATTCTGAAGACAAGGACCTGATTCTGCTTGAGCAGCATCTGCGGCGCCTCGTCACCCACAAAACGGTAGGCGATGTGGAAAGCGTAGTGGAGGCTTGCAATTTTCTGGCGCAATATTGGGCCAAGAAGCAGATGAAGCCCACCTATCAGCCATACTATGCTCTATTGGAGGCACTGAGCTATCGTGGACTGCTAGATGAATGCTACCAGGTCCTCGATGACATGGAGGCTTCTGGCTTTAAGGTGGATATAGGCTCGCTAAATTGGACACTCAAGGCGGCTGTCGTGGGCTCTCGCGAGGAAGACATGCTCAAAATCTGCCGGAGAATCAATGACTATACAGATAGCAGCAGCGCAACCGGCATCGAGACGGAGTCAGCCAGCTTTGAGACACCAATCGAGGAGAGCGTAGCTATGCCCGCCCCGTATGCGACTCGGAACTTCAGCAGCTTCACCTACACATGCCTGTTTCAGTACTGTTCCGACAATGACAGAGCAGAGCAGGCAATGATATGGTTTTCTGCCCTCGTCAATTCTCGCTCAACCTCGGTGCAGGCCTTCTTAGACCTCCTGCGTCCCTCAGGGGCGCAATATCTTATAGAGACTCTTCTGTCCGTGCAGGAATACAGGCTGGCAGTTGAGCTCGCCGAATGGATCCACATGGATTCGAGTGGGAGACTGATCTCGCCCAAAATCTGGACCGAAATTGCGTCGGCGTGCGCTGTAGGCAACTATGTGAGTCGACCCCGCAAAAGAGTGAGGCACGTCGCCTAAAGATCGAGCTCACCATTCCTGCCTCCCAATGGCTCTCCTTAGTATCCCGGTCTCAAACACGGCTTTCTGCGAGGTGTCAAGGAGGGCGGCGTTGTGGCAGATGAAGGCTTTCTTATTGCGGCGCTCAGAGCCGCTTGCCGCGCTCCGGATTCAGATCTCTGCCACGAGCTTCTGCAAGACTTCCTCGTCTACTCTACGCAGTGGGTAAACATGCGAATCCCCGACACCACCCCACCACCGGTCCTGCAGCATCCTCACCTTCTCCCCTTGGTCGAGGCATTGGCTCGTGAAGGAAAGTTCGTGGAAGCATACCGGCTCATGGGAGCTCTCTTCTACTGGGGCATTCCTCTTGATCCGCATGCTTCTTCCGTCCTTGAGATTGAAGCCAGTCTTACCAAGGCACACCTCATCAAGGCTGTCGCTGCTTGGGAGCAGGTGATTAACGAGGGCAAGAACTCAGTCGAAGGCGAGCCCGAGCCAATTGCTACCTTGGATGGACGAGCCAGCATTCTGCGCAGAGTGACCGATGGAAAGATCCCAGCGCTGGCTGGACGGGTAGAGATCAACACTATGAACTCCCTCATCATTGCAGCAGCTAGACTCGGTGAAGATGAGATTGCCTTGAAAGTCTGGGAAGACCGCAGGCTGGCCAGGATGAGGCCATCGCTCAGTCGGGCCCTCTCGCCTGCCCAAGAGAAGGAGCGCCAGCGCCAACCGCCAGAGGAGGACCGAATTTCTGCTGGAAAGGAAGCGCCCCCTCGAGCGCCTGTAGAGATGATTCTTCCCACCATCGAGACGTTCAACGGTCTCCTCGATGCCTGTCTCCGTTCCAAGATTCCCTCGGTCTCCCTAGCCCACTCCATCTTCAACGAGCTCCGCACAAAACACGATTGGCATCTCAAACCAAACGCCTTGACCTACGAGCACCTCATCAAGATTCTCCTCATCAACCCTTCCTCCTCGCCCAATGCCCGCCTCGATGCCGAAGCTCTCCGCAGGGCATTTGAGCGACTCGAGGAATGCAAGAGTGCGGGATTGACACCTACGAGCAAGACGTACGAGGCGATGATCCGGACTTGTCTTAGGGGAAGTGATGAGAGGGAGGATCCCCGCTGGTGGAGGTTATTAGACGAGATGACTCGCGAGGCAAAGCATGAGTTGCCTGCGGGACTAGAGGGACACATTGCCCACAAGGACCGGTCTAGACGCTTTGCCACGGATGGAAGAGAGGGACTCAAGGTGCCGCCGGCGCTTAGGAGGAGGATCGAGGCAAAGGCAGAGGAAGAGAGGAATGCGAGAAGGGGCAGAGGTGGGAGAGGAGGTGGTGGTGGCGGCGGTGGTGGTGAGAGGTACGAGGAAAGAGGACAACAGTGGGGTAGAGAGCGGAACGATGAAGGGTATGGACGCGGACGAAGGTACTGAGCCGATGGTGGCAGGTTGGAAACGGGCGTCTGATCAGATTTCAGCGCGAAGACGCATTCAGTCTGTTGCCATAGCTTTGGAAGAAGCAGGGATGACTTTGAGAGGAGTATCTGGACTACCACTAATTAGAGTATCATCGTCCTCCTTTACTCTTCCGTGCCTGCTTTCGCCTGACACCAAGACCCATCTTGAAAATCAAGCGCTCCGCTTTCCAAAGTCCTCAGCCCCGCGCTCTCCTTTCCTTGTTCCCTCTACCAAACCTCTCTTAGTTGAATGCCCCCAGCAGCGCTCCAATTCCCGTGACCCAAGCTCCCCTATAGAGTGCCTCCACTCCTTCCTCCTCCACAATCTTGTCCAAACAATCCTTGAGGCCTTCATACCTTTGCACCGCTTGCTCCTCAATCCCTTGCCCTCCGCTCGATGATTGTTGCTGAGAGGTAGAAGAAGGCTCCTCTACAGGACGAAGGGCAATGACTGGCTCGGCGGGCTCGTCGTACCCACCTCCGGAGTGGTGGTGGTGGTACGACGACGAGGAGTTGCGCAGGTGCGGTGGAGGTGGGGCAGGGATGGATTGACCACCGAGGTGCCGCTGAGCACCTCCTCCTGCTGCTGCGCCGCGACCTTGCTCGGAAGACGTTCGTGAGCCTGTTTGCTGCTGGCCTTCTCCTCCATTGCCTTCTATTAGGGGATCCTGCGCGTCTTCTCCACCGTTTGCGCCACGCGACTCAGGTGCGTCCTCATCTTCGTCCTCGATGGCAAAGCTCGGACGACCAGGAGCGTTCTCTGCCTCTGCCGATTCCGGCTGAGAAGGCAGAGGCTTGTCCGTAGCCGGCACCTCATCGGCAAAGGCCCCATCGCTCCTCGGCACTGAGGCCTGATGGCTGTACGAAGCAGGAGCGTTGCTGTTCCCGTTGCCCAGATGAGCGTAGGCTAGATGCAGTGGCTGCTGTTTCTCCGGCCGTTGCGTTGCCAGGCGTACAGAGACTACCTCCAGGGGACTGAGAGCGACTACGCTGAATGCGCACCAGAGGAGGAAGATGACAAGCGCGAGTGGATTCACCTCGACGCTCGAAGGCGAAGAGTAGGTCGTATCGCCGGGAGCGGCGGGAGTGGGCTCTGCTAGACCTCCGAGGTTGGGTACGAGGATATGCCGGACGAGGCGGGTGAGGATGCCTACCCAGCAGATGTGGGCAAATGTAGTAGGGAGAAGACCTGGGATGAGGTAGATGCGCCAGGGTTGAGCTACCTCTGCGGGAGAGAAGAGCTCATTGAGATTTGACCTTATGCTGGCTAGATCAGGTGTCAAGACCCTTGGGTGGACAATGGTGCTGAGGTGGGAAAGAGGGTAGGGAAGTATCAGTACGTGCGCTACATGCTATCGTCTTTTCCATTCTCCGACTCACCGGCATGTCAAGACTTCGAGCGGCAGGGCCACCAGTGCGCCGATGATCATAAAGAAGAGGTTTGTAAAGAATCCGAATTGGCCCGGACCAGTGGGAGCGGCCTTGTAGCTACCTCCCGCGCCGACTGTCGAGTGTCCGTCTACATCAAATAGAATCGATGTGGCAAATGCGAGTACAATGAGCTGCAATGCTACAGGTATCGATCCCTTGTAGACGCCGCTCCAGCCTTCTAGACGCTTGGTTCTGAAGAGCATTGGGAAGATGCCTGACACGACGGGTCCCTGCAGGGGTGCAGTAGGAAGAGAGGTGGTGGACGTTGAGCGAGAAGCGCTTAGCTGACTGTCCCATCACTTACGTCCTACTCACAATCTTTGCACTCTGTCTCCTCTGCGACAAAAAGTAAGCGCTAATCTTCCTAGGCGTCACCCCACTTAAACCCCCTCTACCCTGTCCCGGCTCGAATCCAAATGCCTGTTCCTCTCCCGGTCCCTCCATTGCTCCATCCTCGAGTACATCGTCTAGTGAGACTGCCTTTGGGAGGTAATTGGCTCTGAGACGTACTAGTGATCCTGAAAAGGGTTGAGAGATGAGTACGGCTATGTTTACGGAGATGACGATGATGAAGATGCTGCCTATGAAGGAGAAGAGGCCCATGGTGGGTGGCGAGGGGGAGGGAGAGGTGAGGCAGCGCTTGCAGCTGATACGACTAGCCCGAGAATGTGTGAGACTTGGCGAGAATCTTCTCGACGCCCTTGCGTAGTGGGATGATGGTGGTGGACGTGGTGGAAAGGGGGGAGAGTGAGTCTTATGTGTGTGTTGCGTGTGTGTCTGATGCTCCGCCAGCTGAGTGAAGGAGGGCAGTGCGGTGCTGCCTCGGCGGCGTCGTGTGCGGCGGCCGTGCGTTGTGGAGACGCGGGAGCAACGGGGGCCAAGTGATTTTTACAATTCTACGCTGGCTGCGAAGACTAGACCGTACCTACCTTCCACTCCGGTAGTCTCCCCAGCTCTGTATCCATTGTCCCATCTGCTCATTCTTTCTGCGGCATGGACAAATTCGAAGCATCCATACTAGACGGATCCGCGTTTCGAGGCCCCCGTACTCCCTCTCCCACCCGCACAGCTTCAACCGCCTCCCCCACCCCTTCCCCCTCTCCCTCTTCTTCTCGCCCTTCCTCACCCCAACTCGGCGCCTCAGATTCGCCTTCAACCCACCCAGAGCGCACTACCGGGCCTCAAACAGGTCCCAAGGGTGTACTAGCCGATAAGCAGCACGCCCTCGCGGTAGAGAAGGAACGAAAGCGAGATGCACTGAGGAAGACGAGGGAGAAGATGCACCGGATGGGCTTGCAGGGGGGAACGGCAGAGGAGCAGGAGAGACTGATGAGGAGGGAGAAGAGGTATAGAGAACAAATTGCTGAGATTGAGAGACGGCAAGCGGGAGAGGGACAAGAGGAAGAGGAAGAAGACGACCAAGATGAGGATGAAGATGAGGTGTTGAAGAGGTATCGAGCTCGCAGGCTGGCAGAGCTCAAGGGAGAGAATATGCCAGAGACCGCTAGCAAGAAGCTAGGAGGCTGGAAGGAGAGTAGCAGCGTAGCGCACTTTGGCCATTTGAGAGAGACGGATGAGAGGGGCTACGTGCGAGCTGTAGAGGGTACGGGGGATGGTGACCTCGAGGCAAAGGCAGTGGTGGTGCACATCTACTCAAAGGTGAGCTTTACTCCACAGAACACCCTGGTCGAGGAAGCTTACGCCTTTGACCATGTCCATCCTTTTTCGGCCCTTCTCCAGCTCGTCCAAGCCAGTAACCAATTGACAAAAGCCCTTACATCCCTCGCCCGGCTACATCCCTCTACAAAATTCCTCCAAATACGCGCCCTCTCCATCAACTTTGGTCTACCCCCCTCCGCCTCTGCCTTCCGCTCAAACGACGACTCAGATGAAGACGAAGATCTGCCCGAGTCGGAGCTTCGTCTGCGCCAATTGGAAAAGGAAGAGTCGATGGGGGATGTATTGCCTACGCTCCTCATCTATCAGCAGGGAGAGCTGGTGGGAAATCTGGTCAGGGTAGATTTGGAAGAAGGGTGGGAGGATGGGAGTGAGAGGGCCGTGGAGGCACTGCTGAGGAGACATAATGCAATCTGAAGGAGGACGCTGCCCTTGCTTTGTTTACGACACGACACCATCAGTAGAAGCCGACGACGTCTAGCAATCGATACCCAACATCACATTAAGAAAGACCACATGCAGACTTGGTACAACACGATCTCTACTCGCTTACAACTCTCGGCCACCCGTCGTCGGAAAAGTCAAGATAGTACATGCCCAACCTGGCAATCAGGTTCGCATCCTCTCTGATAGAATAGTGGAAGACCATGACGTCCCTCCCACTCTTCGGGTCCTTGTACACAGACTGTCCACCCGGCGCATACACGTCGCCAAAAGAGGACAGAATTGTCGTTCCGCCTCCCTCGGTCATTTTCACTCCGTTACGGTCGTGGTAAGGACCCGTGACCGTGCGTGAGCGGCCGACAATGACCTTCTATTCCGTCGTGTTGTCTTCTGGTAGCTCGTGCTGATTGAAACCACAGCATTGCCCTTCGGAGAGGAAGAGGTAGTACCAGGGTTTTCGGTGGAAGATGAAGCTACCTTCGATGGCATTAGGAAACGGAAAGCCGTCGGCGATCTTTATCCCAGGTAGAGAGCTTTGGTCGATGGAAGTGAGACTGTTGAGCTTAGCAAGGTAGATCCCGCCGAAGTAGCTACCGTACGACAAATATTCCCCGCCCGGGACCAGGTGTGGATCTAGGGCGTTGGAGATATTGCCATGCTCTGTGCTGAACAGCCCACCCAGATCGTGGAAGGAGCTCTCTTCACCTGACGAGGAGATGGCGAGACCGATGGTTGAGTCCTGTGTGCCGAAGCGGGAGACGCAATAGTAGACGTAAAACTTGCCATCGATGAGGGTGACGTCGGGAGCCCAGGGATTGTAAGAACTACTGATGAGGCTCGCGTTACCTAGGACACTGCCTGCTTGGACATAAGGGCCTGTCAGATTTGGGGAAGACAGGTAGAGAACTGTCGTCGTGAGGGAGTAGATCAGCTTCATGCAGAGCAGTGATATTCAGCTTTCCTTCGTGACTCACGCTCATTGCCCGTAGACATGACAATGTACTGTTGACCTTTGGCATCGTATACCAAAGTAGGATCCTGACGGTCCAATACAGAAGAAGAGAGGCGAATTCTTGTCAGTCTCAGACACCTGAGTATCTACTCCTGCCTGATGCTTTCTCACCCTGACGTGCACCGGCCCGTCGATGATCTTGATTGGCTCTGGATATGCTGACTTGGGCGCTCGTTGCTGATTCTCCAGGCCAGAGAAGGGGCTCTGGACTTGACCAGATATCACTTGCGACAGTAAGAGAAGGATGAGGAATAGAGAATGCATGATGGTCAGAACCGGATTGCGTAGAGTTGACGACGAGGCGATCATCGTTCGAAGACGTTCGACTTAATGTAAGGCTCGAATGACTCCGAATGTGCACTCAGATGAGCCAAAAGGGGCCATTCAGTGGTCAGGGGCGTGAGCCTCGGCACTGCATGCGAAAGTTGAACAGGAGTGCAACGACTTGACGGTCACCAGTGCTGCTTTCGCTGCTCCAGGCGACTGTGATGGGGTCTGACTACATTGCAGACCCTGTCTGTAGGCTTTACTGAAGTCAAGAGTGGAGGAGGCGGGGAGACTGGTAGGCTTGAGGAGGCGCAAGGGGCATGCCGGCACAGGGGCAGCAGAAGCAATATCGTGCCTGATTGGGTGTCGGGCCGCTCCACAGGGGGTCCGAGCAACACTCCATCGCTACTCCTCTCTGCCGCGGGAAAGAGGGGCTTGGGAGCAGGAGAATGACCTCGCTGCATACTGCTCAGACTCATATACCCGACTGCGAACAAAAGCAGGCACTCTATAGCATGGGGCAGACGTGTGAGAGCTAGCAAAGACTGCTTGAAAGTTCGGAGGGTCTGCGGAACAGGCTCGACTTGCATGCAGCATGTAATTGCGGTCACGCAGCAAGGGGCGCTGCACCAGCATCACCTTCAGAGCAAAGCTGGCATAATCAATTGGATGCGTTTCTAATCATCCATCCAGAGCCAGTGTGCCTTCTCTCCCTGACAGACTTCGCTTCAGCACCATTCAATTCTAATCACCCCACAATTGCAACATCCCCACTCCTTCTCGGTCGCCTCATATCCTTCCACCCGCCGCCTACGGCCTCCAGCGTCCCTCTTGATACCTTCGCCATTATCTTCACGTCTTCATCTCTCCCACTCGCCCCCACAATCGAATCTGATTGCGGACCATCTGACCCCGAATCCTGTTCTCTGCGAATCATCCAACAGCCTTCCCCTTGCCCCTCCTGTTAGCGCTGCTTCCTCCTTTTTGACACGTCACATACCTTCTTGCCATCGTCACAGCAGTGCTTGTAGCACTGGCACCTCAACTGTTCGCTTGAGCCACAGCATCTCGAATGTTCAGCATGCAGTCCGATCACATCGCCCAAGAGTCTCACAATCCAAATGCACATCAACCCGGGGCGCAGCAAGACCAGCGAGCTTTGAGCTTAGAGGCGAAGCCTTCACCTGACAGACTCTTCTGTTCTCTCGAAGCGGTAGCTCAGGTAGCGTCTGATTCAGCCTTTGACGGTCGTCAGCCTATGCCACAGGCCGAACGCAGCGAGACTTCTTTGGTCAGCGCTGGCAATGTAGGTACACTCAATCGACAACAAAGACGCAAGGATATGAAGGCAGTGTCGAGGCAAGTTCGACAACTCGAAGCCGAACACCGTGCTAGAAAGGCAGCCATAAAGCGATCAGAAGCCCGACACAAACAAAAATGTATGCCTTTTGAGCGTCGTGACTCCGGTATGAGCAACAGTCCTGCGGTTCGCGGAATGCCTTTACCGCCTGTAGGCCATGAGGACCTTTGTGTGAAGGCGGCATCGGGAGAAGGACTCGCCGAAAGCATTGGCATCTACAAACACCACTACAAGTACGGGGAGCTTCTAGTCCCCCACCCCAGATCTGTCGACCAAAACTACGTGGATCACCTGACATCCGAAATGTTCAGACTGTCACAAGCTCTTGTAGAATTTCGAGTTGGAACACCAGCATATCGTGATATGGACTGTCAGATTGAGATCCGGAGAGTACAGCTCGACATGATCAGCCAGGCGAGACTTCGTCGCACGCACTTCAAGGAGTTGCGCCGAGGACTTGATGCCATACATCGCGACGCCGACATCGACCCAGCTGCACAACTTGATCAGGATGACGCCACTTTTTCGAAAACTTTGAGCATGGAAGACCACCTTCGTGGTGAATCTCTGATGCCTGAAGAGCATCGCGAATTCCAAGGAGCAGCAGAAAAAGAACCTGAGTCCACCCTTCCAGCTACATCAGGAGCAATCACTGCCAAGGCGCAGAAGAACAAGCGCAAGAATGAGCGCAAGAAGGCGGCAGCTCGTCAGGCCAAAGAGAAGCAGCAACAGCAGCAGCCATCCTCCCGATCCACCCCTGAGGACGGAGGTCTCGACAGCAAAAACGCGGGTGCTTCAGGATCCTCCATAGACAGCGGACGACCGAAGCATTCACATCGCTTGCAGCGGAGTACTTCCTTCCATACTGTCAAGATGAGCACAGAGCAAGAGAAGCAGACTGTCCTGAGGCACGCCAAGTCAGCCAGCTTTGCACAGGCCTCGACTCAGCAATTTCCGTTTGAAGCTCTCTGTGCTTCCGAGACAGTGTCCACCGGAGACAAAGAAGGCTCATCTGGTGAGGAGAGGCTGACAGATTACACAAAGATGCTAAATCCGAATGACGGTAGTAGTGGTCAGATCTCTGATCAGCCGCAGCAGCCGACGGCTCCAACAGTTGCAACGGTCAACGTTGCGGATACTCCAGAATGTGCTGAAAAGTCAACGGAAGCATTGCACCGCTGTGCACAGGGCCTGCAGGAAAGTGTCGAAGACGCCCCAGCTTCCTCGGCGAAGCAGGCGAAAACCTGCTCGCCTTGCGCTCGAAAGACAGCAGACGTCATCGATGATCAGGCAGTACCAATCATTGATAGCAAGTATCACGCCCTCGACCGCGCTGACAAGGGAAGACATTCCTCTCCTCCCGGTGAAGCGCAACAAATCTCACGCAGCTCCTCTCCGTCACCATCACCATTTCAAGACGAACGCGGACCTCACGACTCTCCAAAAGATCATGCGCATTATTACGACGAAGATGGTCTGTGGGTACGCAGCATCAACGGCCCCTGTGTATACGTTCGCGACGAAGACGTGGTCTTTGACAGGTCATTCAGCGTGTATGGTAAACACGTGGTCGAACTCGTGCTGCAGAAGTATGAGCAAGCCATTGTGGACCATCACATCGTTGGAGAAATGAAGGGTTATCTGGTCCTAGAAGGGGGCTTCATCGTCGAACTTCTGGATCGCAAGGGTCGCTGCGACATTATTGGCTTCTTCCCCGAAGGAAGTCCGTATCACATTCCCTTGACTCCTCTGTTGGCTGAGGAGGCAAGGCGCAGAGCCATGCACGAGGAACTTCAACTCCGGCAATGGATGGCTAGGGAGTCAGCTGCACTTCAAGACGATAGCGAGACTGACCACGGCTATTCCGCAAGTGAGGGTAGCTTGTCTGACGGAGGAGAAGACGATGCAACGAGATCCGAAGAGTCTCTTCCACACCGTCGCCATCGCCGTTCGGGCACCATCCAGGACACTCTCCGTAAATTGCAGCATGACAGTCAATTCAGCTGGGTAATCGACAGTGAAGACTGTTGCGAGGAATCCGATGGCCAAGCCACCGACGAAGATAGCGATGAAAGCATAGACTGCACCGACGACTGTCTTCAAGAGCGAAAGCAGGGTCATTGGCGCCCTCATAGAGAGCAGGAGGCGGCTTGGCGAACAAAGACATATTGTGGCGCTGGACCACTTTCAGGGGGACACGAAGCGCGATGTAACCTGCAAGGTGCCCAGCGGCCCCCTCCAGCCTACAAACTTCCACGGAAGCTTCAAGAGCTTAAAGCAAGGCTTGCAGCCGGCAAGCTCGCTGAACAGGTCAGTCCAGAGTCGTTGCTGGGCATCAATGCTCGCAATGCTCAAGCCCCGTACGACCCAGCGGAGCGCCCGGGCAGACGGTCGATCGAGCCCAGTCTTGGCGCGCGAAAGCCTCCTCAGGCGACTTCTCGAAACAATTTCAGGATCCCTAGCAGCCGTCCGGCCCCTCCAAAGCCCAGGCTTATCGAGAGCAAGCCTACTTTACGTGACGACGCTCCTCAGCAGAAAAACATTTCCATTGCAGAAGAAGCGCCTTTGCGCAAATATGGTGGTATCGACGCAGCCTCCTTGCCTCGACCCAAGGTCGCTCGTAGCCTTCGATCGAGGCACTTTGGCGTCCGGCTTGGCATTCAAAGGGATCGTCGTCACAATGCAGGATCGCAGAGAGCCCTCACTAGGAGAGAACATCAACCGAAACCTCACAGTCAAGCCGACAATGATGCAGCACATGCACGACAGTCGGTCGACACGGAAGCTGGAACCGTGAACATGCAGGAAGCAACGTTGCGAGCTCTTCAGGAGGCTCTCCGCCGCAGCCTAGGTGTGTTGACTATGAACGACGAAGACCGAGCCCCTCACTCGAGCCATGATGCCACTGAAACACCCGAGCCCAACTCGAGCCGCGTCTACGAAATCGAGACTGAAGAGGATGAGTCTGTTGAGCAAGCAGAGGGCGGTGCGACAAACGGCATCTGAACTGCAAGAGTAGAAGGTGTACACCTTGGAAGGGCACGACTTTGTCACCTTAGTGTCGATTGTTGCCTTTGGTAGTTGCCGACCCTCCAATAAAGTGTCCTCCTCATATCCGATGTTGGGTGTGATTCTTGTGATTGGTAGTGATGGCTCCCTTGCTGTGCTGCTGACCCAAGCAATGCGGCGATTCCACTGCATCTGCACGTTGGATCCCCTTTCCGCTCGCGGAGTGCTCCGTGCCCCGCTCAGCACTTCTTCCTGGACCTTCGCCCTTTCGTCCTCTACGAACTACGACCCGATCCATTGATTGAACCAGCAGCTCCTTGACCCTCTTCAGTCTCCCCTCTCCTGTCTCGGCTCCATCCCTTCGGCCATGAAGCGCGTGGCCATCATCGGAGGCGGCGTATCTGGCCTCTCCGCCCTATGGTCCCTCAACGAGTATTCGGATCATGAAGTCCACTTGTACGAGAGCGGCAAGTACATAGGAGGACACACCAACACTGTCCGGTACAAGCCCACGGAGGCTGCGGGAGAGAAGCAGGGGAAGCATTTGGAGGAGGTTGATGTTGATACGTGAGTACAACTGGACAGCCCAGGAGAAGCAGTGCTGCTTCCGTCTGTAGGTGCTTGTGGGCCTGACAATTCTGCTCCTACTGCTCATGTCCCTCTCAGTGGCTTCATCGTCTTCAACACGGTCACATACCCCAACTTTCTCCGCTTCATCAAACATGTTGGTGTGCAGATCCTCGAGTCAGACATGTCCTTCTCCGTATCTCGCTACGGCAGACCTCGAGCACCACACTCCCTTCCTCCCTTCAGTCAGCTCTTCCCTCAAAGCTTTGCAGCAGGGGAGGAGCGGGTGTCCAGCTCCAAGGCTGTCAATGGCTCAAATTCATCAGCAGTGGCTGAGAGCACCCAGAAGGTCTCCTTGCGGGGCCAAGTAGCCGATGAGCCAGTCAGGGGCGACTTTGAGTGGGCCGGCGGATCGCCCGCGGCTCTCTTCTGTCAGAAGACCAACTACCTCAACCCTTCGCACTGGAGGATGGTATGGGACATCATTCGATTCAACAACCAGAGCTTGGAGACGTTGAGGGCTTTTGAAAAGGGCAAGGGAAAGGGAGAGATGGAAGAGGGAAGTATAGGAGAGTGGTTGGATGAGAGGGGGTATGGTGAGGGTTTCAGGAGGAATTATCTGATCGTGAGTTCTCTATTCGAGGTAGTATGCTTGCCGTGGTATGGTGACTGACATCGTTGGTGGTACACTTCCTACATTCTGTCCCATCACAGCCGATGACAGCCTCAATCTGGTCAACGCCTCCCTCGCTGGCTTTCTCATCGTTCCCAGCCGTCACTCTCCTCCGCTTCATGCACAACCACCATCTCCTGCAGATCCTCAATAGACCACAATGGCTCACTTTGAAGGGCGGCTCAGGCAACTACGTCAAGAGGGTCTTGGCTAAAGTCCCCAATGACAGGCTTCACCATGATGCCCACGAAGGCGGTAGCGGCAAGGTGGTGCAGGTAAAGAGAAGTGGAGACGGCGGGTGGATGGTCAGGACTGCCGACGGAGACGAAGCTCGGTACGATGAAGTCGTCTTTGCTACACATGCAGACACAACGTTAGCTTTGCTGGACGAGGCTCTGGATAGCGGTGACAAACGAAGGGACATCCTGTCGCGATTCGAATTCAGTAAGAACGAGGCGGTCTTGCATGGTGATGAAAGAGTGAGTAAATAATGTAAGCCCGAGTGCGGCCACCACAGAGCTGACCGTATTTCTCTTCGGCCCCTGTCTCTACAGCTAATGCCCGTCCGCCGTGAGGCATGGTCGGCTTGGAATTTCATCGCCGAGGAGGCCCACTCTGCCAGCTCGGCTATTCAAAAGGCAGGCACCGCTTCTACCACTTCTTCTTCTCAGGATTCCGATCGTGTCTCCTTGACCTACTGGATGAACCTGCTGCAGTCTCTCCCTACGGCTTCTCACGGCCACGTTCTGGTCACATTGAATCCACCAATGGGCAATGGTGCCGCCCCACGCGAAGAGCTAGTGGCCGGCCGGTACACGTACAACCACCCCATCTACACACCTCAATCGGTCGCTGCTCAAAAAGCGCTCAAGCCTCTACAGGGACAAGATGGACTCCACTTTGCCGGTGCCTGGCTCAACTATGGTTTCCACGAGGATGGCTTCACAAGTGGTCTGCGTGTAGGCGAGAGATTGGGCGCTAAGCTGCCCTTTGACATTAGGAGCGCCGAGCGCGACCTACCTCCGGGCGATGTCAGCCTTGTCCTTGTCGAGAGCTTCGAAGCTGTACGGACTCGTCTGGCCACCCCGCTGATTCGAGGTTTGCACCCACTCATTGTTCTCGCGACGCTATTCTTGGAGATGATCGCCAATGTGCTGACATACTTCTTGTCAGGATCTGGAGTGCGATGCGAGATTCGCAATGGACTCAGAAGGGTGAGGGTAGACTGGGAGAGGAACGCTGCGGAGGAAGTGCAAAAGGGCGGGAGTGGCGGGGGTCGCTCCATTTGGAAGAGGATTACTGAGGAGTAGTAGCATGGACGAAGGTATTTGGAGGGCAAATAGTACATAGCTTCACATTCATTCGTACTCAGAGACCCTGCCGTAGATATCAAGAACACTTCATCCAATTTGGCTCATTTTGCTTCTTCAGTCCTGGCCCACCTTGATGACTAGCTTCCCCATCGTCTTCCTACTAGTGATATCCTCCTGACTCTTCCTAATCCCCTCGACACTAAAAGGGTATTCTCCATGCACTCTCAAGTTTAGCTTGCCATCTGCAATCAGCTTGAAGAGTTCCGCCGAGTAACCTTCGAATTCCTGCTGCGTGTAGACGTAATTCCCCAGTGTGGGACGGCAGACTTTTACATTTTTTGCGGCTAGCTTGAGTGCAGGGAAGGGCTCGACGGGACCGGAGGCATTGCCGAAGGTGCAAATGGTGCCTTTGCGGGCGATGATCTTGAAATCGTCTGTTCATAAGGAGTCACAGCGTGAGGCGCAAGGCGTCAGCTTTCAGGCACCTTATGCGGCAGGACAAGTCCTTGCAACTCACCTTCCCAGGTGTCCTTGCCAACACCGTCGTAAATTCCTGCACAGCCCTCTCCTCCGGTGAGCTCTAGGACCTTGTCTACGAATCCCTCGCCGTATTGCAGTACGTGCTCTGCGCCATTCTCCTTTGCGATCTTGGCCTTTTCCTCACTGGAGGTGGTGCCGATTACGTGGGCGCCGAGGTAGGAGGCCATCTGAGACCACAGAGCAAGTGCGCAACGGTGTAGTAGGACGATGAGCGAGGCATATATCATGGCTCTCAGCTTCTGCTCAGCTCACCTGACATAGCAGCAGTCCTACTCCACCAGCAGCTGCATGCACCAGCACCCAATCTCCCTTCTTGACCGGATACGCTTCCTTGAGCAACGTCCATGCCGTTAGTCCCTGCAGCAGAGCCGCAGCTCCTTCCTTGTCTCCCAGTCCCTCGGGAAGCTTCACCACCTTTGCCCGTGCTGCCTTGCAGTACTCTGCAAATGCGCCGAGACCATACGAGGCGACTCGATCTCCCACGCTGAGGTCCATGACGTTAGAGCCAAGAGCAGCGACGGTGCCAGAGGCTTCAGTGCCGAGAGTGAAGGGCGTTTCGAGCTTATACACGCCCCCACGGTGGTAGGTGTCGATCATGTTCACTCCTGCGTACCCGACCTTGATGAGCACGTCGGTCGGGCCTACGCTGGGAACCTCCACCGAGTCGACGGCAATGTTCTCCAGACCGCCCTGCTTTGCAATGGAGCAGGCGCGCATCTGCGATGGAAGGGAAGCGGCCATGATACTAGAGGTACTACTGAAAGATCTGATAGGAGCAGAAGGGGCGAGATGAGCAGTGAGATGTCGAAGCCGTCCGAGGATCATGAAGATTGGTGTAAAATCAGTTGTCTGGTCAGGCAGGCAACGAAGGGCGGTATTCGCCGGGAATTGCGCCAATGCCCAGGCTTCGCAGCGTCCGTGCACAAGCCCTTGGGCCGAGAATGCCGAAGAGCCGATGCGCGGCCGAGGATCTTCCCTTCCCAACTTGATCGAATGGTACCACAAGTATCTCTTCAGCATACTGGCTGCCTACGCCCAATCTCATGCGCGACGATGCTCCTGACGACGGTGAACTCTTCGTAGCAAGGGGAAGACAGAAGCAGGTGCTTTGGGCCTGCCGACATTCCTCACGCCATCATGGCTACTCCTGATGAGAAGCTCGCAGATCACAATAGACGTACGACTTCGGACACCGAGCAGAAAGAAGCACCCAGATTCGTCCAGAAACAGCCACTGCCAATCAATGGCAAGAGATGGAAGGCTGGAAAAGAACGAGAGCATTCTCTGAACACGTCTTATTGTCGTCTGATCAACGACGCTTGGGCAATTCAGACCGAGCGGAGCCCCTGTTCCTGAGCCCCTGAAGTGATGCGTCACTCAGTTGCTACCCATACTGGATGAACGGGGAGGGCACAGACCTTCGCAGCGGCATCTCACGCGGTCTGTCCCCTGCAGAGGAGAGTGCGGTCCACCTCCTCGGTGAGGACCCACAAAATTCTACCAGGGTTGAACAACGGTACGGTGGAAATTCTGCGATGTGAGCAAACGAGGTATGGAGACCTAGAACTGCATATAAGGGTCATCGACCGTCTCACTGTGACCTCTCAGCACCCCAGTACAGGACGAAAGCATATCCTCTCATCTCCGTACTTGAACGCAGAATGGTCTCCTCTCCATCTGTTGCCCCGTCCGCCCCGGAGACGTGGGCCACCCCTCTCTCTTCGCCTGACGCTACGCCGGTCAGCAAACCATACGCAGCTGTTTGGCAGCGCATGAATGGGTCTCCGATCAATACGTCGCTCTCGACTTCCGACCAGAGTTCACCTTCTCATGTCCCTCGACCAGCAGAAGAGCCGCCACGCATGTCTATCAGCAGTCCCGTGGCACAGGGCCACCCCTCGACAGCTGCCGCTAGCCAGGGTTTCCTGGACTCTGCTGCTCTCTTCGAGTCTCTACAAGAATTGAAGCTGCCAGAGTCTCCATTTCGCTCACGTTTCCGACGTTTGAGCGGCGCATCACTGTCAGGCAGTCTCTTCAGATGTTCTAGAAGCGATCCAAACTTGGCGAGTCGGTACAAGAAGGCAGGCGACTCACAGGAGACTCTTCGACCGACGATCAATTCAGCACTACCCCTATGCGCCGCTTCACCCCTCGTCTGCGTCTTCGGCGATGACGGTGAGGAGGTGCCGGAGCTAAGCAAGGAGGAGGCAGATAGGGGCACTGCACGCGGATTGAGCCGGACAAAAGCAAAGGGGCTCTCTCGCAGCATCAGCAACCTTTTTCGTCGCTCAGCCCTCGACGGCGAGAAAGTCAAGAGCACTCCGACATCGGCCCCACATGGTGCAGCGCTGGAGGCAAAGCCACTGCTGATCCTTGAGCAGCCAGGGACTGACTCTCCTTCGGTAACCCCATCATGCTTCAGCTGGGAGAGCAAGGAAGAGCCTGCGAGCGACACCGCATCTCCGCGCTCGGCTACGTTGACCTTAAAAAGGCTGGCTACCTTTCTGAGAAAGACTCATGCCCAAGGGGGACAGAGTGTGCTACCTGTCGGTGCCGGCAATGACCAGCACAGCGGTTCGCGCACCCAGATTTCCACACCGCCTATCCCCGCACCATATACCCTCGACAAGTACGCCTTCGACGCCATACTGCTCTGCAATCGGCCTTCGTGCGAAATCGTCGACGCCGCTCCGCTCCCTACGCAAACATCGTCACAGAGCGGCACTAGGCGAAGAATGAACTCCCTGATCAGTAAGGTCTCTATCCCTCGATCGCCTCGCAAGAGCAAAACGAATCTACCTGAGGTGACGGAGCCCTTCTCCCCCTCGTACTCGCTTGCCTCAGGGACGCCGTTGAGTCCATCGAAAGAACTCACTTTGACTCAAGTCACCTCACCAGAGCAGGTCGACAAGCAGGATGATCTGGTACCCCCGAGGCTACTGCGGGACGAGCGTTCCGTATGGTCGGATTCTTCCGTCGGCCACTATCTATCCGCACCCAATATGAAAGACGAATCGCCTTCGGCCACCCAGGACCAAATCCAAGAGATGCAGCCCAGCAGAAGAAGCTCCGGTATTTTGGGTGAGGAAGGTAGCTACACGACAGGAGGGTTCGAGTCGTCTGATATCTCGACAGCATCTTCAGCTCCGCTCGAGTCTCCTGTCGCAGATAGGGCCATCTTTTGCGGACCTGCTCGCGAAGTTTCCGATGCCAGCAGCTACGATGACGACTCCGAGGAAGTAGGCAAACACGCCGCTTCTGTACCTCTACAAGCAACGGAGGGCGAGGAAACCATCATCGAGGTGCTGGACAGCAACAGCTACCTCACCACCGACCAAACGCACTTCGAAGACTGCGCTACGGACCCCTTCGTCGAGGCTGATGACGAGGACCAAGAGCCGGACATTCACTTTACTGCAGATAGTGATGAGATCACGCCTGCCACTCATATCTTCGAAAGCTCGGGATCCTCCACCGCATCCGGAAGGTCTGGTGGTAATCATTTCTATGACGTCTCCTTTGCCTCAACGGCACCATCTTCACGCAGCCACGGCAGTCAACAAGCCCTCTCCTCAGCAGCAGAGTATCAATACCGTGCTCTGCCAAGCGTGCCGATTGCTATAGCTACTGAGGTCGGAATGAAGTCTCCGGTGATGCGACATCATACCTCCCTTCGCGACCTCCGTGGTCAGACCATCGGCCTCCCAGCAGCGGAGCGTATCAACTATCTAGCGCCAAAGTGTCCCTGCTGTGCTGGTACTGGGCGAGAAGGGTCTGATAATGGACGAGCAACGCCATTCTGCATGCACCTTCCCCTGATATTGCCCACCTCTCCTCGTCAAACAGGTCCGTCCTCACCGAGCTGCACAGAAGGTGGCCTACGCAGGCCTCCCACTCCTTCGGGAATCGTAGTGGCAATGCCCACAAGCAAAGCGCCTCTGCGAAAACGCAGGGCAAGCTTCGCTATACGCAGATCAGCTCTGAGCTGCGAAGAAGGCGGTGTGCTCTGCACCTGCCCCGGCAGTTGTAAGGGGACATCGATTGATGCTGGAATGAGCAGGTCAGCGAGCAGCTTTGGCCCCGCGAGGAATGCGGGAAGAGCCCCGAAGCCAGTTTCGATTGCTCGACCTATGACCGCAGGCGCTACTCCCTATGCGATGTTCTAATTCCTCGGCCGCTGACCCGAGCCGGTTGCAGCCCTTTATCAAGCTCACGTTCACCGATCTGTGTGTCCTCCACTAATTGTTCCTCCATCTTACGCCAGTCTCATGCCTTTCTCATAATATATTGCCTATTCGCCGTTTTCTAAGGCGTTGCCCTCATCCGCACGTGCAGCCTTCTTGATCACAACAATCCCACATCTCACCAGACCACCATCCCCACCCTTCGCCCATCTTGCCAGAAGCTTACTGAATAACCTCATCCCGAAGCGCATCCCTCGATCACCATTCTGACTCGCGCCAAAGCGTGCCAGATACGTCGAGAAGCCTGGAAAGACGTTTGAGGTGACATCCTCGATCTCGATGATGGCTGAAGAACCAAAGACGCGACGGAGCAGGCTGTGGTATCCTGGAAAGGGATGGAGCGTTACAGGAGGTGAGGATTTGGAGAGGCAGAATATGAGTGCTTGATTGATGTAGTGCGAGAATCGAGAGCGCAACTGCGGTGGCGGATCCACTCGGAAGTCTGTCTTGAACCATGCTGCTGGCTTGCTGGAAGGGTAAGCCTCGTCCATAAAGAGGTCAAATAGGGCCAGCGTTCCGCCGGGCTTGAGTCTGTCTTGCGCAGCTTGTAAGAAGGCCTGCATGGAGGGAAAGTGATAGGCACAGTCGAGGGCAAAGATGTAATCGTACTTTGTACTCGTTCTGGAGAGGACTGCAGTGGCATCTCCTTCCATCACTGTTATGGGCACGCCCGTCTTGGCCTCGGCGAGGCGTTGGCGAGCTCGCGAGGCCTCGAGGGGGGAGTAGGTGATACCGTCGAGTTGAGAGGGCGTGTAGCTGCGTGAGAGGAAAAGGAGAGACTCGCCGTAACCGTGGCCCACGTCCAGTACCACTGGGCCATTCGACGGAGATGCTGAAGGCTGCAGTCCGGCACTGCTGTAGAAACGTCGAGCAAGATCTTCGCAGGCTTGGGGAAAAGGCTGGCAGATTCGGCGGGCGAGCAAAGCATTAGCAAGACGATAGATTTGCCCTCGGCAGAAATGTAAGCCAGCTCACCTTGTCTCGCACTATCTCGCCTTCATCTACCGAAGTCCACCAGCCCATGTTCATCCACTCGGTCTCAGGGACCCCGTCTTCACCCGCATCGCTGCTCAGAGGCAGATTGAGGGCTCGATGATCGAGAGCGCGATAGACATCGTCCTTGGAGGATGGTGCCAGGCGAGACAGCAGGCTAACAATGTATGCAAGTACTGCAGTCAGACCAGCATAGGCTGCCCTAAGGAGTGGAGCTACCATCCCTCGCACCAGGCTCTAACACCTAGTCTAGTAACACGGGGCAAAAGTATCCTTCCTTTCTTTCCTTCCTACGGCCGGTGGTCCGCCCTAGGTGCGTCGGCTTCGGGATCAAGGTCCGAAGGGTCGGGGCCTCCACCTGTGCGACGAATCATCCAAGTCGCCAATGCCACGACGCCACGGCCCGGGGGATTTGCCTCTGCGTCTGTCATTTCATAGAATTTCAGGCGGCAGGCAATGCGGAAACACGGAGACGCGCTTCCGATCGACCCATTCATATCACCTACATCGTTATTTTGTTCTTCTAAGGTAGCACAGCTCCCAGACTTTCCAATCAGCTACGAACAGCCGCTGGTCTCGAGGGCACTGTTCAAAGGGTGACTCTTGCAACACGCATGAGCCGCTTTCCTGGGCCCCCACCTCTCGCTCTGGCCTCCATTGTTTGGACTAATCAAACCCCTGAGGATCTCGCCTCCTCTCGCGCCACTTCGCACGATCACATCAGGAGCAAGAACAACCCGGTCGCTTGACATATAACCAGCAAGCTCCCAGGCTTCTCTCCTGTCGGCTGCACTACTCTTTATCCTGCTCCACTCCGCTCTCCCGCAACCTAGCCCCACAGCGCAGAAGCATTCAGCCGCCCGACGGTACAGCGGTCTGACGTTCCTACAATCAACAGCCGCTCTCATGACGGATAGACAGGAGTCAGTCGAAGCGGCACACGGCAACGTGTCCGAAAGCCGGACCGCCGAACAGCCTGGCTGGCTCGCTTCGGCGTCAAACGCCATCTTCGGCACTGGCAGCGGTGAACGAGGTCAAAGCCATTCTACATCTCCCGCGGCGAGTAGCAGTGCTACAACATCGAGCCTTCATCCTTCAAATAGCTCAGAGGTCCCAGAATATCCCTCTGCCCCGAGCAAATCATCCACCCCACCGAAAGCAATGCAGACCTCCGAACAACCACCAGAACGCTCAGTGACCATCTCCGAAGGGCACCTCGAAGGCAGACGTGGCAGGAGAAGCGTGCAGATCAGTGCAGACGAAGGCGCTCCCAGGGCGTCTGGCCAACACAGACGGTCAGGATCACGGGTCCGGCCATCGAGTGATGGGGGTCACCGGAGGTCGGCGTCCCGAGCGAGACGGTCCCTTTCGATTTCTGGTCTCACAAGAGGCCCTAGTGGGCCTGCTGATCCACTGAAAGAGCCTCGGAGATCCATCGGCAAGCGACCAGAAGAGTTCGATCTGAGAGCCAGAGACTCCCGCAATGGACACAAGTTCCTCAAGAGGGAGAAGGACCTGGTACGGGAGGTGCCCTTCGCTGCGCCTTATGCAAAGAGTGGAGTGGTTCTCTCATCACCCGCTTCCTGGAGTGACTTTAAGGTGCCTGGTCCACTGACTCTGGGACACGGACAGTGGTGGTACCTTATAGCTGGCCAGTCGATTGTGGCAGCGGTCATCTCAGGAGCAATCAACTTTGGCGTGGGGTGCGCTACCTACAACAAATACCAACCACCCACCGAACTGCGATTTTGGCAGTGGATTCCAGTGCCCCTCGCAGGAGACATGGGAGTCACAATCATTGTGCAACAGATCGTCTCAATGATCATCACATCCGCTTTGGTCCATCATGATCTCACAGATGGCCCAATCGGCCCTCTACGCCGACCTTGGCCACCTCTGATGCACCTCCCATCCACGCCCTCACCTACGGGTAGCTGGCTGGGCTGCAGGATGAGCGCCGATGTGCCGGATGAGAAGCCTCTGTACATGGGCAAGGCAGAAGGGCAGGGCAAGCTCAAGCGCTACTGGTGGTGGCTGGTTCGAGCCTCTCTTACCGGTAGCGAACGTAATGATATTCTTGCAAAAGGCATCAGCTGGAGACAGCGCTGCGAGCGGATCCTATGGACTGCCGTGCAAGGCTTCATACTCTGCCTCCTCACTTTCCCCTGGTTCTGGCCAATCTCCATCGCCATTGTCGCACCCATCTACGAGCACCGCAACTTGGCGGGGACTTGGATCCCGCCCATTGTCAAGCTGCTGTATGGGGCCATCATGGCTCTCCTTACCAACCCCATCATGGCATTACTGGCAATGGGAGCCGAGAGCAGCGTCAGGCGTGCCTACCCAGAGCTAGACATCTGGCAACCCTTTGGTGGAGAAGCAGACTATCAAGCTTGGCTGACTGAACAACACATTGCAGGGGACGAAGTCGAAATTGGACCCAATGGTCTAGCTCGTATATCGAATCATTTCCCTCGCGCGAGCAGGGAGCAAAATCGCAGCGAGACCGCTAGTCTGGAGCAAGGTAGTGATGTTGTGGATGCAGCTGAGCTCCAAGATGGCACGAGGTCTGCTAGAAGGAGTAGTAGTGTGGAGCGTCAGCAGGGCAAAAGATCGGCGCGGGATCGCTCGTCTGTTCCTCCGAGTAGAAGTGGTCTGACGGGCGGTACTGCGATTTCTCAGCGCATCACAGAGGAGCACGCCTCGCCGAGATCGCCAGCGAGGGCAGCACCTGCCATCTCGCCCTCGACGTCGGGTGCTGCCGTAGACGCGCCTTCTATTCGCCCATCTGCGAGTCGAGCTACGACTGCAGAGACCATGGACAGCTTTGTGTCTGCAACCTAGATTACACGAGCACATGCGGGCGGGTCTCTGCAGCCTGTAATTGAGAATTGTCATGTCGTGGTTGGACCATAGAATATAGACGCCCACTGTCACTTATCAATGCGCGATGAGCCCTACTTCGATCTGCCAATGTCTGACTTTGTCCGATTCACCCTCGCTACCTCACGCCATGACTGATGCGTACTGTGTGTAGAAGAAATGAGCGCGTGGTGCGTGTTGCGTGGTGCGTGAGTGTGGGTGTTGATGTGCGTCGTGCGCCTGGCGTGGAGGCGGAAGATCAATCAACCCTCCAGGCGTCGAGGCAGATGCGCCCAGCCAAATTGCAGCTGCCTCCCGGTCCGAAAGTTGACTTTTGCTGCAGCATCTCCGCTCTCCGCACTGCCTGCCTGGCCCGGGACGGTTGGATTCTAGTTGTACAGAGAGACTTACCAGAATTTGCCTCCGGACCGACTTCTGCTCACTTTGACCCTCGCCTTGGCCTCCCTCGCGCTTCCTCCTTCACTCACTTCTTCTCTCAACTCCTTCTTCGCCACTTTCACGACTTCATCTCGCCCCGTCCTGGTCCTGGCCCCTAAGAGCCGAGGTACATCCGACCGCTTGCCGTTCATCACCTCTGCCATATAAAGGGCCCTACCATCTCCATCCGCTCCTGATAGGGGGCCTATCCGCGCTATCTCCAGCAAGTGCAGAGCTCGCGATTTGAGCAAGGAGCTGTCCCTACCGTTTCTACTCCTCGCCTCGCAGACATTGCAACCAGTCCGCCATGCCCCTCTTCAAGAAGAGGTCGGCTGCAAAGAGCGGCGGTTCAAAGGCGGCTGGAAGGGATGGAACAGGGTCACCTTCGCCCTTGCCTTTGCCCTTTCCCGTGCCGGAGGAGGTACAGTGGCTACTACGTCAGTGGGACTTTGAGGCAGTCGTTGGTGAGTGTGTGCCTGTGTGAGGTGAAGACGCGGATGACAGAAAAGGCGCAATGTTGCGCTGCTCCTTCTCCCTTTATGATGCACTCGAAACATCCTCTGACGGCTTTCACCTCATCTCTGCCATGCCCTTCCTGAAACGCTTTCGGTCATCTCGCTCCTCTGCATCACCACCACCACCACCACCTTCACCGCCTTCACCACCAGGCCGCTCCATTACCCTGTACAAGCGTTTCTGGTCTCTGCCGCGCGAAACCCAGTCCCTCCTCTCCTGGGGATTCCTCCTCTTCACAGTCTTCTTCATCTCCGGTCTCTGGACACTCAAGCTTGCTCTGCTAGCTTTCTTGCTCCTCTTCAGACCCTTTGAGAGTCCAGAGAAGAGGAAGGAGCGGCTGGCGATGACCGCTGCTGGAAAAAGGGGGAGGGCTGGGAAGAGTGGGAAGAAGGGCAAGGGGGATCAGGGCTTTTCGGATGATCCGCTCATTTCGGCTTTGCAGGTGAGTATGGACAGCTTCCCACGCGATTGCCAGACTTTCAATTGACAATCCGATCTTTCCCCGCTCGTAGAGGATACCGGAGACGTTCACCTTCGGCAATATCCCTCCCTCAGCCAAAGGCTCGCCTGCAGCCACCCCTTCTCGCAAAGTCTCCTCTGCTTCATCAGCTCTTCCCTCTCAACAGGCTGCACTGCCGAGGTCACATCCGCATCGTCAATCCATAGACGCTGGTATTCCCACAAGCTCACCTCTGGCCCAGCCACCTCGCTACCGCCCGCGGGTAGCCGACGAGCCAATGCAATACGACTCCAGCTCAAGTACAGACAGTCGGTCCAGTAATCCGCTGAGGAGTCGTGGGCCGCCTGGCTTGGGACTAGGTCCAGCTCCTAGGAGACCGCAGGGCATGCCAATCAGGAGCGACCGAGCAGTGACTGCTCCGTTGCAACAGCAGGCATACAGGCCTGCCTCTTCTGGCGCCCCAGCCTTGCCACCTGCGCCTCCTGGCTTTCCCCCCGCTTCGACCTCGACTTCGACATCGGGTCAGTTCAGATCTCCTCTTACTCCCATGCTCCCCCAGCAGCAGCAGCAGCATTTTTCCCGCCTCACCTCGTTGCAAAGGGAAGGATCCCTCCAGGAAGAAGAGCAGGAAGCTCCTCTGAGTGTATGGGAGCAACAGCAGCGGGATGTAGACCTCTACAAGACGGGTGAGGCAAGACACAAGAGTGCTTCTTTCCACCGGTTGGAACAGGCGCAGAAGTTCTGGAATCGAAAGTTTAGCAGTTCGAGCCATCGTGGTGCGGAAGCGGAAGCGGAAGCGGATGGGGAGGGGGAAGGTTATGGATATGATGGAGGGATGGTGATTGGAGCGGAGGTGGTGCCCGCTGTACAATAGACAGGAGAGGTGAATTGGTGAAGATCAGCCGGCTCTGTGCGGTTTACTCTACAGTAGCTTGAAGTCCCGCCTTCATCAAACGATTTCCGAATAATATACCCTGCAAATTTCTTCGCCAGATGTACAGGAGTGCAACTCTTCCCCCTTGCCCTTGAGTTCTAGACCTGAGGAATCGCCGCCCCATCCGCCCTCGGATCGCTCCCAGCAGCCCAAGCGCTCTTCCCTCCCTTTCTCTGTATGCGCTGAATAACCTGTCCACGTCCAAATTGTCCCCTGGCATGTCCCGTAACCAAGTCGACCGTATGGCCCATGGAGCGTAACGTTTCAACTACAGAGGGAGAAATGCCTTCCTCGAGAAAGACGGAAGAGTCGATGGCTCCTTCGTCTGGCATACCTGCGCCTAGGCACATACGAGGAGCATCGAGAGCACTTTGTGCACTGTAGCCTCGGAGGATGGAGAGGAGGACTTGGACGTGGCCTGTAGGGAGAGAGGGAAAGTGGTGAGACCGAGAGAATATCTTGGATTTGTGGCTGGTCGAGCTGAGGGAATGCACTCACCTTGGGGTTGCATGTACCCTCCCATTACTCCGTAGCTCATCACCAGCTCGTCACCCTTGGTCACAAGAGCGGGGATGATAGTGTGGTAGGGTCGCTTGCCTGGGGAGACCAAGTAAGGACAGGCTCAGGGATCGTTGCTATCATCAATCCTCGCTTCTCTCCATGTCTACTCACCTGGCGCAACACAGTTGGGATGACCTTCTTGCAGAACGAAGCCTGCTCCTCGATTCTGTAGGGTGAAGCCACAGTCTCGAGGCACGGCACAAGTTCCAAATCCAGCGTCTGCGGAAAGATCAAGACGGTGGGTCAGTATGGGCGACTCAAGCTTTGCAGTATGCTTGCGCGCTCCACTTACAGTTGGAGTTGATGAAAGAGCAAGCATTGCCGTCCTCGTCCGTCACAGAGAAGTACACTGTATCGCTCGAATTGACCGGGTAACCCTTTTCGATCTTCGACGACTTTTTGGGGTCGAAGAGCTTGGCCCTCTTGGCGAGGTACTCCTTACTGAGTAGCTCCTTGACAGGAACATTGCCATGCTGAGGGTCGGCGACGTAGTACATTGTGTCTGCAAAGGCCAATCGAAGAGCTTCAATGATCACATGCAGGTACTCGGCGCCATTGTGCTCCAGGGTATTGAGGTCTGGTACAGCTCCCGAATCTTGCAGCGCATCAATGATGCCGAGGGCGATCAGAGCCGTGAGACCTTGACCGTTGGGCGGACACTCGTGGAGTGTCACACCCTCCTTGTCTCCCCCGTGGTTGTAAGTGTACGAAATAGGCTCTACTTCTTCGGTACCTTGCTCAGCGTGTTCAGCGAGGTCCTCCAGGGTCAGAAAGCCTCCCTTGCTCTGCACGAGCTCCACAATGGCCTCTGCAATGCGACCCTTGTAGAAGCCGTCTTTCCCCTTGGTCGCTAGCTCTCGGAAAGTCTTGCCCAGGTAGGGCATCTCCATGACCTCACCCGGCTGAGGACCCTTGCCGTCCAGGAGCATGTGATGCCCATGGTCAGATGCCTCACTGATGACGTTTGCCGAGCGGGTCCAGGCGTGGGACACGATCTCGTGAACAGGATAGCCACCCTCGGCGAGTCGGATACCTGGGGCGAGGATCTCCGCCATTGTGACTTTGCCTGACCCAAGCTTCTCCACTGTATCCACCCAGCATGCTGGTGCTCCGGGCACAGTCACGGCGTGGATGGAGAGAAAGGGAATCGAGGGACCTTCCACTCCTGCCTTGCGCAACTTCTCGAGGGTCATTCCCTTGGGAGAGCGGCCAGAGCCATTAAAGGCCCGGACCTTCTTGGTCTTGGCATCGTAGTACAGGCAGAAGGCGTCTCCGCCAATTCCCGTCGAGCAGGGCTCGGTGACGTTGAGAGCAGCAGCCATGGCCACGGCGGCATCTGCAGCATTGCCACCCTTGTTGAGGATCTCTACACCTGCGGCCGAAGCGAGGGGCTGAGCAGAGGCGCAGACGCCCCGAGTGGACATGACCTGGGAGCGCCGCGAGGCGAAGGGAGCGAAGCGCTGCTCCAGCTCGGCAGGGTGGATCTTGGACCAATCAATGGGGTTACGGGTAGCGGCGGCCATGATGGGTGGTGAGTCGGTGTATATGGGACAGCAAGAAGGTTGGAAGAGGCAGCTGGGTAATCTCTGTGGGGTAGTGTTATCCCAATCTGGTGCGGCCCTTGCTGCTATCTAAGAAGGCGGCTTCCGGCGGTCAGCAACGCAGGTCTGTGCTGACTTTTCGGCATTGACGGTGAGCGAAAGCCGAAGACGCCGGCTGAGAAGGCAGCCACGCCCTGCTGCAACGACGCACACAGCGATGATCACCAACACAGAGCCAGTCAGAGTATGAGAATGTCTGGTGGCGTACCGTATAGAAACATCCATTAGCCTACCATGATCATGACGAGGCTCCTTGTGGCTACAGCGTCTTTGGCATCAGGCTCCTGTCAGTGACTTGTGTGGGCATAGCAGAAATGCAGCAATGGCACAGAGGTGGAGCAGCAGCCCCGCGCGCGAGGCAGACGGGCGCCATTGAGATTTTGGCCGCGAGAAATTGAGGCCACACGGAAAGAATTCTTCCTCGAGACACACAGCAGCAGCATCACCTAGCAGCATTACCATCATTGCCACCCTCCCCATCACCCTCATTGAAGGCAATGGAGTACCTACAACCACAGGATCCAGCCAAGCTCGATCAGGGTCTTGTGCTCTGCGCCGATTGTGGTACTGCCATCCCGCCCAACTCGGCCAATCTCTGCATTTCCTGCCTGCGCAACTCAGTCGACATCACAGAAGGCATCCCCAAGCAGGCCACTGTCAACTTCTGCAAGAACTGTGAGCGGTATCTGAACCCACCTCAATCATGGGTCTTGGCTCAGCTGGAGAGCAGAGAGCTGCTGGCCATCTGTCTCAAGAAGCTGCGAGGGCTGAACAAAGTGCGCCTCATCGATGCCGGTTTCATCTGGACAGAACCTCACTCCAAGAGGCTCAGAGTCAAGCTCACCGTACAGAAGGAAGTACTCGTGAACACCATCTTGCAGCAAGTCTTTGAAGTCGAGTACGTCGTACAGTACGGTCAATGCCCCGACTGTACCAGGCTGGCAGCCAAGAACACTTGGAAGGCGCAGGTGCAAGTCCGACAGAAGGTGCCGCACAAGCGTACCTTCTTGTACCTCGAGCAGCTCATCCTGAAGCACAATGCACACAAGGACACCATCAACATTTCAGAGAAGAAAGACGGTCTGGATTTCTACTTTGTGCAACGGTCTCATGCTGTCAAGATGTGCGAGTTCTTGGCCTCTGTGGTGCCCATCCGAGTGACAGCCAGCAGCTCAGTCATCAGTATGGACATTCACTCCAGCACGTCGAACAACAAATTTACCTACAGTGTCGAAATTGCCCCCATTTGCAAGGATGACCTCGTCTGCTTGCCCAAGTCGACAGCGAAGGCCCTTGGCCAGCTACCACAAGTCGTGCTATGCTCACGTATCACAAATTCGATTCGTTTCCTGGACCCATCCACCCTGCACTACGCCGATATTCCCGCTGAGAAATACTTTAGAGATCCGATCCAGCCGCTCTGCGCCATTCCTGAGCTTGTCGAGTTCCTAGTGCTGGACATTGAGCCTACAGGACAGACCTCTGCCAATGGCAAGTTCATGACCGCCGATGCTCAAGTCTCGCCGATGAATGCTACTACTTTCGGCCAGGCAGACGCAGTATTCCACACTCGTACACATCTTGGCAACCTTCTACAGCCCGGAGACATTGCCATGGGCTATCATCTGGGTCTGGCCAACTTCAACTCTGAGATCTGGGATTCCATCCCTGCAGAACGCCTGCCGGACGTGGTCCTGGTCAAGAAGTCATACCCCGACAGCAAGAAGCGCAGCAAGAACCGTGCCTGGAGACTCAAGTCGATTGCCAAAGAGGCAGCTACGGATGACACAAAAGCAGAGGGTGGTGGACGTGGTGCGCTTGGTCGCAAGGGTGGGCTGGATGGTCAGAAGGTGGAGGCTGCTTACGAGTGGTTCCTGCGCGAGTTGGAGGAGGATGAGGAGATGCGCTCAGGAGTGAACCTCTACCGCGACAAGGACGCAGAAGACCGACTCAGGAGGAAGAGGGAAGCCAAGGCGCGCAGGAAAGCAAAGCAGTCGGTCGCAGACGCTGCTGCTGTCGATGAGGATGGCGATGCGGAGATGGGCGCCGAAGGAGGCGCTGGTGAAGTGGCGGATGTGGATGACGGCATGACGGACGACGGCTTCACTACAGACGGAGAGAGCGAATTTGGCGACGATGAGGACGTGCCGAGGATCAGGATGGAGGAGCTGCTAGATGACATGGATGGTGAGTGCGACTCAGCGTTGACGAAGACGAAGAAGTCAAGTTGCCTATACTGACATTGTCCTTTGCCGTAACCCGTTCCCCCACGCCATTACAGATATGAATCTAGCAAAGGAAGACTTGTAATAGTCCGGTCCGATATCGTTTACCTCCCCCTTCGTCACCTTACTGCAATCCTCTCCTTGCTCACCTCGTTTGTACTGCTTTGGCTGAGCCCGCCGGTCGCCGTGATTCCGTCTGTGCCTGGATCCGTCTCTACGGCCTTTTCACCTATTCCGCGTTTGAGCGGAGTTTCAAGCCGATGGGGGATTACGCCCGACCCAGTGGCTCCATCGGCATCCTGCATCGCCTCGTCCCACCCATCCCTACTTTCCCTTATTTCTCATCCTGCTCTCCCTCATTCTCGATCCCGTCGTGCCTATTTCTTCGAAACATCCAAGAGAAGCCATCTATACGAACATATCCCCCCGCACCCCAGCGCTCTGCTGGAGCCCACAAGCACGGCAGACTGATATTCCATCAAGGCTGAGCCAGACTCTCAGTGAAAGTCGCGTCCTGGACTGGACCATCTTTCACGTCAGCTTTCTACGCTTCCGACAAGACAGAGCTACCTAGTCGACTTTCACCAGACCCCATCTGCCCCACTTCAGAGACTTTCTCATCCACACTCTGCCCATCATGTCGCTACGTATGCTTCATTTGGACGCGCTCCGAGACAATGGATCCCGCAACAGGCAGACGGATGTGGAGATGCAAGCCCCGACACAGCGATACCCATCCAGTCCCCTCGGTGGACCCTCTTCCGGAGCCGGAGCCCATGATGGAGCACTCTTTCGTACGGGTAACGCTTCAGCTGTCGGACCGGCTCCGCCACTCGATGTTCCCGCAACCGACGCTGCTGCACCTGCACCTACTGCTGGTGGCGAGACTGCTACCCCGACCGCTAATGCTCGCAGAGGTCGCTTTACAAGGGGCGCCATCCAGTCGCGAATCAGCGCCATGAGGGAGAGAGGTACTACCAGAGATCGAGAGAGGGAGGACAACTTCACACGAGCCTTCAATCGTCTGCAGCTGGCACAGCATATGCAGGATCTTGGTCTGACAAGTCCTGCTGCTCCACCAACTCCAATAACGCCCCTCCGCGGTGGGGGCGCGACCTCGACGTCTGCCCTTATAGCTGGCAGGAAAGACGCAAGGGCCAAGAAGGAGAGGGAAGAGGCGTCAACGCTTGTGGGGCCTAGCCTTTCCAATTACTTTGGCAGCGGCAGCTCATCAAGTGGGACGGTAGGCGGTAGCAGCTCGGCGCCGAATGGTGCCTCCAATTCGACCGCTGCACCTGCCAACGGCGAGGCGTCAAGTGCGGCAGGACCGCCCGAGACGCCCGGATTTGGAAGCAGGGGCATGGCACGCCTGGGGAGTCGTGGCAGAGCCAGAGGTGCGAGCCTGAGCGGTTTGAGCGCTCTTGGCCAGTACGGAGAAGCATCAGACTCGCAGGCTTCGTTTGGTGATCTACAGCAAGGACCGCTATCGACGCACCTCGAGGCGCCTCCCACACAGCTGGATGCTATGACGGAAGCGGTGGCCATGGCAGAAGGCATCGACATTGAAGTGCTGAAGCAATGGATCGAGAAGAGTCTGGATAATCTTGGAGCAGTTCAGATCGATGGAACGGGTGAAGAAGCGGTGGAAAAAGCCCTCAGTACACCTAGTCACTGCACGACTCTGCAGAGCTACGTGAACTTGAAGCGCAACACCATTCGTCTTATGACCTCGTCGAGCGAACCTAGTGGGGTGGCATCGACAGCCGTAGGCTATGGAACGTCGATGTCCGTAGCTGTGGAGAGCTCGTCAGGTGGGCTTGTCAGTCACCCTCTCGAGCAGGCTGGAAAGGATGGCGACGAAGCCTTCTCGTCCGCTAGAAGCATGCCTATCATCCAGGAGTCGGGTCTTCGCCCTGCTCGATCTTTAAGCAACATGCCAGACTACGACTCGTCAGCCCTCGGATCTTCCTCGATGCTTGGTCCCGCGACACACCAGCTGCACTTCGAGTACGACTGCAGCGCACCAGCTGCCTCCATTCAGATTTTCCTCAGAGCCAGTAGGAAACATGGCTCGTGGCAGGCGTGGTCGCAAAAGCAGGCAGAGGCTGGCTATGACAAAGGTACAAATTACGAGGACCCCGCTAGTATGTCTCTGTATCAGCAGAGGGGTCCAGCTCCACACGTCCTCGGCTGGCCTGTCCACTCTAGCATGGTCAAGAGCGGCTTCGCTCAGCCCGTCAAGGCGTCTCTGTCGTTGAAGCTCTCGCTCTACGCTCCCCCCTCGGCTGCGACTGGCGAAGGTAATAACAATGGCGTTGCGGCTCCTGCAGTCGCAGCTTCGAGCAGCGCTGCGAAAGGAGAACCAGCTCCCTCAAGCTCGGCGCCACCAGCACAGGCCCAATCTTTGGACACTGCAACCGCAGTGCCAGAAGAGGAGACCAAAGAGCAGAAAATCGCCCGCGAAAAGGCCGAGCGTGAGACATTAAAGCTCTCCATTGTCATCGAGGGCCTCAATGAGTCTGGGCGACCCTATGCTCAGCCCAACCTCCAAACAACGTACATGCGCCTCATTTCCCTACCTCTGCGATCGTCCGCCCCGGGTTCGGAAGGAGCGACGCAGCAGGAGGTGAAGAGGACCTGGACAGCTCAAGTGGAGGGACAAGAGGCCGAAATTGGCCCACACCGCTTCCAGCTGCAGGAGCTGTATGGTCTCTCTTCCCGCCCTCCTCCTGTCATCCCTGTGCAGACTGCCGAAGGAGCAGACGGCGATCCTGCCGTTGCGGGCGATGGTGGTGCAGCAGACCTACCCGCTGCCACTGGAGGCGACGAGACTTTCGCGTTGGACATGGACGCCCTTGCTGACGGGTCCACCGGCTCCGAATGTCTCATCTGCCTTTCTGCACCCACCAACACACTCCTCCTCCCTTGCACACACGGTCTCTGCCTAGACTGCTCTGTGCAGCTCAAGGATTCGGTCAAAGCCCAGCGCGACGCGGAACGCAAGAGGGGTAAAGTGCCAAAGAAGAAGTACAATTGCCCAATGTGTAGGAGAGGATTCACTAGTATGCTGCATTTGAGAGTGGCGGGTGACGAGGAGGAGGAGGAAGGGGAGGGGGAGAAGAAGACGGTGGAGTCATTGGAGGAGATGAGCTGAGGTCGGGGTCCAGGAAAAGACTTATTCGGTCTCAGGCACCGATAGTCCCTTGTTTCAACTCGTCGTGGATCCGGGGCATTCAGAAGACTGCTATGTATCGTTCTATTCGCGTTGCTCCCGCACTCCGCCCCCCCCGTCACCGTCAACCTGCTACGCACATTCTTAATGATTTTGTATTTGATTCGTAGTCCATCTCTATTCAGCCTTTAGCGTTTTACCTCTTCTCGAATACGATGCTATCCTGCTCGTCCATCTGTTGCGAAGAAGTGTCTCCGATGGACAGCAGTCTCTTTACTTTGTTCAACGTCTGGAGCAAGATGAGACGCTCATTGTGCGCCAGTCGTATGGCCCCTGATCGCAGGGAGTCGTCTTTCGCGGCAGTCGCTTCGAGCTCAGCGATGGAAACAGGGATGGAGTCTTGTCTGGCTTGTACGAGGGCGTGCAGCATGCTCGCTGCAGAGGCGAGGATTTGTGTTTGTAAAGCTTGCTCCTCCTTGACAGGTGTCGACCGCAATCCTTCCTCCGGCCTTGGATGTCCGGCAATTTTCGCCTCAGCGCGCTCTTCCACACTCTTGAGCAGCTGAAGTAGACCCTCCTTGCTCCTGCTCCACTCTGCCAGGCTACTGGACCCATCCCGAGAAGTGGACCGTACAAGAGCCGCAAGAACGCAGACTGTCCACAACGGTCTGCTGACCTTGCCGCGCCCATCGATGAAGAGCGGCAGTATCTCGTCTGCCGTATACCCCTCCTCGTCTGCACTGGGCGAAACTAGCAATGCGCTGGAGTCTCCTATGACAGCGGGCAGGTCCATGAGAGCAAAGGGGCTCTGCTTTGGCAGAGGCAGAATACGACTGACGGGACCGAGATCGGGACCGGATGCTCGGCCCGGGTCGTTTTGGGCTTCATTTGATGCATGGATGGACTCAGATGAGGGGAACAGCGGTTCCATGGCTTGTGTTCCCCTCGCGGCTAGAGTGTCGACAAGGCGCGACCACCGACGTCGGGCATCATAGCTTTCACCGTGGATCTTCGGCTCGTCTACGGGCTCTTCGCCATGGTATGACCTCTTTCTCGAAGAGGCCTTTTCTATCTCTTCTTCGAGATCCAAGCCAAGAGCCGTCAGTACTTCTGCCCTCTCAACAGAGCTCCTCCAGTCCCAACAGTATCTCTCCCACTTGTTGACCGGTCCTGACTCTGCGACAAAACCATACGAGGCGAGTAATCGCGCAGGAGATAGCGGCCCGTAATTGTTGAAGATTTCCAAAGGCCGAGTGGGCGATGCGTACAGTGGTACGATGGTGGTCATGTAGATTAGATCATCGTCTATTTCTTCCTCGTCCTCGTCGTTCACATCAGTGTCCTTTACGTGGAGGCTGGGCTTCTGTCGATCACTTGACTTGCAAGATTTGCGACATTTCCCTGTCTCACTATGAGTCAAACTTCCACAGCGCGTACATACGAGATCTTCGCACTCGAATTGCACGTGCTGCTGGATCTCGTCGTCCTCCTGATCTTCCTCGGCGGGCTCGGCGTGATTGAAGATGTCCGCCAGCGGGACAAGAGCTAGACCGTGGTAAGTATCACATACGAAGGCGCGTGAAGAGACGAGCGAGTAGCAGCCGAGGAACTCGCTCCAGGCACTCTCAGAAGGTGCTTTGTCTCTGGCAAGGTCCAAGTTTACCAAGAACGGGAGTACCGTCTGAGTATGGAAGTGCCATAGGAGCGAGAGACTGACAGCATCGCTAGAATGCGAAGGCCAGCCAGGAGCACTTGCAGGATCTTCAGCCAGCAGCTCGGCTCGCTGGAGCAGTCTAGCTGTCTCAGTTCCTGGCAGAACAGTATCGCTCGGGATGTGCGGATCCCGGCCTCCCTCCAGCGGCAGGCAGATTCCAAACTGCCCGCCTGGTCTCTCGCGAGGCAGAGATCGTACATATCCATAGAAGACACTGCGCTGACCGAGATACTTCTCGTACAAGAGGCAGAAGCTCAGCAGAAGACCGGAAGTGGCCTGTGGACCAAAGACAGGATCGATGTCGAGTGTTGTGAGATGGGTGCGCAGAGCTGAAGTCCGGGGAGAAAGACAGGCCGGCTTTGGAATGAGAGCTATAGGCCTACCCGACGGGATGGGCAGCGGTGAAAATGTGGGCGACAGAAAGACTCCCAGCGCACGAGGGATAGGAGCCTTTGCCGTTGCTCCCTTCTCTAGTCCTTTTATGTGGGAGTCATTGTCCAGAGGCTGTATGGTCAAGCTTGGGTGGAGCCAGATTCCGTGCTCACGAAGCCATTGGGAGATTGCTAATGCCGCTGAATCTACACCATCTATATGATATCCATCGACACTATGGTCGGCATCGTCACTTGTAATCATGCCATGGCCATTAGTGAAGTTGCTGCAAAGATGAAGAAGGCCCTTTGTATGGCGGAAAAACGAGGCTCTTGGACGGAAGCGCGGAAAAGGCGGCAAGACGCAGAGACGGCCGTGCACGACGCCGAGGATCCTGGTGCATGAAGCTGCATCCTCTCCTACTCATCCTCCCAATCTTCCCCACAATACTGCACCATGGCTGCTGAGCAGGATACCTGTCACTCTGCCCACTCACGGAGACGTGTTCAAGAAGACTCTCCAGATGCGTCTGCTGCCGGACCATCCCGGCGCCGTAGCTCATCCGCTGCTAGCTCCAACGCGGTCTCGCAATACGATGGACCTCAAGACGATCAATGGAGGGTGGGATCGGCGTATGACTATGTCAATCCGGACCTCACGTCAGACTGGATCAAATGCGCTATATGTCTGTGAGTATTGCCCTGTAACGATGGTGGAAGTACAGCAACTGATCGAGCCAGCTTGCACGAACGCCTGGCACAGAGGTCCCTTCTACGAGCCATGGGCCGCAACTTCCTCGTGCTCCCACACCTTCTGCCAACATTGCATTCGCCAGCATCATCAGACTCTATGCCGAGATAGTCAAAGAGATGTAGAAAATGAGCCACTCCCGTGTCCGTCTTGTCGCACGCCCAACCGCCTCTCAACATACTCTGCCGCCCAGCCTCTCATCAGGAATCTGGTAGACAGCCTCAAGGTGTACTGTCCAGTCAAGACTCGGGGATGCGACTGGACTGGCGAAAGAGAGTCTGTGGAGCATCATCTGGCCAAAGAATGTGATTGGGTGTGGGTGGGGGAATTTGATGGCGATGAGCGCTTCGAAGATCCCACACCTACTGGTGCAGACATCCCTATTGACCTCCGCGAAGAGGGTCTGCGGAGGCACAAGGGAAGCCGTTGCCAATGCGGAGCTAGAGTCATGAGAAGGGATTGGGAGAACCACTGCAACAGCGGCTGCTCCGTAATCTGGCAGCGGTGCGAACACTGCAAGGTTTGGCTGCAGAGCCAGGAAGCGGCGGAGGTGAGTTTGAAGCCTGCTGCGACCAGAGGCGGTGCGGCAGCGATGTTGACACAATGGCACTCTCTGTGCGAACGAACAGTCTCACAAGGCGACCTGTGACGCAGTACCTATCGAATGTCAACACTGCGCTGAGAATATGCCAAGAGGATACTTGGAGACCCACGAGCTTCAAGATTGCCCCAACATACCCGTCTCGTGCAGTATGGCTCACTTTGGCTGCTCTTGGAAAGGTCCGAGGGGCTCCCTGGGACTCGGCGAAGGAATCTGCGGCCCTCTGGAGCGGAATTGCCACAACTTGACATGTCCATTCCTACCTCTCGCTTCTTACCTGCAAATATCCAACCGACGCCTGCAGCTCCTCGAGGCCGAGAATGCTTCTCTGAAGCTCGATGCCAGCCGAAGCAAAGCAGCAATGGAAGCCAACGAGGAGCTACTCAGGAGCTGTGTGGATGCGCTGGGGACTTGGTGTCAGAGGAGTGGTAGTGTGGATGAGCGCAGAGCGCGTGGAGCTATGCCCGAAGTAGATTCGTCAGCTCGCAGAATCTCGGAACGGGGCGGGAGGGAGCATTCGGAAGACTACCTCGCAGGCTGGCCCTACGATGCGGAAGCCAGCTTCCCTGCTTCTTTAGAAGGCCAGAGAGCTTCCAGAGCCGCAACCTCAGGTCCTCTGCCCTCTTCTGCCCACCGGGGCGGTGAGTCTTCACGCCTCGAGCGTACTATCAACGATCTTGTCAACTCCATCTCAGCTCTCAGCACGCAGGACGCCACACTCACCAGTCTCCTCCATGAGTCTAGAAGAGAGTCCATGTATGCTGGCGTTGAAGTTGCTCGCCTAGCGGAAGAAGTCGCAAGTCTTCGTCATGGACTCCACAATGTTGCCAGACACGTTCAGATGAGGCAGAGTGGCTGGCGTGGTGGAGGGCCCAGCTCAGGGCCGGGCAACGGAAGCGTCAACGGCGAAGAGGCAAAGTCTTCATCTGCTCCATTGACGTCTTCTAGTGCGCCGAGCCAGAAGGTCACAGGCGAGGGTACTTTGGAGCTGGGTATGCCATCTCTGTTTGAGCCAGGCAGGGGACCGGGAATGGGTACCTTGCCCTTCCTGCCTCACGGCCCTGCCCTACCGCATTCACCTTATTACCATTCAGGCTACCAATCCCACGGTATACCATATCCCCCTTCACTTCCGATGCCCATGCCGGGGGTACGTCGCTACTGGTCTGGCTTCGAGCAGACGAAGCTGTAATCTAAACGCGTCTGACTCTGTAATATAGCGAGATTCCCTAATCGTAAGGAGGGTCACTGGCTCGGCGAACTGCTGGTGCTAGATGGTATCAGTATTGCAACACGGATGCTTTTATGCCCGCGTCCCTTCGCCGTCTCTCCACCCCCTCATCTTCTCTTCTTCTCTTCCCCCACCATTTGCCACTTCCCTTTCCCTTTGGTACTCTCTCCTGCTACCAGCATCAGGTCCATCCGCTCCAGTCGGATGATTACCACCAGCGTACGGATCTCTTGAGGCTTCTTGTGTATCCACCGCCATAGCGCCAGACCCACTCCTCCAGTCTCCTCCACTCTTTGCCTTTTTCCAGCTCGGCACGTCCCCGCCTGCATCACCACCGCCCGTAACGTCTTCCCTCTCCTTCCAACCCTTCTTGGCTTCCTTCTCTGCCCTCTTGCGCTCCCTCAGCTCCACTGCTAGCTCATGCTGTAGATCTCTCACGAGCGAGGGAGAGGCGTAGCGTAGATGCATGAAGTTGCAGAAGCCACCACGGTTGCATTCGTTGGTCTCGTTCTGCCGGCAGCAGGCCTCGCGGAAATCTGTCACAGGGGACAGCTCGGCGAAGAGCGGGCGTCCTGGGAAGCGAACGAAGAGGTGGCGTGAGTACAGACGCTTGCTACAATGCTTCTCAATCTTTGACTCACCGTTGTACCATGCATCGTTGAGAGCGTTCACAGCCCGCTGAGCTTCCTCTTCCCACTCATACCTCGCATATACATTCCCGATCAGATGATCTCCCACATTATCGCATACGTGCATCTCCACTAGCTGTCCGAACTTGGCCAGCTCAACAAAGAAGTCTTCGTAGAAGTCATCAAATTGATCCTGGAGCTCAGCATCTGAGATCTTGCAGTCTGGATCGCGATGCCGAGGGTTGTCGTAGACGTTGGAGACGAGGATGGTTTGGGAGAAGGCAGGCTTAGTGTGCTTGCGGGAACAGCGGTCGCCGTGACGGCAGGCTCCAATCTGAATCAGCAGAGTAGAAAGATGGTCAGCTACACATTCCAAATCACTGACGTTGTTCCTCGAGCCTGACTTACCTTGTAGTAGAAGGAGCAGTTCACCTTGTCCTGCTCAGTACCGTAGATGCTCGCGAGGAAGGAAGCCATTGTGGCAGGGTAGGGCCAATCGTAAGATTCAAGATTCGGGAATCCGATAGGAGCCAATCGAATGGTTCTCCTGATGAGATCAGAATGCACAGCACAGATTGCTCGAGTAGACAGCAAAGCGAAGAAGGATATCACCAGGAACGTCGTGCTACTGAGAAGGTGGTGGTCAGTGGCCTCAGCCACATTTGTGCCTCGGCTGATCGGGCGGAAGGACGATTCTCGGGGCCGCGCGCTCTTTCCGCTCCGCTCGCCTCGCTCCGCCTCGATCCATCTACCGCCATTCCGCCGCTATGTTGATTGTCCGTCTCCACTACCACCAATACTGGCAACCAACTTCCTACAACAGGATCGCAACACATCGCTTCACGCGATAAGAACGCGGAGCACGCAGCCGCTTTACCACCTCACCCTACAGGTCGCGGCTCATCAAGCGTCCTCTGTTACTCCTTCGCGCTGTCAAGTCGCTCCGGGCCACTTCCGTCGAAGAAAGAACGGGCTCGCACAGACACTTCGTGGTCCGGACCTCGCCTTCTCCAATATTCATTGAGGTCGTCTGCCTCGGCATTGTCATATGACAACACTTTGTCGCTCGTCATAGAAGCTCAATAGGAGCGACTATGACTGTCAGTCATCGCAAGACAAAAGTAGCTGCAAAGACAGATGATCGGACAGGTGAGTTGCAAGACCGCTACTTCGGACGCATGGGGACGACCCGGAAATCCTGCATCTGACGTTCTCTTGTGTGGTTTTCGCTCACTCCATACAGCTGCAGAGCCCGGCGTTCAATATCACTGCGACATATGCGAAGCTGACATTACCTTGACGGTTCGCATACGCTGCGCTGGCGGTTGCAAGGACTTTGACCTTTGCGGCTCATGCTTCTGCTCCGGGGCAGAGTCCAAACAACATAAAGCCTGGCATGACTATCGGATAGTGGAACAACATGCCTATCCGATCTTCAGCGAAGATTGGGGAGCCGATGAGGAGCTCCTTCTCATCGATGGTTGCCAGACATATGGTTTAGGAAATTGGGCCGACATTGCTGATCATATTGGCAATCGCTCCAAAGAGGAAGTCGAGGCGCATTACATCTCTGTCTTTGTCGAAGGCCGCGATGGAACAGCGCAAGGAGACGCGAGAGCGTCCCAAATCGTACAAGAAGCGCAAGCAGATCCGTCCTGGACCTCGCGACAGTGGCCTGTGGCTGGTCCCCACATGGCATTCACATCCTCTGTCAGCCCTGACGAGTTTCAACGGAGGAAACGGCGGCGGATATCAGACCTTCGTTCCCATCAAGCCAGTCTTCCAATAGGGGCCGCAAAAAGCGGCGTCCCTCCCAAGCCTCTAGTCTCAGCGCCCACCTCTCATCACGAGCTCAGCGGGTTCATGGCGGGGCGATTGGAATTCGAGACTGAGCATGAACAAGAAGCCGAGACCTTGACCAAGGACATGGAGTTTGGCAAAGTCTATGCCTTTGGCGGAGAGCTATTGCCCAGCGAAGAAGAGGCCCTGGGAGGAAAGGCAGTGGGAGGAAGGTCACGTATGGAAGCAAGTGGGAGGGGTGGGCCGAGCTCGAGCAGAAAAGCAGGAGCGACTGGCTCAAAAGGCGCAGGCAGTGCCGCTGAAGAGACCGAGGGCGGCAATGGGGAGCCCGCCAAAGACGAAGAGACGCAGCAGCAAGACAAGGCCGATAATGGTGATGAAGAAGACGAGGAAGATGGCGAAGTCACCAAAGATCCCGATGCGACGAAGGATGCAGACGAGACTATGGCCGATGCTACAATAGATCCTGAAGATGAAGACGGCGATGGTGATACCCAGCCGCTTGCAAAGCATTCGGCAGCAAAAGCAGCCAAGGAAAGTCGAGCCTCGGGAAAGAGCAAGGCGCAAAGTAAAGGCAAGGACGCTTCTGAGCAGGGATCTACAAGTACAGCTCCACCCGCTGCCACCACCGACACTGCGACTACCGAATCATCCGAAAGGCCTCCAGCAGATTGGGACGAGGATCCAACAGATCTTGAGCTCAAGCTGATGATCCTGGAGATGTACAATGAGCGCCTGGAGCGGCGAACGGACCGGAAAAGTGCAGTCCTGGAAAGAGGCCTTGTGGAAGTGAGACGGAGACAAGCCGCCGAGAAGCGCCGTCCGAAGGAAGCAAGGGATCTGCTCAATCGCGTCAGGCATTTTACACAGCTGCAGACCGCGATGGATTTCGAGGAATTCTTCGATGGTCTCTGCTACCAAGAGAGCCTGAGACGCCTCGCTCTGCAATTGCAAGAGTACCGCAGATTTGGTCTCACTACCCTTTCCGAGGCCTCTCGCTACGAAGCCGAAAAGGCTGAGAGACTGCGCAAAGCTGCTCTGTTGGCCGAGGACTACGCTGCGAACACGAGCGGGACGCTGGTGGGAGGCCCACAAGCACTGCTCAGTGGCAAGCGGGGTCCCAGCACGGTACGCAAGGGAGGCAGGGACAGCGAGACGCCCTTTGGAGAAGACGAAGGTTCGGTCTATCTCTCGGTTCCTCCTGCGTCTGTGTCAGGAGCTGCTGCATCTTCTGCAAAGAGGGAGAAGGGCACGGAGCCCAAATCGCCTCGCAAGCCTCCTCGTCCACTAGACCTGAGTTCGCATCCATCTCTTAACCTCCTCACACGGCCAGAGCAGGAGTGCTGCTCCGTGAATCGCATTCAGCCCTCTGCTTTCCTGGTGATGAAGAAGGAGATCCTCACAGAGTACATTAGACGCAAGGGCAAGATGTCCCGGAGAGAGACACGAACGCTCTTCAAGATGGATGTGAACAAGGTGGGCAAAGTCTTTGACCTCCTCGACGAGCAAGGCTATCTCAGTGCGGCCAAGTCCATTGGCTGGGCTGGTGGGAAAGAAGGAGAGGGAGTGCCTCCGGGATGGAAAGACCCTACTGGCGCCAATGGTCTCTCTGTAAATGGAGGAGGTGGAGGTGGGGATGGGCCAAGCGTCAATGGGTCCTCGTCGGGTCCTGGTAGACCAGGAAGTCCTGCACCCAACCAACGGCTGGCACCTCCCTCTGCACCAGGCTCGCCGAGCGTGAGAGGTTCTTCTACTGGTCCGCAAGCGGGCAGGGGCGGTATTGGACCTTCGCCCTTGTCGCAGCAGGCCCACGGAGACAACAGGAATCACTCTCCCTTCAGGCCTACAGCGACTGCTTGATGGGCGAGGCCTACTCGCGTATTGTATCCCTGGAAACGTCGTTGTGGACTGTCCCCTCTCACCACCTGAACCGGTGCCTATGTCCTGGCGCCTCGAACGCAACTCATGCAAGTCTCAAACGATGGAGAGACGTGTTGAATATGATGTACAATTAGCCCCCCAATGCCCACCTCGTTTGCCAGAGCAGATCTACTGTGGATGTGTGCGATGCGTCAGGTAGCGAAACTTGACTGAGCAGCAGAGTGATGAATGTGCGGATAGGCGTAGATGTGTCTTCTCCCCAGGGAGCCTACTTCCTCTCCAGGATTACTGCGCTCCTCGGTTCTACTCCTCTCCTGTAGTACTCCTCCAAGACCTCCCCTTCACCAAATCCTTGCTTCTTGTAAAAGTCCTTTGCCTCATCATTCGTAGTCTGCACGTGCAGATACACGCTTTCCACGAGGTATTTCTTCGTCTTCTTTTCCTCCTTGTTGTCCTTTTTACCCGCCGTCGCCGTATCCTTCTTTGCGGCACTTCCAGCAGCGATTGCCTTGGATAGAGGAGCGGGCAAGGCAGGATCGGGAAGATCGAGCTCGGTTCCTGGACCGGCAAAGGTGAGGAGATGCTTGATCATCTTTGAGGCAATGCCCAGTCTCCTGTACGGGGCCAAGACACCGAGAGTCATGATGTAGACCTTTACTGGAGCGGGTGAGGAGGAAGAGGAAGAGGCTTGAGGTGGGTCTGGGTATTCGAAGCGGCAGACGAGCATGCCTACGGGCATGTCATTGAAAAGGGCTGGTAAAGAAAGGGAAGGAGGGAGATAGGAAGACCAGGAGATAAGTATCGCAGAGTCTGATTCACCACTTGCCTCCGCTCTGACTCACCAAGCTTGCAGATATCCCTCCTCTCCTCGCTCAAGGTATCCTTGTAGAAGGCCTCACTGTACCGCACCGGCAGCAAAACCGAGTTGAGCTTCCTCAACTGCCCAATGTTGTTGGGTGTGAGGTTGGTGAGCTCTATCCTCCTTGCTGTGTTTCCCTTGAGGGCCGCAGCAGGCCTAGTGCCGAAGCTGGTGGGTGGGAGGGTAGATGTAGTGGCTGCCATGGCTGGTTGGGTGAGAGGCGTAGGCGTAGAGGAGCGTAGGCTTGGTAGGAAGTAGGAAGTATCGCGTCCTTGGCTGCAGGGCCCCCGTTGCGCGGCAGCATTCGCACTCCGCCCACCCACGACGCTTTGATCAGGCACAGCAGCAGCCAGCCAGGCCCAACGCACCACCACCACCCACGCCTCCTCCATCCGGCCTACGGTGCCTACCAACCCTTCCCCCACCCGCAGAGCCGCCTGAGACATCTTTGAGAGACGCTCATTCCCTTTGGACACTGTCCAGAGCTACGTCTAGACTTGTTCTCGCCTTCACCCTTTTCCATCATGAGCCGCTCGAACGTGGTAGTGCTCGACAATGGTACGGGTTACACCAAGATGGGGTGAGTAGGAACCCCACAGCAGCAGCCTCCATATCCGAATCTATCGACCTCTTGCAGCTGACGACGTCTCATGTTGCCGCGTATTACCCCCTCTTCCAGCTTTGCCGGTAACTCGGACCCATCCTTTGTGTTCCCCACTGCCATTGCGACCCGTACCGGCGCAGCAGCCTCTGGCGGCTCCTCCGGTCGTCCCTCTGTCCCCTCCAAGCCCGGAGGATTGAGCTCTTCCTCGTCCCTCGCCTCCAAGAGGGGAATTGAGGACCTGGACTTCTTCATTGGTGACGAGGCAATGGCCAATAGCAAGACTTACCAGGTTCATCAGCCTATCAAGCATGGACTGATTGAGAATTGGGATCATATGGAGAGGTTGTGGGAGCAGTGCATCTTCAAGTATCTCAAGTGTGAGCCCGAGGACCATTACTTTATGCTGGTGAGTGAACAATCAGATTGAGGAGAGTAGACCAGGTCTTCCAGGCTCAGACCGCTGACCGCGATCAATTCCTGCGCTCGATCGCTCTCCACCAGACCGAGCCACCTCTGAACCCACCTGAGAACCGAGAGAATACCGCCGAGATCATGTTCGAGTCCTTCAACATCAAGGGTTTGTACATTGCTGTGCAAGCCGTTCTGGCCCTCGCAGCCAGCTGGAATAGCAACAAGGTCACCGACCGTACCCTCACCGGTACAGTCATTGACAGTGGAGACGGAGTGACCCACGTCATCCCCGTGGCCGAAGGATACGTCATTGGCTCTGCCATCAAGCACATTCCGATCGCAGGTCGTGACATTACCTACTTTGTTCAGCAGCTGCTACGTGAGCGGGGAGAAGCCGCAAACATCCCGCCCGAGGACAGTCGTCGGGTTGCCGAGAAGATCAAGGAGGACTACTCATACGTCTGCCAGGACATCGTGAGGGAGTTCCGCCGATACGATGAGGATCCACTCAAGTACTTTGAGCGCTTCGAGGGAGAGCACACCGTCACTGGACGCAAATACGGCGTAGACGTTGGCTACGAGCGTTTCCTCGGTCCAGAAGTCTTCTTCAATCCAGAAATTGCCTCTTCGGACTTCCTCACCCCTTTGCCGGAAGTCGTGGACAGCGTAATCCAGCAATCGCCCATTGATGTGCGCAGGGGTCTGTACAAGCACATTGTCCTCTCTGGTGGTTCCACCCTCTTTACCCACTTTGGCTCTCGTCTGAAAAAGGACCTCAGGGCAATTGTCGACCGGCGAATCGCAGCAAGCGAGACGCACAGTGGATCTCACATGAGGAGTTCTGGAATGGAAGTCAACGTCGTCTCTCACAGGAGACAAAAGTGGGCCGTTTGGTTTGGTGGATCTCTACTGGGAAGTCTACCCGACTTTTACAATGCCTGCTACTCAAAGGAACAGTATGACGAGGTGGGACCGAGCATTGTTAGGAGGTTCAGCGTGCTGGGTGGCCTGTAAGAGTGTCTTTGGTCAATGCGAGGGTAGCCCGTGTACTTAGAGACGTCTGTAAGGTAGATGTTTAATCATGGCGAAATGAGAAAAGGTCTGCCAAACTCATCTGGTCCGCACTCCTCAACGCTACCGTCATCACGTCACACCTGACTCCCATGCATCCATCCACTTCTGCTCCCTGCTCCCCCCCCCCCC